GTACGTTTTCTCCAAGGACCGGCAATCAAGCCTCCAACCATTTTAATGAGAAAACGGCAAACCCAGCAAAACGAAACTCTTTTTCCCCACCAGACACTGCACTTGGTAATTGTGGGAAAATTGTTCGTCTTTTCATCATATATATAAATGAATGTTTAGGAATATGAAAAATGTATGAAACTGCAAGTCTATTAATCTTGAGAGAAAGTGGAAGGAAGTCCGGGAAATGTAGCGCACACGATAAAGATATATTGTTGAGTTTTCTTTCAGACAGTTTTGGACATTCCCCTTTGACTCTGTTCAACGATTTTACTGCATTTAAGCGAATGCACTTCCTACAATTAGATTTCTTTACTTTTTATAACTGTCAGTATTGCGGCACTTCAGGCAAATTGAATACTTGATTTCTCTGACTTAATATTATGTTACTGTTTGCACATTTCGTCGGTCTAGCATTTGTAGTTTATCAATTTAGTTTTCCCTTCCCTCAACCATGTGCCCAAATTGACACAAAACATATTTGAATACTCAAATGAACAATACATTTTCCGTGTCTAATTCCTCTGCCCCTTCCTTCTGTCAATTTTGTGGCACTCTGCACAAAAGGTATGCAAATTGAGCTGACATAACAAATAAAATAAATGCTAATAAATACAAATTGCTAATCCTTTTTGTTTTCGTTTCATCTTGTTCAAGCTTCAATTGCCTTTACAAATTTATCTGGAAGTAAGCAAAATCCCTCTTTTACAAATATTTACAATTAATAATCTACGCCCTGCCCTGACCCGCCCTCGTTTCTATATCTGAATGAAATAATTAAATAAATCATTAAATTGCCATCGAATTGGCTTTGATTAAGGCTGATGCCAGTCTACGTTTACGGCCGTGCAATTAGTAAATTAAAATGAAAATGCCATGCAACAATGGGCATATTCAGCAGCAGTATTAATCGCCCACACATGTTCGACTCGGGCATTATGTTGTTGCCGTTTCATATTTACATTTGTAAAGTTGTAAAATAGTAAAATTGAGCGCCACACATGTTGTCCCCCCAGCTCGTCCCTATTTGTGACCCTATTATGACCGGTGCCTGCCTCGGGAGCTGCCACTGGAAAAGCATCTGTCGGCTATCGTTCCGCCCAACTGGCAGGCAGTAGTACAGCCATCGTTCCGCCCAACTGGCAGACTGTCCAAGTGTCCTGGCTGTCCCACATCCCTGGCATTGTTTACATTAATTTGATTTAAAATGCACTGCCCGTGCATCAAGCTGCAGACCCCATCCTCAGCCCCATCGCCCGGTGTCCCGCCCTAAATTGTAATTTATAAACAATTTGTGATTTTGCGAAATTCCGCTATATGGCGGGGCATGACGGATGTTTGGTTAATTAAAACGTGATTAAAGGCGTCGACAGACACTGCTGCATATGCAAAAAAAAAATAAAAGATTCGTCAGCATCAGGAATATTCAATGTAAGGTCGCGTTGCACATACGCCATGTATACCGCAGTCAGCGATTGGGCACGACAGAAGGCCTCTTTCCGCCTTTTGTGGGTTGCATTTCTACATATCGATACTATTTACTTAATACATATTCACAGTGCACTTATTTAAATTTAATTTTGGCTTTACTTCAAATACTCGTACAATGACCCCGAGGGAAGAATACGGAATGTTTTGTCAAGCGAAAATCAATAAATCTAATGCGATGATGAATGGAACTATTCGTAGTGTTTTGAGAGCTATATAGAGCCTTTTAATTATATTTAAGGAGTACATTTTATTGCATTTAGAGTATTATTTGGAACGTTAGACCAAGTGGATCTAGTGGCGATTAAAAAAGCTTTGTATGTCTCTGTCTCAGTATGTAAGTAGTCGGAATTTTCCTAAACGAATTATTACCGAAATGTAAGAACATTAACTTGAATTTAATATGTTTTGAAAAAGGTTTTAGAAATGCCATATTGTAGAATATTTATCAGCCATATTTTTGTTTAACTTCTGAAAATAGAAACGTTGTAGCCGTAATTTTTGTGCATCATTTTAAAGATCAGTTATGAGAGGTAGTTAAAGTCACAGAAAAAGCTAAATAAATTGGATATATTAAATACTTGAATGTTTTTGAAATCCTTCGACTGTGCTAATTATATTTCTTCAATGATTAAGAACAGATGTAATTGGCGAGAGTGTTTGTAATTAAATAATAATATTACGTAAATCTATTAAGTATTAACGTATGTCGTTTATTCTCATTATCCAGTTGCTTCAATTAATTTGCTTGTGCAGCAAAGACAAAGACAAACACGAATATATACGCGTACTCGTTTACGGGCGAATCGGGTGGTGGCTGGACAGAGACCGAGCGGGTCGAGCCGATTGCACACTTTTCGTCCCTGGCCTTTTCTGACTGCTGCTGCTGCAAACGAACCGAATTTTGTTTTCAATTTTCAACACTTTTAATAGCCAATTAATTAAACGGCCAAACAACAACAGACAACTTTCCATATCACTGAGAAAAAAGTGTATATAAAATCGGGAATACATTCGAATCAAATCGAAAATAAAATTGGCAAAAACTAAGCGAACACTTAGAGGCCTACAGTGGACTCGCTGTATTCAATTTTAAAGGTTCTCGTTTTCAGTTAATAACTTTAATTTTAATTACAAAAAAATTACTTAAGCTGCTTCTTGGGTAGACAGCTTTAATTGGATTAATTGGAACATTCAGTGTCCGGCACCATAAATGTTTCCTTGTACTCTATGCTCGAGTTCACATCCCCTACTGGTATTTTTCTCTCAGTGTACATGTACATGTACATACACATATACATATGTATCTCTATGTGGTTTACACATAAGCATTTATATTTAACATGTATATATGTATAAGGCGTTATGTGTGTACACATATTTACTATATGGAGAATTAAATTCCTCGTCGGCTTTTGCAAATGTAGCAAACATTTTTATAATTGCTGGCGGAGCTTTTATTATTTCATTGCCAGCTGCGGGCCCCCATTCCAACGAATCTGTTCTGTTCCGTTGCCACAACTATGTGCCATAGTTTGAGCTGAGAAACTTTTCGCTATCGCTGGGCGCTCATAATTTATGCTGGCCAGCAATTGCTAAATAATGATTTTTTAAACAAAAGCCCGGAATAACGTATAAATTATGAATAGGAAAGACGCTCGGATCCCCTGAGCGAGGAGAGAGTCAATTAAGAAGATTACTATTTATGAGATTTACACGACACAGACACAGACACACACAACCCACAATCTGTAGTGTATACTAGAGAGAAGAGGAACTGTTGACCCCTGGAGATTAGTGGTAATTTGCAGTTTATCCTTGGCCCAGTACTGGCCCAGCCAGACATAGGGAGAGGGAGGAGAGGGAGGGAGCCTTGTCAAAGTTCTGTATTTATTTCTATGCATGAATTATTTATGCGTCAAGAAGGCCCCCCAACAGTGCGGACACAACTTTGGGTTTGTTAATGGGTAAGGGAAAACTTCTGACCTCATCCCTTCTTGACACTCCACTCCACACGCTCTCTCTCTCTCTGTCTCTGTCTCTGCTCTCTCTCTTTGTGCTACGTGCTTGAAAATTAAAAGTTTTCAGCATGTGTCAAACGCTTTTAATTTTCTCGGAGCTTTCATTAACGTTTTGAATGAATGAATGACTCAGGACAACACACCAGAGTTGTTGGGGAAACTTGCCATCTTATTAAGAGAAGTTCTGTGTCTCGACTCGCACTCGAAATGGCAATCAGAAGACATTGAAGGACAACAAGTGGCAGAAACAACAGGACACAAGGGTTGACAGCCAATAAAAGACACGAAAAGGCTTGTGGTCTCCAGCAGAGAGGTAGATATACATATATATAAAGGGAACACAGGGCGTATGGGCAACAAAGAACTTCAAAAGCGTATCAAGCGGTCAGCCATTGAACAATGGCCATATACATATATTTTGTGTGGTCCCCAGGTGGGGCGTAACCCAACAACCAAATGGCTTTGTGGCGCTGCCCGGGCAACAATTAAAATCGAAATCTCATATGCACAATAAAAGCAGAGGAGAGCCATCACGGAATCAACCAGCAAGGCTTACCGAGCCGGCAAGGGGGAGGGTGCGGTTGCGCACACATTTCTGCCCGATTAGAGAACGGAGTGGGGGGCTGGGGAGAAGGAAAATCTTTAAGGGAAATTGGCGCGACACCTGCGCCAGGTGACAATTTAATAAGGCCCCTCCAGCCAGACAGTGACAATTCGCATTCATATTGACTTTTGCGCAGAAACAGCTGTCCCAGCCATCAATCCGCGAACAATTTTCCTAGGCAAACACCAGCAACTGTCAATATTGAAATTAAATAGAGCTTGAAATAAAACTTCAATAAGCGGAAACAAAGCAGAAACAAGGCAAAAATTATCTGAAGAGCGTGAAATTTTATTACCGAATTTATGAATTTAAAATAAAATTCACTTGAATTTTATGTATCGCGTTTCGAATGCCAGTCAAGGGAATACACAGATGGATAAAACTACTCCCAATAAGCAAAGAAAACTCACAAATGTCTAATTGAAATTTGAGTTTCTAATACAGCTAGAAAAGAACTGAGCCATGCACCTACCTAACCTTAGATCTTCCCGGGTAAGACTCAACAAAATCTAATGAAAATACAAGCTACTATCTACAACTTTGTTCGTGTGGGAATTCAAGTGTCATTAGTACAAAAAAGTCTTCTTCATCTCCGAAATCTTCGGGGATTTTCTTGTGTTAATAAAATACATACAATCGTTAAATAATCTATATAAGAATAATTTAAACAAATTAAAGTACGAGTAAAAACTTGATCTGTGTACTAGAAAATGATATTTCTGTACCATTAAAGTACAAGTACTTGAGCTTTAGGAGTCCATTAGGACACACAGAAATTCTCCTGCATTTCCTGCAGGCTTATCATAATTCTAAATCAATTGTATAAGTAAATTCAAAACTTTACTCACACATTGAGAATGGCGCTGGCTCCGAGTGGCCATCGAGGGGCTGTCACTATGTGCTGGACGAGTCGCCCAGCGGCGAGGCTATGTTGCTGTTGCTGTCCGACGTGGAGAGTGGCCGACAGATGCCCAGGCGCGTGAGGCCCGGCGGCATGGCCTTGAGAATGGAAACGGCCTCGTCCAGTTCGAGGCCCTGGAGCAAATGTTCGCCGACGCTCATGAGGCGATCGCCGGGATATATCTCGTTGGTTGCCTCCGCAGCACCACCGCGTATCAGGCCGCGTATCACAATCACACTGCCATCCGAGTCGAGCGGGTCCTGGTAGTCGAGGATGGAGAAGCCGAAGCCCTGCTCCGTCTTCTCAATGTCCACTGCCGTCACCTCGCAGCTCCACAGCGCCAGTCCGGACACGTTCTCCAGCGACTTGGAGCGCTGCTGACTTCCGTTGCCGTTGCCGTTGCCATTGCCATTGCCCGCTGCTCCGACGGCATCCGTCAGCGTCGCCGTGCTGGACGTGTACAGGGAGCTCTCCGACTGCGCCTTGCTAAGCAGATTCTGCAGGCTCTGGTGGCCACCGGGCAGGAGGCTGCGCGTCTCAAATGCCTCCGCATTCTGCGAGGTGTTGATGATCGAGGGCACACGGGTGCCGCGGGCACAGACCAGTTTGACGCGCGCGGGCAGCTCCTTCAGGATCTTGACCACGTCGATGTGGCGCAGTCCCTGGAGCTTGTGCTCGTTGACCTGGAGCAGCTCGTCGCCGGGCCGCAGGATGCCCTGGCGGCCGACGGGACCGTCCTCGAGTATGGAGCGTATGTAGTGGTGCGGACGCTTCTCAATACCGCACTCGACGTCGACGGTGCCCTCGAGGCTGATCCCTAGACCTGAAAGTTTATTTATTTCGGCAACTAAAATTTCACTGTCGGGAAACTCACTTTTCCAGGCCACCCGCAGCGAGGCGGCGCTCGGGCTGGCCGCCTTCTCGACCTTGACCTCGCCCACCACCCCCACCGCCGCCGCCGCCCCTATTGCCACCCCATCCAGCTCATTGGTGGGCGTCCGACTCTGGGCGGGATCTGGCTCGGGCTCTGGCTCTGGACACTGCTCGTCGGTGTCGTTGCCACTGTCATCCGCCGCCATGCCGTGGCCTCTGCTCCTCTGCACCAGCTGGCCATTGGTCAGCGTCGGAGGGGGGGGACTTGGGACTGATGGACTGGGATTGGCAGCCTTGGCCGGGCCACTGTGATCGCTGCGGTCCAGCAAGTGCGACATGTTCGACTCGACGGTGTCCCGCGAGGGCAGATCGGCCAATTCCAGCGGGTCGGCATCCTCCGCCGCTTCGCCCTCCGCCTCGCCCTCCTCGGTGGCAATCGAGTCGGCGTCAAGGGACTTGGGTGGCAGCCAGCTGAGCGTGGCTATCGATGGGGACCCCGGCATCGACAGCTGCGACTGTCCGTCGCCATCGTTGTCCGCCGTGCAGGGGGCGGAGCGACCCTTGATCTCCGTGAGGGCCACCTGCAGATGCTCGAACTTGCGGCCGCGCAGGAACCGCTCCAGCGTCAGGTGCACCTCAATGTCCGTGTTCCGCAGCAGCTCCACGGCCTGATGGTTCGTCACGCCGGACAAGGAGCGTCCATCGACGGCCACGATGCGATCGTTGATCTGGATCTGGCCGCTCGTCTCCGCGGCGCTGCCCTCGATGATGCTCTTCACGAAGATCCCGGACAGGTCCTCCTCCTCGCACACATAGCCGGCCACAGTAATGCCCAGCCCGTAGACGTTCTTGTGCAGCTCCACCACGTACGTCTCCGTCTCCGGGGAGTCCATGTACGAGGGCGAGCCGGAGGCGGAGTCCCCCTCGCTGTCTCCCTCGTCGTCGTTGTCCACCTCGTCGGCCAACAGTTTGCCGGCTATCACAGTCTCAATATGCTGATCGTCCTCGTCTCCCCCCTCCTCCCCGTCCCTAGTTCTCCAGCGCGGTTCCAGGGCTAGCTGCAGGGCGGGACGAGGGGGCGGCGAGAGTATGGAGAAGGGCACAATGTCGAGGTCGCGCGGACACTGCCGGCCATTGGCCTCCATCGAGCTGCTGCTGCTGTGGCTCCCGATCATGTGGGGGGGTATGGGCGGCAGGGGGAAATCGGCCAGGTCCGTCAGCTCGCCCAGTTGCAGGTGGTGTCCGACGCCCAGCGGCGGCTCAGCCGTGGCCAGTTCAGAGCCATCGGCGGGCCCGCCCCGCACCAGACCCACCAGACTGGTCACGTCCACGGAGCCGGCAGCAGCCGCAGCCGCAGCCGCAGCAGCAGCAGCAGCAGCTGCCGCAGCATTGGTGAAGCTCGTGTTCTGGAAGAGATGACGCGACAGTTCTTCCGGGTCGGAGAGGAGCTTAGTTGGTATAATCGGCGCATGACTGGCCAGCGTTTGGTAATCGATGGCAGTCGGCTCCACTGGCCGCGCCACTATCAGACGCACCTGAGCTCCGGTCTGACGAAGAACTGTGGCCACCTGCTCCGAGCTGAAGCCGCGCAGATTGACCTCTCCGATCTGCAGCAGGTGATCGCCCAGCTGTAGGCGCCCATCCCGCTCGGCAACGCCGCCCGGCGTCAAGGCCTTGATCACCACGCCGGTGCTGCGGCCGCCCACCAGAATGAATCCGAGGCCGTTGCCATCGTTGATCAGATCGATAACCTCCACCTGTGACCATTCGGTGCTTAGGACCATCTTAGGATCGGTCTCTGGATGGTAGTTGTTGCTGTTGTTGCTGGTTCAGTAATTACTTCTGTGGCAGTTATTGTTTCCTCTGTTTCTTCGGTTTCTTCGGTTTCTTCTGTTTCTGTTGTTTTAGTTTTAGTTTTAGCTTCTAACATGACGCGGTGTCCCCACTCTGGTTATTGGCCGTGTTATCCGGTGGTGCTGGTGGCAATACTTTGTTGGTTTTTTGGATTTGTTTTGTTTTTGTTGCTGTTATATTGTTGTAATTGTTGTTGCATCAATTTTTGTGACAATGATGAATTTGTTGCTGCTTTTATGGTCATTCGAGTGACAATTACGGCCTGGCACGGACTCCGCTCCTGGCACAGCCAGCGCCAACCGCATTATCAACGGCATTGACAACGACTTTGACTGCGAACTGAGACGCCGACGACGACGACGACCGCAACAGCAGCACAGCAGCGTGCCTGTAATTATGTTAAGCACGCCCACACGCACCCAAACACGCACACGCATACGCACGCAGGCACACGGACAGGCAGCAGGCAAACAAAAAGTTAGTAGAGCACCAAGCACGGGGCGTATACGCAATGCCACTCCACCGCGTTCGAGGAGTCAGGGAGTGAGGAGAGCGCGATGCGTAGCGATTTGGCGTGACACGGGTGTGAAGCGAGAATTTAAATTGCTGCCCCGCCAGGCATAACATTCTTCATTACTTTCGGTTGCCCCTGCCCCCCCCCCTGCCCGCCTGCCACCATTCGAGGTAAATATTCGAAAACGATCAAGGAGTTTTGTAGAAATTTCAAGCAAATACTTGCAGGGGAGAGGACGGTGCTTAGGAGGGGTTAGTTTTATTATAGTTTTCACTTAGTAGGTGGCTGGTAAAATATAATAGAGGAAGATATAAGAGGGAAGCTGTGAAACAGCCCCCGTGAGCCTCAGAAGACGGTTTGAGTAGTGATATAAGGATAGTCCTATTAAGTTTAACATATTGTTGATTCCCCTATTTTTTCAATTCTTTCTTTCTTTCTCCTCATGCTTGTTTTCAAAGACAGTACCTAAGGAGTTCAGTTTTTTAGTAGATTCGTGTAAATATGCTAGAGAAAGTGGCGCATACATTCTTGATCGGAGTCAATAGCCGAATCGATATAGCTATTTGTTGTGTCCCCTTGTCCGTCTTGATCTCAGAGATTATTGAAGCTACAGCAACTGGAAAATGTTTATAAAGTCCACGACACTAGCGCTAATTTGGTCTAAGGTTAAATTGTACGTTTTGTCATTCACTAGAAGTGGGCGCTCCACAACCACCTCTCTCTCTCTGTTTCTACCTCTTGTGTGCCTCGAAAAGCCTACTGAAACGTTCAGACTGTATTTTCTTCCTTTCTTTATGGCATTTTTAACTATGTCTCTTGTTGCAATGCGATTGAAGTGTTTCACTCCCTCATTTAATTACTTTACGCATCTTTCTTTTCTTCTATAAAAATGTTTCTGGCAGCCTGCAAGGGTATGCAGAAAGCGGCTCTGGTAAGGTGGCAAGCTTTTCACATGTGTTTTGCGCTAATGGTTTTTTGTTTTGCCTCTTCTTTTTCTCTTTTAATGGCGCCTTTTTGCACGATTTTGTAATTTACATGCACACACACGCACTGAGCCAACGGGATGTCGCTCACGTGCCACGCATGTTTGCCACCAAACACACAGACCCAGACCCAGACCCAGAGCCTTTCTCCTGCCCAGACCAGGAGCCCTCAGCCGCCGCCCCCTGGCAGTTCTAATTGGAAAATACCGTGCAAAGCGGCAAGTGCGGAGTTGTGGGGCCAGTGGGGCGAATACTTAGTGTTGCATACTTTGTGGCGCCGTTACTGACAGTCGGGAAACAATCTGCAATCGAGCGATAAGTTTCGAGCAGCAGCACCCCGCACCACCGCCCCAGCGATTACTACCAATCCCTGAACAAGCCATATGGCTAATAATCAGGAGGCGGGGCAGGGTGGATGTGCCAAGTCTGGATTGAAATGGTTTTGTGGTTTTCAATTTGCTTTCTTTTTCGGCTGCTTGCAGTGGCTGTGGCTGCGGCTGCGTCTGGTGTGGCCAATGTCAGTCACAGTTCATTGAGGTAGGTTATGGAAAGCATTTGTCTGCCAACAGAAAGCGTAGAAAAATTGAATGGAAAGAGCCTTTAAATGGAATGCATCCACTGAACTTTATACCTATACAAAATTGGAGATCAACTCCGAGAATTAAAGCAAAGTTTTTTCCAGCAGATCTTTCCTTGTGAAGAAAGTTCAATTCATTTCTTTATCATTTCCAATATAGATCAATAGTTGCATCGATTATATGGAAGGTTTCTACCTTCTAATTCAACGCAGCAGCCAGTGAGACCAAAAAGAAAACACCACTTCCAAAAGGGAAGTAATAAAGTAACAGAAACTCCAGAAAAAATGCCACAGCACTGCTCCATAGTTTGCTCATCTCTGACCGCTAATGGCCGCGCTCACAGCAGTGGGCCAAGACCTCGCACTGGGCCAGAAGCCGCAGCCGAGTCCGTATCAGGGCCACGTTGCTTGCCATTTTAATTGTTGTTTTCGGCTGCTCCTTGCAGAGTGTGGAGTGTGGGGCGTGAGGCGTGAGGCTGGCGCCCATCCATTGTTGGGCATGTCTGCCAATGACTGCAGCTGTCAATTAGACGCTGATTGACTTTGCATTCACTGGACACGGATTGGCACACGATGCGTATGATTAACGCTGTGGCCTGTGGCCTATGGGCCGTGCCGTTGCCTGTGCCTGTGCCTCAACTCGAGCCTGTCTACGTGTCCATGTACGGGTCCTGTAGTGACCCCCCACACAACGCAACTTTTCACTCTTTGCCTTGGCTTTGGTCATTTGTTTGTGAACATGCCAGCCGCCGGTTCCTCCGCCGCCTGCACTCTGTGCTCCACTCTAATCCACCCCCTTGCGTGTGTGCCTCATTTAACTTGGTTGCGGTCCGGCGGGTGCGCAGGAAAATGGGGATTGTGAGCAGTAGGAGTAGTAGCTGGTGTCCCAGGCCCATTACTCGGGAAAGTAGGCCAAGCGCGTTTGAAGTTTGCACTGCGTTTGTGTGTGTGTTTGTGTCTGTGTTGCCAGCTATTTTTATCCGCCTCAAGTTGAGCCAGGGGCTGCCCGTGTTCCCTGCCTATGAATTCTTCTGCGACTGGGACTCCGAGTGCGACTGCTGGCTGTGCCAGTTCTGGCTCTTGTTTTCGCTTTCCACCAACTGAACTGCCTGCCGTTGGCCACTGTTGCTTCCAACGCACTTCAAGCTGCCGCGACGCTGACCTACTGAGCGTTATTAGCCGGCTCACGGCTCGAGTTGCTTGGCCTGCGCGGCTGCCCCTGCTAGCCAAATGGCGATGGCGATGGCGACTTGGCGTTGACGTTAGCTTCCCTTGGCTCAGTCAAGCGTTGAAAATCGATAAACAAAAAAAAAATAAAGCGGCGGCGAAGAAGCAGGAAAGGTTAGGCGAAACATGCCGAAATCCAGCATACCCTTGACAGCAATACACTTGACAATTCCTTAATTCATGGGGTATTATTTTTGCAGGAAGGAAAACTGCACTACAATCTGTGTAGTGCATTTATTTAGCCTGGCTAAAGTCTCTCAAACTGTGAGGCCAAACAGGCGAAGAGGCAAACCACGAAACATAAACATCCAACAAACTGAACGGCTTTCTTTTCTAGCTGGGCCACATGGAAGCTCGCATATTCAATGCCAATGGCAAATGTATTTTTGTCGGCTATAACTTACAACTCCTATGCTCTATTCTCTCTTGCTCCGCAAGACGGAGTCCTTTCAGTGACGGAGTCCTCGTCCCACGCCCAAGCCAAGGCAAGTGAAGACTTGCCAGCCATCGCTCTTGCCGACGGAGCCTGGTCTAGCCGCATTGTGGCTGGTGGCTGGTGGTTGCCGGCTGCTGGCTGGTGTCGTGTGGCTGCGCCTTTTGACCTGCCTACCCGCCCTGGCACCGCCACGCCACGCCAGGCCAGGCCAGGCCAGGCTCTTAGCCAAATTCCTGCAGCCAAAATGTGAGGCGAGCAGGCAACAACTGCGGGCAAAGAAACTTGTAAACAGGCGGCACGCAATTCGCAATTACTTAGCCGACTCCTGACGCCCCACCCTACCCACGCGCCAGGGACATTAACGCAAGCAGGCAGGGGACACAGAAATTGCTCCAAACTATTTTCCTATTGATTTAACAACAGCGAAAGCGAATCGAACGAAGTCTGCGACTGGGACTGGGACTGGGACTAGGACTTGGCCGCAGCCGGCTCTGGACCAACTGGCAGCTATTCCATGGCTGCATGTGTGTGTTCGCTTCCCTGACTCCTCCTGGATTGCGTACGAGTGTGTGCGGGGGTGTGTGTGGGTTGCTGGTGGGGTTCTGTGAACTCTTAATTGGCAGCCGCTTTAAGGCCGACTTCCACTTTCACTTCTGGACCCGGTTAAGGCAGGCAAATGGCAAATTACCCGAACTGGCTGACTGGCTGGCTGGCTGGTTGGCTGGCCAATTTATGGGCCAGCAAACGGTTTCCGCAACGTTTTGTGGCACTTCATTCACGCACTTCATAAACACATAGCCAGGCGACGGATAACGAGGGATCGGATGGAACACAACGCAGGGAACACGGAAGAACCGAATGGCGGAACGGCGGAACGACGGAACGACACTCGTATTGTTTGCTTTTTGTTCTGGCTCTGGCTGTGGCTCTAGCTGTAGCTCTATACTCGGTTGTGCTTTGTGCTACTCATTTATCAGTTTACGCGCGCATTTTCCGGCACTGCAACATGCCCGCACGCCACGAAGCTTCTTCGCCAAATGAAGTGCCCGCTGGCCAGATTGCCCAACGCTACCGTGGCACACTCCCAGCTCTCTGCTGTCCTCTCTCTCTGGTGTTGCTCCGACTTGCGGCACGTGGCGGTCCGTTTGGCTTAGCGGACGGGGGCCAGCGGCTGCTCCGCTCTCCGCCCATGCGCAGTCGCCTGCCACATGACTCCCAAGATGCACTGTGAGCGATGTGGCCCGACTATCGTTCGCAATATTTACAAAATTAAGCTGCCTGCCGAGAGCGAAAGCTGGCGAGAGAGCCAAACATTTCCGCACAGTGGCGCGACACAAAAGCTTTCCAAAGGGGAGCAAATACGAAGCGAAGGACTCTAAATAGTTGATGAATATCACCTATAATTAATACCTATAATTTTCTGACAAAATACATATTTAATGTGGATTTTGCTGGCTCAAAGCCATTTCAAAAGGTTACTTAAAAGAAGAGTTGCCCCTGAATATAATATTTATACTGACAATTCACTTTTCAAGTGATCAAGGGCTTCCTAGTCCTTCCAAGTTGCTGGATAGATAGTTTCGAATGATTCCAAAATTGGAGCCAACAAGTGCCAGCGGACTGCACGGACATTGCTGCTGAGGCAACCAACAAACCGCCTGCGCCTGCTCGGTTGTCACAGGCAACCGATGGCGATAATAAATAAATGGTCAGGCGTCAGGTGGCAGGTGGAAAGTGTCGAGTGTGGCAGGCGGCAGGTGTCCTGCCTCTGCCTGCCTCCATTGACCGACCGACCAGTCGACGGTTGGCAGGGCCACCGCAAGGCCACCAAAAATCAAAAGTTGAAAGAGTGTGAAATGTGATAAGCTTCCCGACCAAAAAAAAAAAAACAACAAAAACAAACAAAGTCTCAGAGCGAAAAAGGGAAAAATTGTGACAAGAGGAAAGCAGAGAGAAACATTGCACCTGCACACGGCACCCGGCACCCAGCACCCGGCCCCAAATCGGGGGCAGGACCCACCACATGTCAATCAATGCTGTCAAAAGAGAGTGACGACGAGTGGGGATGGATTTCCAGGGAAATGGGAAATCACTACACAGATGGCCATGCAAAGTAAATACTGTTTAAATTTGTAGGTCTCCCAATAATACATACTTCGGAGTTTCGGCAGTTCTCGATAAATAATACAGAAAGATACACGAATTCCAAAAGTTCTCTGCATAAAATATATATAAAAATATACACAAGAAACCGAGAACTTATCTAGCTATAAACAATCGATAAATAACAACAACAATCGAACGCTCGACTAGATTGGCTGCAGCATAGAATGGATGACCTCGATGAGGATTATTATGTGGACGAGTCCTTTGAGACAGACTCGCAGTCGGATGCAGAGGATCTGGACCAGAAAGAGGAAGAGAAAAAAGAAGAGAACGATGACAAGGACGAGGACGATAACATTGACGATGACGAGGACGATAACATTGACGATGACGATGACGAGGATAGCGCTACACTTGAAGATAGCGTCGATACCGAGGATACCGAAACCGACGACGACCCCAGGGTGGAGTTCCTGCTGGGAAACGTAAGTCAGGAGACGACTGTGCCTCATCCTTCGCAGGAGCTGACCATCAAAGAGTTTAGCCTCGATACCAAATCCAACGCCCCGTCCCACCCACAGCCACATGCCCGCCGGCAGCTGCTACGCGCCCGCCTCGGTGCCCGCAGCAGCAACCGCAAGACGCCAGGCTACCCCAGCTCCTCGTCCGATGAAGAGAGCCAGGTGGTCATTACCAAAACGGTGGCCGAGGTGAATCCGTTGGCCCTGGACATGGACGATGAATCGCTGGAGAATGACGATGACCCGGACTCGGTGCGTACCCTAAAGCCTGGCAGTGCCAGGTCCCAGAAGAACGTGGACAGCAACGCGTCAGACGAGGAAGTGGACGATGAAGAAGAGGTGGATAACATGAAGTATGGGGACGCCATTGACATATCGGAAGAGGACGAAGGGGAAGACAAATCCTTCTTGCTTCCAAGTCTGCCTGCCGAAGATGTGGAGGAGCAAGAGGAAGATCCGGAGAGCGATGGCGCCTACGAGTCAGACGCAGAAGAAGATCAAGAGTCGCCCGAGGAGAGCGATAATGGAGCATCCGGATCCGATGTCGAAGTGGATCAACTGGAAGAGGACGAGCCTGAATCCACAGCGGCTCACAACGACTTCACTGTGGCCGATGACAGTGACAACAACAGCGATCGAAGCATCCGGTCGGACATAACCCTGGTGGACGGTAAACATCCGTCGCAGCTCCATCTGAAGGGGAAGCTCGAGGCGATCAACGAGACCGAAGCGAGGATTGAGACTGATGCCAAGACAAAGCCGCTAATCGAACCAGAGCATCTACACAAGGACCTCACGGCGCAGCAACTTGCCGCGGCCATGCCGCCCATGGACCAGCTGGAGAAATTTCTCAGCGAGATGAGCGCCGCAGACAGTACCCTGATGTCCGATAAGTCGACACCCATGAAGCTGCTGGACCGCCAGATGACCCAGATGTCCGCCATGATCATGAAGACATTCCGCATGAACGGCGGAGCGGCCAACAATCGATCCTTCGAGGAGCTGTCTGTGGCCACGGACAGGCTGCGGGCGCGCAGCGCGAATCTGGAAGACGCTCAATCGACAACGGAATCGAGTCTGGTGAGCGCTCGCAGCTGTGAGAGTAGTGAAAAGATGTTGTGGACAAAAGGAATGGCTCCTCAGAACTACGAGGAGAGTGTGAGCTCAGTGCGTACGCGTTCCCATTGCCGCTGTCCCTCCACCACAGACTGCACGGAGACGGACCAAACGCCAGTCACGATGCTGGATGCTGCTTTCTATGTGGACGAGTGCGGCCAGGGGGACGGACTGATGCGGCATCCACACCAGCGGCGACCACCCGAGTTCCAGCGTAGATTATGCAGCGCAACGCCCAGCAGCTACTCCACCGAAGTCTGTGCCCGTGCCAGCAATGTCTCGCATTCGCGCTCGTCCAACGAAAAAATAAAGTGAGTAGCGCATCGTGGGTTTAATTGCTGGACAAATAATCGTTCACCTGCTTGATAGCTACAAAAATCTGGGGCGTAAGAGCTACAGCTTCACCAACGAACAGATGCGCAATATCGAGCGACAGAACCACATACTGCTGCAAAAGATGATGACGGTTAAGCCCACGGCCCAGATCAAGGCCAGCACCAGTGCCATGAAGTGCAACACCAACACAACATCCATGGTGAGTAATATCAGCCGTATTATGGCCCCGTCTCATGCCCATTCGCATTCGCATTCTATCAGCAACAGGCACTGCCGCCATCGCGTCTTACCAGTGCGGCAGTGAATCGAAAGAAGTTTCAGCGACAGATTAACCTGGAGAACGAATTGATTAAACGCAAGCTGGATGCTATACACACGCGTCGTCCGATATTCAAATGAAGCCGAGACACGCCACCCTGCTCCAGCCCCAAAACTGTGTTCATGTTTAGTAATTTATTATGCGAATTTACGAATTAAAATTTATTGCAAGTTGAAAAAATGTAGAAAAAACGAGATGTGTAAACTTAATCTAGATGGGAGTCAGCGTGCACTGTAGATTACTATTCGAATATTAAGAGTTGCTTGCAGTTTAAAAAAATCCCTGCTGGAATAAATAAATTTGATAAAAATTGCCTAAATAACAAGTACAGTAGTCAAAAGAATAGTAGTGCTACGTTGCAGCAAAAAAGAGACACAAAATTGTGTGGAGTCCCCTCACAATGTTATTTCATTGATCTTCGTGAGAAATGTTTCGCCCAGACCCTTGACTGCTTTGAAGGCAGCCTCTCCGTTCTGCTCCTTAAAAGCCAATTCATTGATCAGTTTTTGCTTTTCGCGCTGCTCCAGATCGCGATAGATGACTTGTCCAATCTGAAAGAGATGCAAACCCTGAATCAAACTGTTTATGGCATGGCAAATGGCTCTACCCACATAGACATCAATGGCCGCGTACATCAGTTGGTTCTCGTCGAGTGGAATGACATGCCACTTGCTCATTCGCACTTTCTTGCTCTTGTCCATCGCCCTCTTGGCTATAAAGTTGGCCAGCCGCTCCAGACTCCAGCGGCCGCCAGTCTCGCAGACCTCATTGCACCACACGCCCAGATCGACGCACTTTTCAATTAGCGCATCGGCGGACACCTCGGGAAAGTCGCGCTGCAACTTCCGAAAGTCCCTGTGAAAGGTTTGGCATTCATTTGATTATTCAGGGTGTCAAATTTTAGCTAACAAATGTCACACTCACGCTTTTATGTTGACGCCATGCAGGCGCACTTTGGGATGATTGATCAGGGCCACCAGGGCCGCCGGCAGTTTCTTCAAGTTGCTCAACTGATAGACGTAGCAGCACTTCTCGTCCACGCAGATTTGAATGACGGAGGATTTGCCAGGTCCAGTCTGGAATGAGAAGGGCCACTCCATGTCGAATGCCATGGGGACCACATCCGCATCGGTCTGCTTGTCCACCCATTGCCTGATTAAAATATAGTTAATTATAAGAGATATCTTTAATTCCTTGTAGTCTGTGGGACTTACATCACATCATCAGCGGATGCGGCAATGTCCTGGTTCTCTGTGAAGTACTTGATCTCTCCGCGGTACTTGATAAACGGCAGCTTCTCGGGCACCACCTTCTCCGGCGAGGGTGTTCCATCCTCGGCCATGGATCGCGTGCTTCGAGTCAAGCGGCCACTGCGACGCTTGGGCGGGTTCTCGCTCTCCGCGGTCTCCTTTTCCTCATTCTGCGATTCAGATCACTTGATATTGATGGCACCCACACAAGTTATTAATTTGTTTGCTTACTACTTCGGGAGTATCCAGATTCTTTCGCTTGACCGCTGGCTTGGCTTTTCGTCCCGCTCTTCCCTGCTTTGGCGATTCGTTAGCCTGAGCGTTTTCCTTCTCCTTAACCTGAGACGAAGAATTGGTTATCAGATGACTGAACGTGAACTAAAATCAACAAATCGCTGCTTGCCTGAACAATAGTGTTTTTATTCGACTGTTTAGCCGCTGGCTTGGATGTCTCATTTTTAACAACCGGTTTCTGTAACACGAAATAGATATTTATAAACACAGCTGACTCAGACATTGTTTAATTGCATACCTCTTCTAGAATGTCATTGTTTTTCGCTTTAATCGGCATTTTTATTAAAAATTTATCCATCTTCAGCCACTTGTTTGCGTCGTTTTCTTTGTTTACTTTTTTCCCGCCAATAAAAAATACGAGTTCGATTTTCTTTCCCTCTCTAGGTCACACACCTTGCAATTTTCTTAGACATTCTCGAAAAATTGAAAAATACCAAAAATAAAATACTTAATTAAAATAAAATTAAAATTAAATTCCAACACATAATCTTCTGTCTGAGGATTCTATCTAGCAGGAAATTATTAACCGCATATTAAAATCAAAGATATATATTTTTAGCCTCTTTTTTCCTTGTTTTCTTATTTTCCCGCCTAAAACTATGTGTAGTCGCAGCATTGAACAATTAAAATACTGAATCCCTCTAAAATACTGAAATGTCATATTTAGTATTATTAATTCCGCGCCTCAATGTTATTAGCCAACACTGGTCGCAAAAGCCGCATTGGCAAAAACATTTTTGTTTATATTTTGTATTCCACGGTAAAGTGCTAAAATAAAATGTCTTTCCCAAAGGTGTCGACCCACTATGTATCGGAGAAGATATCCGCCGTCCGGTGGCTGCCGGAGCAGCTGCATCAGAGCGAACGCTTCGTAACCGGCTGCTGGGACATGGACCACAACTTTGTGCGCTTGTACCGCCTGCAATCGAATCAGTACGCGGACACCAATGTGGACTACATTCCGCGCTGCAACGACAAGGTGGCCATGGAGGGAGACGTCACAGCAATGGAGTTCGTGGACAATAACACAATGGCCGTGAGCTGCTCCGACGGTGAGTTCTGTCCGTACTTCTATTTGCGAACGAAACTATCAAGATCCTTCCCAATTGCCAGGTCACCTCAGTTTGTTCAATGTGCAGCGTGCCGTGGAGGAGGATCAGCTGCAGCGCACAGCACGCTCCGAAAGACTGCACTACTTCAAGCTCTCCAACAAATCAGCGCCCTGCACCGACCTTTCCGTGTATGGCGGTGACATTGCCACCGTTGGCGAAGACGGCTGCGTCAACATAATGAGTGCCAGCAACGTGAAGCAAGTGAAGCGCACCATAGAAGCAGACAGCATGTCCCTGCTCTCGGTGTGCTACATCAGCCAGCAACAGCTGGTCACTGCCAATCGCATGGGCGTAATCCGAATGCTCGATGCCCGCGCTGCCACCGGGGCGCAGCCAAAAGTATCCATCGGCGTGGCTAGCCAGGACGAAAAGAGTTCCTGCTTCGTTTCCGCCCTGAGCACGCATCCCATGCAGCAGCACATTCTGCTGTGCGGCACTGAGGAGGGCTCCATAACAGTGTGGGATCTGCGCAACTTGGAGTTCCCTTCCTCGTATCTGAGCGCACACGACAGTGCCATCACCGACATCGGCTTCCATCGCAAGGATCCCTCCAAGGTGTTCACAGCCTCCGAGGCGGGCGAGGTCTGGATGTGGACGGAAAACAAGATGATCGGCGACCGAACCACAAAGGATGGCACAAGCGCCTGGCTGAGCGGGGATCGTGTGCGTTCGCTGATCAATGTGGATGGTGTGTTGACAAAAATTCGCAAGTCCGTCAATTCCTTCGATATAAATGGCACGCGGCTGCTATGCGGCGGCGACACGGAGGCCGTTTATTTAGTTGATAATATTTTTTGAAAATGCATTTTCTGTTCACTGCCATTAAAATAGTTTGTTTCTTTTGGTTACGCCTCCTCCCTCTGCCCTACCAATGCATCGCTTTGATTTTGTGTGAGCCATTTGCGATTTGAAATTCGGGAAAGGCAATTTGCAGCGCCAGCAGCAAATTGTCCAGCAGTGGTGTCCCTTCATGCGTTGGTGTTTCCACAAGTTGCGTCTAACCAAAAAAAACGCAAAATAAAGTTAGCTTACGTTTTCCTTTCAGGCTGAATGTCAATTTACTCGGTTTCGAAGCTGCTGGAGCAACGTTTCCACGCACATCCGAACTTCAGGATATTCTCTTTTTCCTGGTGACCCTTCTGATGTGCATTGCGGTCATAGCGGCTTTGGAACACTTTCGGGCAATAAAGGCACTTGTAGAAGTGTCCCATTTGGTTCTCCCTCAGTTGATTGCGCGGATGTTTTCGGCTGGCCGGGGCCACCGAACCTTTTGCCATTTTCGTGTCCCGCGGCACAGGTTGAGGGCGGTGCGTCTCGGGCTGTTCCATCTCTGACGTAGCACTAAGATACTGTAGCACCAGGCTCAAGCCCAAGGACAGAGTGATTTGCATACAGCTATGGAAAAGAGAAAAGTGCAATGCATCCGAAGAATCCGCTGTGAAGAACGTTTACCTTTTGCACTCAGATTCGCTGATAGAAGAATTGTTTGCCATTGCAGTGTAACACAATTCATTTGAAGCAAAGCTGACGGGCTGTGACAAGCGTAGCTGTCAAACAAAAATAGTGTGGGTACTCATTTTGATATATCCGTTGTAATAACTTTATAAATACTTTTCGATATTTATTCATAATTTGCTTCGGTATACGCAAACGAAACGTTGGCTTAGATCAATCAAAGCACCTGTCCTAAATGTACGCTTAAACACTAAAACTATATGATTAAACTTTAAGTGTGTGTGTGTGTGTGTGTATGTTAATTTCACGTTTTGGGTGCTGCTGTGTTGTGAGTGTTTGATGTGGTAATTCTTACTCCGACTTAATGTCTACTTCGTTGGCTAATTTTGTTTGAATAGATTTATGCGTGTTTTTCAACTACCTTACTTGCGTACGAATGTACTATATATGAATGCTATGCGAATTTAATAAATACATATGTATATGTATATGTATGTACAGTGAAGCACTTAGGGCTAGGACCGAATCCCGGATACGGATCCGTTGTTATCTTTGTTTAATTATCCGCGTCGATCCGAACAGAAACATCAATTTGAGCATTTTAAACTGCATTCTGGGGGGGGCGCGGGACTTGGACTTACTGTTAACCGTTAACCATTTTACAACATAAACAATCCGAAATAATTTTGATTTGTGGTTCAATTTAGAGCAAGGAAATCTAAGCTAATTATCAAAAACTGTTTCAAGAGTACCCCTAATATACGTTCTTTGCTGAAACCAATGAAAAAGTGTATGTGTTTGCAAGGATCGAATTTGTTCCGTTTTCATGAACTGTGTTCCTGGGCGTGTACCTGGTAGATGCTACCTATATTTGCATGTATGTATGTATATATATATATATATATATGTATATTTATATTACCCTATTTATCTTATGGGGGGCGGGGAAAACGCTCTAGTAGAAACGCTCGAACTTGGGCGGCTTGTTGAGTGCGCAGAAATAATACCCTGAATAGTTTTGTGTGGCGCCGGGTGGAGTGTAGTCGCTGATGCTGTAGTTCCCGTAGTCGTAGTTGCTCATGTGGGCGTGTGGGTGTGTGTGGGGGTGGGCGTGGTGATGTGTGGGGTGCTGGTGGTGCACGTGATGTAGATTCGGGTGGTGCTGGTGCGGGGGGTGATAGTGTTGAAAACCGCCTGCACTGCGTGGCTTTTGTCATGTAAGGAGGCTGTTGCCACCACCACCGCTGCCACCGTTGCTGCCACTGCCACTGCTGCTGCCATTGTTGTTGTTCCCATGGACGCGCATGTGCCGATTGAGGTTGCCCGACTGCGAGAATCTGTGTGGGAGATGGAGATGGAAAATGAGTTCCAGTCGACGAGGAATCCCCGGGGGCAAACTCACCTGAGCAGGCACAACTTGCACTGGTAGGGCTTCTCGCCGCTGTGGATGCGCAGATGCTTGGTCAGGGTGGAGCTGTCCGAGAAGGACTTCTTGCAGGAGGAGCAACGGTACGGCCGCTCCCCGGAGTGCGTGCGCATGTGCGTGGTGACGCTGGAGCTCTGCGAGAAGCGTCTATCACAAATGGGGCAGCGGAACGGCTTCTGGCCGGTGTGTGTGCGTACGTGGGCCGTCAGGTTGGCGGCCTGGGAGAAGCTCTTGTTGCAGTCCGGACAGCGATACGGCCGCTCGCCCGAATGGGTGCGTAGGTGCGTCTTCAGTGTGCTGGGCCGGGCGTACGTCTTACCGCAGAGCCGGCACAGGTTCGGCTTCAAATCACCGCCAGCGCTGCCCTCCCCATCCTCGGTGCTGTCCTCCCCGTCATCGTCGAAGGCCGACAGTCCGAGGCCCAGGGATGACGCTCCCACCTGGTAACCGCTGCCGGGACTCTTGTGGGGTGGCGTGTAGCTCTGGCCGCCACCCACGCCGGCGGCATAGTAGCCCAGTGCGGCGGATGTGCTGGTAGCAGGCGGCGACGGCGACTCCTTGTCACCTACAGCTAGCGACGGCAAGGATCCCAGGGCCGTGGGCGCTGGCACAGGTGCACGGAAATCCGCCGTGAAGGAGTAGGTGGCCGAGGCAGGGTAGTGGGTGGGACTCAGCAGCGGCGGATACAGCACATTCACTGCCGAGGAGCTGCTGGGCGGCGTCCAGTTCATCTGGGAGCACTGCATGGGCACTCCTGTGCCGTCGGCTGCCCCGTAGCCGTGGTGCATGGTCATGTTCATGCTGACGTTCACACTCATGCTGGGATACATGGCCGCGGCGGCTGTGGGGGCACTGGGTCCCGCCTCGTAGTAGCACGAACCGCTGCCGGGGCCACCTCCGTTGCTGCTGCTGCCCTGGAGGAGCGTATTGCCGCCGTGCGATGGCTGGCTCTGCACCTGCTGCGAGTGCAGGTGCTGGTGGTGCTGATGCTGGGGCTGGTGCTGGGACTGGTGGTTGCCATGCCCGTGCTGCTGGCCGCCGTTGGGCGAAATGAGCATCTGGTGTGGATGGACGGTGTAGGAGAGCGAGGCCTGGTGCGGATTGCCGGCAAAGTTGTAAGAGGCGCCGCACGGCGAGAAGGGGAACAGGCTGGGCAGCGGATCAATGTCCAGGGGCGGCAGGCCGGGGAAGGTGGATGCCATCTCGTCGGTGCTCCAGTAGCTGTTGCTGCCGTTGCCGACGTTGTTGCCGCTACCGGCACCCGTGCCCGTTAGGTTGCTGCCGCTGCTCGCCGGCGGAGTGGTGTTGATCTGGATGTGGCCAGCGCCTCCGCTGATGCCGATGCCGATGCCAACGCCGATGGTGGGATCGAAGCAGCCGCCGCAGTCAAAGTCGCTGCTGGTGAGCGAGGAGATGGGCAGGGCGGTGTTGCCTTGGCAGGACAGGCAGCCGACGCAGGATGCAGCACACTCTTGCTGTGGATGGACGGAGACGCGATACGCGATACGGTTAGGACTTGACAGGACGAGCGGATAAACGGAAATACCTGCGGACTGTCCAGCGCCAGGCCGAATAAGGGATTGTTGGGCACATAGCCCGTCTCTGGTTCCACGGGACCTCCGTTTGAGACATCGCACGATATGTACATAGCTCCACCCTCTTGATCTTCCAGGGAATCTGCGCAGGTGACAGCACATGCAAAGGGGGAGATAAAAAAACGAGTGGTTAGCCCCATGGAAAGCCGTCAGAGATGCCCGAAAGCCAGGCCAATTCCCCAGACACATTTCGCACGCGTTCCCACGGTGCCGCAACCACTGTGCGTTCGCTCAGCGAAACTCCGCCCCTTGAGGCGCGCACGACGGCGACGACTCGCACGCGCACACAAACACAAAAACACACAGCGCGCATACAGATGAATGCTAGACCGCCATTTGCTTTGCTTTGCGGCGCTGTCTGTATCTGTATCTGTGTGCTGCTGGGTTCCATAACTCACAAACACACTCAACTCAACTCACCCAGAATTATGTTCAAGAGTCTGGAACCTTTATATAACAATCCCATGACATGACTCCAGTTCTGGAACGTTTGAAATCAGCGTTTGGCGTTTTGTTTCTGCTTTTCCTACGTTTCATGTTGTGGCCTTAATTTCCAACTGAAAAATCAATTACAAATTAATCAACTGGCAAGTCTCTCTGTATGTTTCCGTTTTAGTTATCCTTTATCAATCATTTTTAGCTACTGTATACAGAAATGGCTTCTATGTTGTCTACACTTAGAAGTAGAAGTATTTTTCCCACTTCTTTCCACTCATAGTATTGAAATAAGGAAAATATAAAACGGATGACGAAACTAAAGCTTAAAGTAAGGTAAGCAACCCGATGGATTTCATCATGAGTTCTATTAATATTAGACTAGACTATTCTAGACTATTTAATAATACGCAATAATGCAAAGTTATCTTGTCTTATCACAAGAAAAAATTAATTATCAGGGAATAGGCAAAACAAAATTAAAATATTTCCAACAATTATTTTGAAACGTATTTTTTTTAAGTTTTATCATATATGCGATTGGATTGCAACAATTTTTGAAATGTTTCTGATCAAGTTCAAGTCTAAATTGTCATTTCCGTTTGATCCGCTAGCTTTGGTCAAGAATCAAAAGTAATTTTATTTGGCCCTGCAAAGACAACACCAAAATGTCAATTGCAGTGGCTTTAATAAAAATATAGAACTTCAAACGTTTCGACACGACCTGAAGGTATGGATATACGATTAAATACATATGTATCCACAAAAAAATATTTTATATTATTTTAAATATTTTTATCAGAAAATATTTTCTGCTATCGCTTAATTTTTCCTGTAACTTTAATAAATCGATCCAAACCAGCAAAAGTAATTTTCTATAAATTAAGAAACCCCGATAAATAAATTCTTTTCTGCATCTAAGTTGCAAAAATTCCCTAAAAAGCCTGACAAACATAGTACATATTTACTGTCTATGTTATTATCCCTGATCTAGCCCAACTATCACAGCCTAAGCAATTTTATTTCAACATTTTTTATATCGCCTAGTTTAGTCCATTTCGATTGATAGCACATTATACTCGAAAGTTTATTTATATTTCTCAGAATGATCGTAGAACCGCAACTTTTGTTTTGCTGAAAGTAGCAGAGAGACGTAAAGATATCCAAAATATCTTAAATCATTAATTATATTTTAAATCCATGGGGTTGATCAAGCTTTTGTTTTCTTGTGTCAAATGATTTTTCCCTGATCGATGATGTAATTTTTGGATTGATAAAACACTTTATTGGTTCTACTTTAGGAATGCAGAATACTTTTTCATGCTCGCACCTTCTGAATAGATTTTTCGATCTCATGATCTGTGGTACACAGGATACACTAAATTACATTTAATATTCACAGATTTACACGAATTTTGGTTAGATTTTGATTAAATTTGATGTCGAATTGGGTGTCAGAATATCACACGATCGTTGGGTTTATTCCGGGGATGACTTTGCTGTGTGTGGCTGGATGTGTGGAACTGTTGTGCAAAACTTTGAGTTCTGAGTCGGGTTCAGCGCCGAGTGCGGGGCAAGAAGCGACGACTTTTGGCGACGAGCATAAGACGGCAACTAATTGTCAGTCCCCGTTCGAGGCGTCTCAGCCCAATATCGTATCGACTGGCAGCAAAGCGACAACCACAGAGGAAGAAGCAGCAGCAGCAGCAGAGGCGAGCGAACAGAAAAGAAAAAGAAAAAATACTCACTTAATTACAAAACAAGCGACAAAAGGGCGCAAAAGACAGGGCCAGGGCAACAAGAGTCAGTCAGTCCCATGCTCACACACTCGCACAGGAGGTGGCAGATACTCGTACGAGTGCGGGGTATAATGACACAAGTAGCCAAGCCAAGCCAAGCCAAGTACCGAGTGCTACACATCCCCTGCCCTGCCTTCCACATACCCATCCCTCATCCCTGGCCAGCAACCACCACAAAGACGGCCAGCCAATGCGCTCCGTCTACGGCAGTGCCGGCTTTTGCGGCTACTACCCTGTGCCCTGTACCCTCTTCCGATACTGACTCTACACCGATCCCGCCCAGCCCCGCCGCTCATGTCAGTGGCTCAGTCCCTGAGCCCGTCCCAGTCCAAGTACCAAGCCCATTCATACGTAGCAGCAGCAGCAACAGCAGCAGCAGCAACAGCAACAGCGGCAGCAGTTTTCAGTAGTTTTTATTTGTCACCCAATATCTGTACGGCTCGACACCAGACACCAACCAGAGCTGTGGATATGGAAAGGAAGGGCTGAACGGGAATGGGCTTGGTGGATGGGGATGGGCACGGGGACGGGGATGGGGGTACTGTTGTACTGGCAACCATTGATCGATCGTCTTCGTCGGCATTCTGCTTCCTTCGTTCCATTCTTTTGTGGTTAAATGCATTCGTTTCTGCCGCCTGACGACAGTCCATCAGGCCAAGTTAGCAACACAACCCCCTGGGCCGTCCATCTCTGATTATGCTTCTGTATCTTGTTTGAGTATCTTTGCATCTTACGCTGCTGATTTCCATTCGTGGCTCAGCCAATGACGATTGTGCTTGCACACTCGTCGTAGCTCTGTCTATCGATCGTTGCTCTATTCGTCCAGCGAGCAATTGTGAATAGTTTTGACTGTCATCTGATATTCCGATTTGTGGTTTGCAGCAGCCGGCAGCCAGCAGTCAGCAGCCAGCAGAAGAGGAAGAAAACAGCAGACAACCAGGGGGAATAATGATTATGAAATATTATGGAACTAAGCTTTAAGTTGAGTTACACAAAAGTTTGTGCCCCATTTAAGCCAAAAAGTTCACACGCCCAAAAACCCGAATTCAACCAATCGACGGAATCAGTTGAGTGTAAAGGCTTTCAGTGATCTGATATATGTACATCGTACATACGCGTACATATATATTTTGTAGACTCCCCCATATCATTTTACATCTGCGATGGGAATTTCAGTTCAAACTGAACATCAACGCTGCGTCGTGTGTGTTAAAATCAAAGTCTGAACTGATCCGAACCAGTTTCTGTCGAGGTTTCAGTTTCAGTTACAGTTTTCATGTCAACAACTTGGTAAGGACGAGCTGCCTGAGCCTGGCTCTGCTGCTGCTGCTGCTGCCGACTGTCAGAATGCATTAGGATCGGATCACGGCTGAGTGCTGAGTGCTGAGAGCTGAGAGCTGGTAGCCACATCAGGCGGGGCGGGTATCAATAGCAATTAGAGCGCATCTCAGGTGTGTTCAGGTGTCAGCTGATCAAACGGCTACAGCATCCACCCCCACCCCGATTTAGCGCGCTGCCCTCTCTCTCTGTCCTTGTCACCCTCCCTCAGCTAACCACAAAAGCCAAAGAATCTGTGAGTTTGTGGCAAATTAAGCAGAAGGGTAAACACCAATTTGGCCACCCTCCCAGGGACCTGTTATCACACCAGCTCATCAGCATCAGCTTCATCATCCACCTTATCAACCACCTCACCTCTATTCTATCTGTAGATGAGCACGTGAACTTGTTTGCTCGGAGGCTCAGCTTCGGTTGCTTCTGTTTATTTTACGTATTTAACTTTGCCAACAATAAGTGGACATGATCCTGCGCTGGTCCTCCTTCTAAGCCACCTCCCCCCACTCCTCCTGCCCGGCTGCGATTCTAATGTTGCCACCAGCAACGCAGCAGCGCGTATTTTTACTCATTTTTCTTTTGCCTTATATATTTCTGTTCTGTTCTGTTTCTTCTCTGTTCGGTTCGGTTTGGTTCTGTGTTCTGTGTTGGTGTTGTGTATTGGCGAGGCTTCAAAAATCAATGAAATACTTTTCGGGTGGCACTGATGCGGCTTCCCTGGGTTTTGGCTGCGCTTTGCTTTTTATGCTGGCTAGCACCCAAGTCATTCAACATGTTAATGCCATTCGGTCACATTAGATGCCGGCTAAAATGAGCCAAACAGGCGCACCCCAGCCCAGCCGTGGCAGGGCGCAGGAGAAGCAGTGGCCGAATGATGGCAATTTGGTCTATATTAAGATAACTTTTTCCTAATTTAGTAAGACGTTTCTTGAGCTATTTAATTAGGTTAGTGTTAGCTGATGTTATTTGATGTTAAGTGTTTCTATTTGCGGTCAATAAAACTAAAATTGAACCCTGTCCACAGCAGCTCTTATAAAGCAACACAGTCAAAATATTTCAGTGATTAAATGTACTTGAAAACAGTAGGAATTTGTATAAATTTGAATATTGAAGAGTAATTTAATAGGAATATAATCAGAAATTTATTGTGTAGAATATTAAATCCAAATTAAAAGATAAAAATAATTTTTGAATGATTTGAAATCAAAAATTTAATATCTAAAAAGTTAAGTAAAAATATTGGAATAGTTTAAAAACTTGTAAAGATATTTTGTATATGTGACGGTACATATATTTCAATCAATTCCAGCTATATTTAATTATCGCAACTTCTCCGGAGGTAGCCCTTTTAGTTCACAAATCATTCAGAAATTTGGAGTATCAAAACAATGCCGATAAACACATAAATTATTTAAGGAATATCCATTTAAAAAATACTATATGACATTAGCATATAGCATTCTAAATACGTATATCTTTAAATCGAATGCAGTTTTTCATCATTATTTAAATTATTTCATGCTTCTTATACGATTCTCCGTCTGGCTCCAGCATTTAATGGTTAGATAGGAATAAAAAAAAACTCCATCTTTATTGCATACTTATTATACTCGTATGATATTTGGGAACCCCTCGACTTCAACAGAAGTGCGATATATGGTTTCTATGATTACAAATTTGGAAGTTTTTCGACGCACTAGTAGGAACAACTGCTACGAGAGCATTGCCACTGACAGGCTGGCTATGCTATGCCCCCACCCTATCTCCGGGGAGTATCGATGACCGCTTGACAGGCACAGCCGTTGCCCGAACATTTGCTGGACAGCAGCAAGCGTGATGAGCAGGACGAACAGAAGTCATCGCTGCTGCTGCTGGACTGACAGCTGTACGAGCTGGGATCGGGGACTGTCGCATAACCCACTACTTATTAAATACCTAAGCCAGCTTATTAAATGCTCGCGACATATTCAAAACCAGAAGGAGTGCGAGTGCGAGTGGGAGTGAGAGTGGGGAAGGAGTGGTGTGAAGAGTCCTCTCCCCCACTCGAAAAAGGAGAAAACTACTTGAATTACAGTTGAACTTGGCCACAACAATGTTCGTCCTGCAGATACACTTGAGTGGAGCGCGCCAAATTGAATTTCTGTAAGACGATACTTTCTGGGAGGGGAATATTCGTTGCCAGAAGGAGCAGCAGCAGCAGAAGGAAGACGACCAGAAGGGTTTGTTTCTGCGTTTCTTGGTTTCCCTTATCAATGGCCGGAGTACTGTGTACTCCGTGTGACAGATACAAACCAATGCAGCAATATAATGGGATTCTCTGTTTATTTTTTATTAGAGAATCACTTCCGCAAACAACTGCGGAGGATGGAGATATCCAATAGAGGCAACAGGGATTCCCACAGTAGCGTAGCGGGTAGAGGGCAGACCCAGCAGACCCAGTAGACATGGGCGTTCCGTCAGACAATTATCTGTGGTGCTGACGTCCGTCAGCCACGTTCCATTTATCTGCGATGCGTTTTTGGCAAACCGCAAATGATTATCCTGTAATCCATTGGATAAATATTAAGTTTCAATTAGGCCTGTTAACATATTATTAGCCACCGATCATGATTATCATTGTCATTATATTATCCTTGACGCCGCCACCGCCACTGCCACAGTAGCACTCACCAGCAGCAGCAGCAGTAGCAGCAGCACAGGACACGTGCCAAAACGAGGCGATGATAACAATCTACCGCAACCCTCTTCTCGCTCTTGAGCGAGAAAGAGCCACAGACAAGCAGAAGATGCGACTGCAATTTTGTCAGATTATGGCTGCCCGTGAATTCCCCTGTGTACGGGCTACTCGAACCCCTTGCCTCCCCACGACCTGCGACCACCCCTGAATCGCTTCTCCTGCGCTGCCTCGCTCCTCTTCAACAGGTGAGGAGCGCATTGTGTGAACATTTTTTCGGTTAGCAGTGCAGCTCTACAGAGCTCTTTCTCCTGCTCTGCCATCCCCATCCCCATCGGATCGGTTCGGTTCGGATCGGATATATCGGATTACATTTACCGATTGGCGCTGTGATTTGTCGCTTTTAATAATTCTCATGAACTGAAATTGAAACGGACCAGAGTGTCCTGCCCAGCATTTCTGCCAGGAGTCACGGCAATCACTTTTTCGTTAGCCCAAATTGTAAGCTGTAGACCTCCTTTGTTTCGCCTTTTCTGTCCAAAATAAAAACACTTTTTTAGCTTCAAAGTCCGTATTAAAAAATTGCTCTGCACAGTCAGCTTCTCCGTCCCCGAGTGGATTAGGGCAATCATTTAATTATGATAGCTTTGATTATTTTCTACCGTTTATTTAAAAATTGTTACATATGTGTATGTATTTATGTTTATCTAATGGTCACGTATTTGTATTACTTATAATGCTGGCAACTGCCTTTCCCGCTTTTTACTGCCGTTTCTACAAAATATGTAGTCTTCTCCCTCAACGTTAAGCCGTTCCCTTGCAAATACTAAAATAAATATAATAAAATCTATAAAAATATATTCAAATATTTACCCATTGAATGTGTGTTTGTACCAAGCAGTAGGCACATCCACCTGGCTTTTATCCATTATCCATGGAGTCTTTTTGGAGCTTTGGTTTCTCCATTTGGTATTGAACGAGTTCTTATGACAAATTCAATTGAATATTTTTACAAAACTTTATTTATTTATTTAAATGAAAATCTTAGGCTACAGTTAACTCCCCCTTAATTACAAAGAAATCAAATCAGTTGGATGGTTATGGTCATATATGCATATGAGAAAATAATCTATTGCTGGTTGCTGTGCATTAGCATACGCAGAGGCTGGAGCCAGAGGCCCGTGCCAGCTTAGATCTTGGGATCCTGGGGCGTGAGCTTGGCGATCTTGAGGGACTCCTCCCAGATCTTGCGGCCCTTCTCCTCGTCGAGGGCGGCGGCATTGAGCGTGGCCTCCTTGCAGTCCATGTAGTACTTGCCGTTTGCGTTAGCCACCTCATCGGATGTGGCCAGATAGATGGTGGTCTGGGCACCAGCCTTGGTGGTCTTGAAAAAGCCCTTCGTGATGGCCATCATTGGCAGGCTGAGGGGGAACGGCACGTTGCGCCAGATGCCCGAATCGATCATGCCCGGATGCAAGAAGTTCACGGTCACCCGAGTGCCCTCCAGCCGCTTGGCCAGCTCGCGGGCAAAGTAAATGTTGGCGAACTTGGACACATAGTAGAGATAGGCGGCGGGGAAGCTGCCCACGGGATTCAGCTTGTTCAGGTTCACCGAGGACAGGCGGTACAGCTCCGAGGCCACGATGACAATGCGCGCTGGGGCGCTCTTCTTCAGAACATCGATGAGGAGGTGCGTCAGCAGGAAGGGCCCGTAGTGATTGGTGGCCATGGTCAGCTCGACGCCATCCTCGCTGGTCTGGCCGCGGAAGGCCAGTGCCATGCCCGCGTTATGGATGAGCACATCGATCTTGGGCTCCGTCTTCACGATATCCGCGGCGAACTCGCGCACCGACTTCTGCGAGCCCAGATCCAGCTTCTTCACCACGATCTTGCTGTTGTTCGTCTCCTTGACAATTTCATCTGTGGGGCAAATGGGGAAAGCATCTCACTTAGTACAGAACATATATTTGTGCTTCACTCGACCTACCCTTGACGGCATTTGCCGTCTCCAGATTCCTGCAGGCCATAATGATGCGTGCGCCACGACCAGCCAAATCCTTGGCCGTCTCTTTGCCAATGCCGCTGTTGGCGCCAGTAATGATAACGGTCTTGCCCTCCATTTTTGTCTGTAAAACGATGTCAAAAGTTAATCAGTTAATATATGGCACTAGGATGGTGTCAACAAGGTCTAGGGCGGTTCTGGACAATGTCTATACAGCAACAATTAATAAAATAATCATAGTCTCCGACTTGATTGGGTGTTGGGTATGGTTAGTACGTGTATTAACGGCGCTTTTAATTGCGCCCAGTGGGTAGGTAAGTCGAGAGCTGGGAGCTCAGAACTTTCCGCTGACTCAAGTTCTCAAATCTGGTAATCGAGTCGAAAATCTACCGTCTACAGTTGGCAATGTATAATGCACTGGCAGCTGGTAACTGTAACTGTATCTATGAGATACATACAACTTGTGAGTAAATTATAAACCACTCTCTCTGTCGCTCTCTCTCTCTCTTTCTCTTGCTGTACCTAAGAGATGTGACGTACTGTCCGAAGTATATATTAAAAGATGTAATTAAGTCGACGCGTCACAGCGGGCAAGACAATTACAAAAATTCCACAGAGATTCGTAGCAAAATGCGGTTAAGATTTGATTACAGATCGAATAACCAACCGAGTTCTAGTCGGAGGTTGCCACTAATTAGACAATAAAATCGAATTGGATCTAGAAGTTATAGTCATAGTTATGCAATGATAACTAATTTCGAATATTGAGTTGCCTGCCAAGCGATTCTCGGCAATAAATTAGGCAAAACAGCCCCACTGAACTCACTTTCACGGGGTGCCTTTACACATTTAAAGGCATTTTACCGGAGCCAAATTGGTATATGGTATAGATATATGTATATAGTTTATGTACATCGGTGCATAACTGGAAACTTAAAGCATGTGCAATCCCATAGCGGGTAAACAATAATTCCAATTATTCATTCAATGTACACAAGCATCGAGTTCTTATAAATGTAACTTTAGCATTTCATACATTTCTAATAATAAATAGTAGTCTCAGTATCTCAGCTTGAATAGCAAAGCTATATAGGTAGGAGTGTGGAAGGAACGGGGGAAACCCTGGCACTGAATACAGAATCTCAAAAGAATTTCAAACGGAAGTGAATAGGGCACAAAATCCCAGTTCAAGTCATGTCACGATTTCAATATTTTGGGATGTGTTTTTGGGGGGGAGGGTAGGGATGGGATGGTGCTTGGTTTGGTTGCTTTGGCTTTTGTTTGTGAATGTTTCGAGTGTTTTGGTGGAGGTGATGGAGGTGGTTGCGTTACCTCGGTGAAACAACGTCCCGCCGTAATGCGCAAGTAGAAGCGAATGCTCATCAGGGTGGCCGCAATGGCCGCCGACAGTGTCAGGAGAAAGATGTCGCGGACATAGTGCTCGGTTGGCAACCAACCGAAGACGAAACCCATCCTATAAATAGTATATGGCATGTATAGGTATCTCAATATGTACATAAGTATGCAAATCAGTTTATATAATACTTAATTTTGAGGCTACAAAAGCCAGACGGACGCGGCTCAATTGAGGTAACCCACAAACCAGTTTAGTGTTGGGTTTTTTTTTCTTTTTCTGTTTACCGTTCCGTCTGGAGCTAAAAATTTAGCGATTTTACAATAGCTATGAAATCGATTTGTAATATCGAAATTAACACTTTCACTTTCGACACACACACACACACATATGTGGGTAATTATTACGTATATGGGAACGCTGTGCGCAGCGCAGCGAAGAGCAGCCAAAATCAAAGTTCATTCGCGGCCAAAGCGAAAGAAGAAAGAAGAAGAAAGGGGGAAAGATGAAAGAAAGAAAGAAAGTCTGAAATTTCATGCTGTGGAGTTTCGTGTTTTTCTGTGTGTTTTCGTTTGAGTCGGAGTTTTTGTTTTTTTTTTTGTTTTTTTGTTTTTCTCTGTCCACGTCACAAAAGATTTCTTCAAGACTCTGGCTCTGGTTACGCTTCCGTGCGCCGCTCGCACCGCTCCCCAACCTGCCCATGGCTGCGCCCCGCCCTGAATGCAGTCTCAGCAGCCAAGCCGAGAACGGGAACGAGAACTGACCCGTTTAAGACTGAATTTTGGCCCAGAACATCATCATGACAAGTTTAATGCACACTCACCTGTTTAGGTCCGAACTGATCTATAAGTCTGCTGCAACTGCTTCTGGCCTGCACTTTGGACTAGCTTCGGTGAGCGTTTTGGTATGGGATGGTACGGAATGGAACGCAGCGCAATTCTCGGGTATCCACACTGACAAAACAACCTTCGCCTTGAACGCTTGCTCAGAGACTGACGGATCGGATCGGATCGGAGCCGAGGCTGCGGATCGTCTCCCCACCATTTATTGGTATTGTTATAGCCGCTATAATAGTTGTTTTCGCTGCTCTTTCTTCTGTGGCTTTGCCTCGTTTCCCACTGTGGTTGTAGTTGTTGTGCTAGCCATGGTAACAGGTTGGCCGGGCCGGCGGAACAACTTTAGCTTTGATTCAATGCCGCTTCTCTGTGGATCCTCTTTGTGCCAGTCTTCGGCCAGTCTTCGGCCAGTCGGCTCTCTCCCAGTGGGGTCGCTCATGAAGAGCAGCCACTTAAAGTGGGAAGTGAGGGAGGTGTGCGAGCTTCAAAGGGGGGGTGGAAAGAGAGCTCAATGGAGCTGGCCCTCTGGCGAGAGCTTTTGCAAGCTTGGTTAACCTTTTGGATAATTACGGAAAAATTATGTACAAAATAATGAGGAATGTGTCTACTAAAAATTTTAATAACCGTAGTAACCGAGTACGAGCATACGGGTACCACAGAAAGAAACACAGAAAGGGCAAAATACAGGGCGCGGTTGTTATAATATGAATGATGGGTCAGCTTTTGATGGAAAACTGCGTAAATTAAACACTTCATCCACACCAACAGTCAAACAAATTGCACAATTTGTCGACAGTCTATATATGTTTAAATCAAACTTATACGAGTATGTGAAGCGGAAAAAAAGTATTTAGGCGCCAAATAGCGTGATGATGGCGATCATAAAAGTGGAAATCGATGGGCCAAAATAGTTCCTGTTTGGCTCTCGATATTTAAAGATGTCCCCCAAAACAAGTATTCTCGTTCAGCTCATTGTGGTTTTATATTGGGCCATCGAGGCTAGTAAAACCATCCTGAAGCACTGCAATACATTCTAAAAACCAAAACAAAAATATTGCAGGTCCATTCAAGGATCGAATTTACCAACATTGTGTGCACTTCGTTTGATAAAGAGTTTTCCGACTTTGAGTACTGTTATCTGAAGTCGGTGAATCGGACATATAAATATTTATCTGCGAAATCTAATTTTTACCAAACCCCGATTACGAAAGTAAAGGTAAGTGCAAGGCCAATAAATCGTAAGTTTTACTTACTAATCCCCATCTAAAATATTAGGTCAATGTGGCCCTGCACAAACGATTCAGTGGCTATAAGCCGTTCATGTACAATGTGACAGTAGATTTCTAAAGAATCCTCGATCGAATCCAATTATAAATTATTTTTATAGTTTCGTTAGTTTCGTTAGTTAAGTTAATCATTCTAAAACTTGCAAACAATACGGAAATAATTTCATAAGTTAATTTTTGCTTCGCTTCTAGAATTCATTTGCATTGGACAAGATTCCTGCTGAACATATAAATCGCCAAATGAGTGCAGTGCTGCCGTTTCCGGTAGGCGATTACATGTTGGAAGTAAACTGGTTAGCTTACGACATTAATCGGGCTGCGATCAAGTTTTATGCAACTCTGTCTTAATCATTAAACTTTTATGATAAGGTTGCTCAATAAAATCATTACTGGTAGATATTTACTGAAGACAAAAAATGTTGGCCTGATGTGGAAAATTGGAGGCACTCATGGCCAGAGGGAACGGTATTAGCGGCACACTTTGCACCAGGAAACGAAATATCGACACTAGGGTGTCGGCTCTCTCCCAGTGGGGTCGCTCAATAAGAGAAAAGAGCTCAATGGAGCTGGCCCTCTGGCGAGAGCTTTTGCAAGCATGGTTAACCTTTTGGATAATTACGAAAAAATGATGTACAAAATAATTTTATTATTGATTACACTACTCGACAAAATCGAACTTTTTTTTTCCTCAAGGATCCAAACCGACTTTTTCTGATAGATATGAGGCTTTAAAATTTTTTAAAGAATTATGGATTTTTTTCTATGGCAGAACTTTTTTTTGAAGAATTTTTGAAGTCTGGTATTTTTTTTAAAGCTTTTTTCAGAGGTAGCGCTTGTTTTTTTCACATAACTCTAGTATCTTACATCTGGTTTTAAAGAACTTTGCTATTTTGAAAAGATAACTGAAACAGCTAAAAGTTGAGCCCAAACACTTTGTGATTTCAGCTTACCGTCTGGGAAATATAAAGCATTGAAATGCTAAAATAATGATTTTTGTGCGGTATTTTTTACGAAACTCAGGAAAAGTCGAAAAAAAATGATATCCTGTGTTCTCTATTTTTTTGTGTATAGGTGCATTAATTTGGCGTCGTTTAAGGTATCGCAAACGAAAAAGGGATGTGCGTTTTAGTTTTATCGTATCTTTAAAAATGTGCCTGCCACAGATTTTCGTTCTTTGTGTGGGCGGAAGGGGGCGGGGCGAAATTTTGAAATACACTTGTAGCAGTGGGATATCACATGAGTCTGGAAACCAAATTTGGTTGCCCTAGCTCTTATAGTCTCTGAGATCTAGGCGCTCAACAAGACAGACAGACGGACAGACAGACATGGCTACATCGTCTCGGCTATTGATGCTGTTCAAGAATAGATATACTTTATGGGGTCGAAAACGTTTCCTTATCTGCGTTACACACATCCACTTTTACCACAAATCTAATATACCGCTTAACTCTTTTTTGAGTACGGGTATAAAAAGTTCTGCCATAGAAAAAAAAAAATATCATCAAACCATTTCTAAGCCCCAAATCTTAAAGAAAAAGTTGGTTTTGTTCCTTGAGGAAAAATCGTGTCGGGTAGTGTTATTTTTATTATTTTATTCATTTATTGGCCAACAGATTTAAAATATCCTTAACTAGCTAAACTAGCTTAACTCTAATTAAATAATAACAAACAACAACAAAATATAAAAAATCAATCATGAAAAAAAAAGTCAGAAAGTATCCGTCTGACGGCTCTCTTCCCCTGGCAAAAGTCAAACCGCATCCCTGCTGGCAGCGCATTGTGTTGGCGGAGAGCCCTGGAGATGGGCTCATTATTGCCATAGTTGGTCCGATGCCGATCGACCACAAAAGGTGCATGCGCTCTTAGGCTCCTGGCAGGCGCACTGAAGCCAATCCGACTAAGCAGGTCAGGGCAATCAATGTTACCCACTAGTAGATCATACAGAAATATCTGTGCCGCGATGGTCCTACGATCCTCGAGAGAGGAGAGGTGCACAAGGCGACATCTACGCTCATACGATGGCAAGGGGAGAGAAAAGTGCAAGGGTAGGAGTGCAAACCTTAGAAACTTTGTTTGCAGTCTCTCGATTCGTGAAATTTGCACGGCCCCGGTAGGGTTCCAAACAACGGAAGCGTACTCGAGCCGCGAGCGTACAAGGAACGAGTACAGAATGGGGATGCATTGCGCTTAACAAAGCCAAACATAGCGTAGGCTTTTGGCAGAATAAAATTCAAATGCTCGACAAAGAGAAATTTTGAGTCGAACAAGACGCCTAGGTCAAGTATCTCCGTCTGTTTTAAAAGCGGATGGCCATCTATTGAATATGAGGCCATCACATTAAAGACACACTTGCTAAATGAAAAAGAATAGCATTTGCTAATGTTGAGAGGGAGCGAGTTAAGTCTGCACCAACGAGCAACTCCATCCAGATCGCGCTGCAGCAGGATACTGTCGCCTAAGGTTTTGACAGCCCGGAAAATTTTCAAATCATTAGCAAAGAGCAGATACTCAGAGTTTTGGATGCTGGGACATACATATGTCATTGATAAATATTAAGAACAGCAGAGGACCAAGTGCACTTCCCTGTGGAAGGCCGGAAGTAGCCACATTTGGGTCCGAATGCTTTCCATTTATCAACACCACATACTCCCGTCTCTCAAGATATGAACTGAACCAACCGAGCAGGCGGGAATGAATCCCTAGTTGATATAACTTGGCTATAAGGGCACTGTGAGAAACTTTGTCAAAGGCCCTGGCAAAGTCAATATACACAGCGTCAAGTTGAGTGTGCAACTCAAAGGAACGAGTGCAAAAATTACTGAAAGCGACAAGATTAGTGGTCGTGGATCTACCCGCACAATTTGTCGACAGTCTATATATGTTTAAATCATACTTATACGAGTATGTGAAGCGGAAAAAAAGTATTTAGGCGCCAAATAGCGTGATGATGGCGATTATAAGCGATCATACAAGTGGAAATCGATGCGCCAAAATAGTCCCTGTTTGGCTCTCGATATTTAATGATGTCCCCCAAAATAAGTATTCTCGTTCAGCTCATTGTGGTTTTATATTTGGCCATCGAGGCTAGTAAAACCATCCTGAAGCACTGCAATACATTCTAAAAACCAAAAAAAAAATATTGCAGGTCCATTCAAGGATCGAATTTACCAACATTGTGTGCACTTCGTTTGATAAAGAGTTTTCCGACTTTGAGTACTGTTATCTGAAGTCGGTGAATCGGACATATAAATATTTATCTGTGAAATCTAATTTTTACCAAACCCCGATTACGAAAGTAAAGGTAAGTGCAAAGCCAATAAATCGTAAGTTTTACTTACTAATCCCCATCTAAAATCTTAGGTCAATGTGGCCCTGCACAAACGATTCAGTGGCTATAAGCCGTTCATGTACAATGTGACAGTGGATGCCTGTAGATTTCTAAAGAATCCTCGATCGAATCCAATTATAAATTATTTTTATAGTTTTGTTACTCCTTTTATAAATAACGTTTCCTGCCCCATCATGACGGTAAGTTAATCCTTCTAAAACTTGCAAACAATACGGAAATAATTTCATAAGTTAATTTTTGCTTCGCTTCTAGAATTCATTTGCATTGGACAAGATTCCTGCTGAACATATAAATCGCCAAATGAGTGCAGTGCTGCCATTTCCGGTAGGCGATTACATGTTGGAAGTAAACTGGTTAGCCTACGACATTAATCGGGCTGCGACCAAGTTTTATTCAACTCTTTCTTAATTATTAAACTTTTATGATAACCCTAAATAAGGTTGCTCAATAAAATCATAACTGGTGGATATTTACTGAAGACAAAAAATGTTGGCCTGATGTGGAAAATTGGAGGGACTCATTGCCAGCGGGAACGGTAATAGCGGCACACTTTGCACAAGGAAACGAAATGTCGACACTAGTGTGTCGGCTCTCTCCCAGTGGGGTCGCTCAATGAGAGAACAGGCACTTAAAGTGTGAAAGGGGGTTGGAAAGAGAGCTCAATGGAGCTGGCCCTCTGGCGAGCTTTTTCAAGCTTCGTTAACCTTTTGGATAATTACGGAAAAATGTTGTACAAAATAATGAGGAATGTTTCTATTAAAAATATTAATAACCCATTCGAACTATGCTTTGGCATTCAAACAAATTGCACAATTTGTCGACAGTCTATATATGTTTAAATCAAACTTATACGAGTATGTGAAGCGGAAAAAAAGTATTTAGGCGCCAAATAGCGTGATGATGGCGATCATAAGCGATCATAAAAGTGGAAATCGATGCGCCAAAATAGTCCCTGTTTGGCTCTCGATATTTAAAGATGTCCCCCAAAACAAGTATTCTCGTTCAGCTCATTGTGGTTTTATATTGGGCCATCGAGGCTAGTAAAACCATCCTGAAGCACTGCAATACATTCTAAAAACAAAATCAAAAATATTGCAGGTCCATTCAAGGATCGAATTTACCAACATTTTGTGCACTTCGTTTGATAAAGAGTTTTCCGACTTTGTTTCCCGATTACGAAAGTAAAGGTAAGTGCAAAGGTAAGTAAAAAACTTTCTAATCCAAATCTAAAATCTTAGGTCAATGTGGCCCTGCACAAACGATTCAGTGGCTATTAGCCGTTCATGTACAATGTGACAGTGGATGCCTGTAGATTTCTAAAGAATCCTCGATCGAATCCAATTATAAATTATTTTTATAGTTTTGTTACTCCTTTTATAAATAACCTTTCATGCCCCATCATGATGGTAAGTTAATCCTTCTAAAACTTGCAAACAATACGGAAATAATTTCATAAGTTAATTTTTGCTTCGCTTCTAGAATTCATTTGCCTTGGACAAGATTCCTGCTGAACATATAAATCGCCAAATGAGTGTGCAGTGCTGCCATTTCCGGTAGGCGATTACATGTTGGAAATAAACTGGTTAGCCTACGACATTAATCGGGCTGCGACCAAGTTTTATTCAACTCTTTCTTAATTATTAAACTTGTATGATAACCTCAAATAAGATTGCTCAATAAAATAATTACTGGTGGATATTTTCCTGATAGTTCTGCACACATATAGTATACATTGTATCCATAATTGTCTGCTTTTGAATAGTAACAAATTGGTGCGTTTCACCAGCACAACTTGATCAGCGCTCAGTGATGGATTTTACACGATATTGCTAGTGAACGCATCCATGCATCAGATATTGAGAAATGGATCGTGTCGACATCGCGATAGGCGTTCACCAGCACTCAAAAAATGATGGAGTATCCTTAAATATGAAGGACAAAACCCTATGTGGGAGCTATACATTTAATCATACATATATTCTAATTTATATAAATTTTGTGTCCCTGTGTTTTTGGTTGAACTCCTCTGCATGAAAATACATAAGTCGTAAAGTATTTAACAACTTATTATCACCAACCATTCTTTTAACGGAATCTTAGTATTTTTGTATGAACAATATCAAGTATGCCTAGGTCTATTTGTGTGTGTGTTACGTTGTGTTGTGACTATAAAAGGTTTGCATTTCTCCTGTCATCAGGTAGAACAGAAATTTGGTAAATTTGTGTGTGTGTTACAGTGAAAAATATCAGCAAGATGCAAGGGATCAGGATGTAATCCAATCAGGTAACGAAAATGTGCGTGTGAGCATGTCGCAATTTCGTGAAAATGGCAGCGATTGTAACTCGCAATGTCCCACATACAGGGCGCGATTGAGGGAAGTAAGACTGAATTTAGCTAACTGAAAATTTAACTATTTTGAAGACCTCATCTATCGACTGGACATGAATCAAGAATGAAAAACGAATACAAGTGAATTTGTTTTGATACTGGACTATACATATATTGAATATTTTCACAATTTAGAATTCATAAACAACCAGAAGCGCTATTGATGGACTACCAGAATACTGAAGACAAACAATTTTGGCCTGATGTGGAAAATGTGATTGACTCATGGCCAGCGGGAACGGTAATAGCGGCACACTTTGCACAATGAAACGAAATGCACAACTGAAAGGAGAAGACTATCAGAAACAAAGAATCAATATCGAACAATCGATTCAATACATACTTGGTAAAAATATAGAGAGCAAATCCCAGCAAGGCATAAAATTGCTCAGAATTATTCCCACCAGGAACACATTTTTATTAGCCTGCATGCCAAAAATGTTGAATGGAAATCAAAAAAGATTATATTAAAATGTAACGAATCACTCGCCTTAGAGTCACCAACAAGAATCAATATTCCAGACACAATGTACAGTGGCGCAAATACACAGTTACCGTATGCAATAACTTGCAAAACATTGTCGCTCTCCGATTCCGAATACACATCTGTTAAAAGTAAAAAAACGCGATTATTCCTTACCGACACACAATCACCACATATAAATATTAACGTACACACAGCAACCATGGTATAAGACAAAATGCTATAAGCAACCCCCCAGCATATGTTCCATATTGCAAAAAAAGAAGTACACTGTTTATCCTCACACTCACAGCGACACATTGCGAATGTACGTTTTTTGGACTTTGAATTTTGTAGAATGATTACCGACTGAGATCTGTCGGAATATGAATTATATTATCTATATATATAGTCATGATGTACATATTTCACCAAGCTCTCTACGATCAAAAAATCTGTCCAACAAATTGTAACTGTTTATTATAGTTTTAGCCTAGAAGGAGACTTCGAAACTTCCCCACTAGGCTCGGTCCGTAGCCTCCACAAATGTTGGCGTTCACGGAAGATGAGAGCCAGGGGCATTAATGTGCCCCATAGCAGATTGACTGTACTGAAAGCAGAGTGGACACATACAGCGGAATTTATTTGAATGCTGAAACGTGAACCAGAACTGAAAAGTCCGCTAGTTTTCCGTTGTATACTGTTCATTGGATCAAAAGATCTCCCCCATAGTTCCTATCTTTAGTATGAAACTGAATAGCTTTTAAAATCGCAGAAGTTTTTTGTTTTCAGGGAATTTCAATAGTAGATTTTCCAGCTGACAAAGCTGGCTAACAGATGGAACCCCTCAAAGTAATCTATTTACGATAATCTTTATAGTTAAATTTAATTGCGTTTGGTTGGTGTACAGTAGCATTGTGTTTATGATCTTTGAACAATATAAGAGGCGGGTGGACCTAGCAAAAGCTTAAACAAAGCTCACCTAAGTAGTGCTCCGCCTTGGTGCCGCGTTTTTATTTCAATTAGATAATTACAGATCCATTATCTAGAAGAATAGAATTCCACTAAGATTATTTTGTTTGTATCGTACATACATACATATTTACACTAATTACTAAGTTCACTCTGCCCTTGACTTAGGCTCCGCATGCAAATAATTCAATTGAAAATGTTCCTTCGATCCCTTCACATTAATCGATGGCATTGCCGCTGTCGCTCACGTCAGGCCGGGGGGATGATCCAGTTTCGGTGTCCAGGTGCTTGGTGAGGGTGTTGTACCACTCGCTCATGTGCCGCGAGACGATGTGCATGAATCGGGAGACCTTCGACTTGACCGTCGACACCAGGGTGTCAGAGAGCGAGGTCTTGCGGCTGGGCCCGATCGGGGCTCTGGTCTTGCTGATTCTCATGATCCTGGACTCTTTGGGTGGCTCTGTGGACTGTTCGTCCACGGGCTGATCCGCCTTGTATTCGTAGAAGGAGTAACGTCCCAGGGGCAGCATATCATCCCGATCCATTTTGTCGATTGCATTGGAGCGCACCTCGTCGTCGGAACGACCGAAGGGCAGTGCGCGTCGCCGGCGCAGAGCGGGCATGTCCCACCAGGAGGTGATGCTCTCGTCGGGCCCCTTCTGGGCCAGCAGCCTCTTGGGCTTTGGCACCGGCACCGGTGCTTTCTTGGCCCCAAAGTAATCCTGTTTAGTTGGTTTCTTGGCCGGCTCAGCTTCGAGGGAACTCTCCTGGGCATTCTCCTCGTCCAAGGGCTGCTGCTCGTGCTTGTGAATGTGACTGAGGAAGTGCTTGCCCAGTTCCCGCTGCGCCTGCAGAAAGTCATTGGCCACATGCCCCATCTTGGAGGGACGACGACGCGGTGCCAGGGGCTCGACCTCCTCCTCAGGCTCCTCCTGCGGCAGGGGCAGGGTCTTGCTTATGGTGGCCTTGCTGGAGAAGGGTTCGGGAAAGAGCAAAGAGTTGAGGGTGGCGCCGAGGCTCAGGCGTTTGGTCTGCTTGGGCGCGGGCGGGGCCTCAAAGAACTCCGTGGGCGACAGTCGCAGCTTTGCGCGCCCCTCCGCCCGCTCCTGCTCCGGCAGCGACTCCCTCGTCCTGTTCGGGCTCTGCATCCTCCGCAGAACGTTGAATGATTTTGAGCTGTGACTTGGACTTGGGCTTGCTCTTCCTGTAGACCACTGGCTCTGCGACCTGGTCACTCTCCTCCCCCCCATCCACGGACTCGATGTGCCGCAGCAGGACATCGCCCTCGGGCAGGCGGGTGTAGGAGGGCGGCTCCTCAGTCTGCTCGTCCAGCTTCCTGAAGAACTTCTCCTCGTCGAACTCCTCAAAGTCGAACAGTGGCTTGGCCTTGCGCTCGGGCTTGCGGATCTCGGTGATCTTCTTGGTCAGCGCCGTCCTCTTTCCGTGCCGATTGTAGAAGTAGGGGCCGCCATAGCCGGCGGCGCTGCGTCTGTCGCGTCGCTTGGCCACGTCGCGGGTCTGCGCCAGCACCTGGTGCAGCAGGTTCAGCGGCCTGGCCGGGAACACCCGCGAGCCCATGACCTTCTTGACTCCCAACTGCCCATTGGGAACAAAGGAACGCGATCAGGTACCAAATGTACAACCCTTGTTCGTTTGCTTTGTTCCCAATTGGCAGTTGGACCCGCCGCCTTCAAAAAGGTATTTTTTGTTCATTTTTTCCATATTTTAGGTTTGGTTAACGAATTTAAGCTCCAAAGTCTCTCCATAGATTTTAATGAGCGATACCTTAAACGACGCCAAATTAACGCACCTATACACAAAAAAATAGAGGACACAAGATATAATTTTTTTTCGACTTTTCCTGAGTTTTTAAAGTCAAAATTTCGTAAAAAATACCGCACACAAATCATCATTTTTGCATTTCAATGCTTTATATTTCCCAGACGGTAAGCTGAAATCACAAAGTGTTTGGCATCAACTTCTAGCTGTTTCAATTATCTTTTCAAAATAGCAAAGTTTTTTACAACCAGACGTAAGATACTAGAGTTATGTGAAAAAAACAAGCGCTAGCTCTGAAAAAAGCTTAAAAAAAAATAACAGTTTTCAAAAATTCTTTAAAAAAAAGTTCTGCCATAGAAAAAAAAAAATATCATCAAACCATTCCTAAGCCCCAAATCTTTAAGAAAAAGTTCGTTTTGTTCCTTGAGGAAAAATCGTGTTGACTAGTGTTATTAAACTTTTATGATAGCCTCAAATAAGGTTGCTCAATAAAATAATTACTGGTGGATATTTTCCTGATAGTTCTGCACACATATAGTATACATTGTATCCATAATTGTCTGCTTTTGAATAGTAACAAATTGGTGCGTTTCACCAGCACAACTTGATCAGCGCTCAGTGATGGATTTTACACGATATTGCTGGTGAACGCATCCATGCATCAGATATTGAGAAATGGATCGTGTCGACATCGCGATAGGCGTTCACCAGCACTCAAAAAATGATGGAGTATCCTTAAATATGAAGGACAAAACCCTATGTGGGAGCTATACATTTAATCATACATATATTCTAATTTATATAAATTTTGTGTCCCTGTGTTTTTGGTTGAACTCCTCTGCATGAAAATACATAAGTCGTAAAGTATTTAACAACTTATTATCACCAACCATTCTTTTAGCGGAATCTTAGTATTTTTGTGTGTGTGTTACGTTGTGTTGTGACTATAAAAGGTTTGCATTTCTCCTGTCATCAGGTAGAACAGAAATTTGGTAAATTTGTGTGTGTGTTACAGTGGAAAATACCAGCAAGATGCATGGGATCAGGATGTAATCCAATCAGGTAACGAAAATGTGCGTGTGAGCATGTCGCAATTTCGTGAAAATGGCAGCGATTGTAACTCGCAATGTCCCACATACAGGGCGCGATTGAGGGAAGTAAGACTGAATTTAGCTAACTGAAAATTTAACTATTTTGAAGACCTCATCTATCGACTGGACATGAATCAAGAATGAAAAACGAATACAAGTGAATTTGTTTTGATACTGGACTATACATATATTGAATATTTTCACAATTTAGAATTCATAAACAACCAGAAGCGCTATTGATGGACTACCAGAATACTGAAGACAAACAATTTTGGCCTGATGTGGAAAATGTGATTGACTCATGGCCAGCGGGAACGGTAATAGCGGCACACTTTGCACAATGAAACGAAATGCACAACTGAAAGGAGAAGACTATCAGAAACAAAGAATCAATATCGAACAATCGATTCAATACATACTTGGTAAAAATATAGAGAGCAAATCCCAGCAAGGCATAAAATTGCTCAGAATTATTCCCACCAGGAACACATTTTTATTAGCCTGCATGCCAAAAATGTTGAATGGAAATCAAAAAAGATTATATTAAAATGTAACGAATCACTCGCCTTAGAGTCACCAACAAGAATCAATATTCCAGACACAATGTACAGTGGCGCAAATACACAGTTACCGTATGCAATAACTTGCAAAACATTGTCGCTCTCCGATTCCGAATACACATCTGTTAAAAGTAAAAAAACGCGATTATTCCTTACCGACACACAATCACCACATATAAATATTAACGTACACACAGCAACCATGGTATAAGACAAAATGCTATAAGCAACCCCCCAGCATATGTTCCATATTGCAAAAAAAGAAGTACACTGTTTATCCTCACACTCACAGCGACACATTGCGAATGTACGTTTTTTGGACTTTGAATTTTGTAGAATGATTACCGACTGAGATCTGTCGGAATATGAATTATATTATCTATATATATAGTCATGATGTACATATTTCACCAAGCTCTCTACGATCAAAAAATCTGTCCAACAAATTGTAATTTTTTATTATTGTTTTAGCCGAGAAGGAGACTTCGAAACTTCCCCACTAGGCTCGGTCCGTAGCCTCCACAAATGTTGGCGTTCACGGAAGATGAGAGCCAGGGGCATTAATGTGCCCCATAGCAGATTGACTGTACTGAAAGCAGAGTGGACACATACAGCGGAATTTATTTGAATGCTGAAACGTGAACCAGAACTGAAAAGTCCGCTAGTTTTCCGTTGTATACTGTTCATTGGATCAAAAGATCTCCCCCATAGTTCCTATCTTTAGTATGAAACTGAATAGCTTTTAAAATCGCAGAAGTTTTTTGTTTTCAGGGAATTTCAATAGTAGATTTTCCAGCTGACAAAGCTGGCTAACAGATGGAACCCCTCAAAGTAATCTATTTACGATAATCTTTATAGTTAAATTTAATTGCGTTTGGTTGGTGTACAGTAGCATTGTGTTTATGATCTTTGAACAATATAAGAGGCGGGTGGACCTAGCAAAAGCTTAAACAAAGCTCACCTAAGTAGTGCTCCGCCTTGGTGCCGCGTTTTTATTTCAATTAGATAATTACAGATCCATTATCTAGAAGAATAGAATTCCACTAAGATTATTTTGTTTGTATCGTACATACATACATATTTACACTAATTACTAAGTTCACTCTGCCCTTGACTTAGGCTCCGCATGCAAATAAATCAATTGAAAATGTTCCTTCGATCCCTTCACATTAATCGATGGCATTGCCGCTGTCGCTCATGTCAGGCCGGGGGGATGAGCCAGTTTCGGTGTCCAGGTGCTTGGTGAGGGTGTTGTACCACTCGCTCATGTGCCGCGAGACGATGTGCATGAATCGGGAGACCTTCGACTTGACCGTCGACACCAGGGTGTCAGAGAGCGAGGTCTTGCGGCTGGGCCCGATCGGGGCTCTGGTCTTGCTGATTCTCATGATCCTGGACTCTTTGGGTGGCTCTGTGGACTGTTCGTCCACGGGCTGATCCGCCTTGTATTCGTAGAAGGAGTAACGTCCCAGGGGCAGCATATCATCCCGATCCATTTTGTCGATTGCATTGGAGCGCACCTCGTCGTCGGAACGACCGAAGGGCAGTGCGCGTCGCCGGCGCAGAGCGGGCATGTCCCACCAGGAGGTGATGCTCTCGTCGGGCCCCTTCTGGGCCAGCAGCCTCTTGGGCTTTGGCACCGGCACCGGTGCTTTCTTGGCCCCAAAGTAATCCTGTTTAGTTGGTTTCTTGGCCGGCTCAGCTTCGAGGGAACTCTCCTGGGCATTCTCCTCGTCCAAGGGCTGCTGCTCGTGCTTGTGAATGTGACTGAGGAAGTGCTTGCCCAGTTCCCGCTGCGCCTGCAGAAAGTCATTGGCCACATGCCCCATCTTGGAGGGACGACGACGCGGTGCCAGGGGCTCGACCTCCTCCTCAGGCTCCTCCTGCGGCAGGGGCAGGGTCTTGCTTATGGTGGCCTTGCTGGAGAAGGGTTCGGGAAAGAGCAAAGAGTTGAGGGTGGCGCCGAGGCTCAGGCGTTTGGTCTGCTTGGGCGCGGGCAGGGCCTCAAAGAACTCCGTGGGCGACAGTCGCAGCTTTGCGCGCCCCTCCGCCCGCTCCTGCTCCGGCAGCGACTCCCCGTCCTGTTCGGGCTCTGCATCCTCCGCAGAACGTTGAATTATTTTGAGTTGTGACTTGGACTTGGGCTTGCTCTTCCTGTAGACCACTGGCTCTGCGACCTGGTCACTCTCCTCCCCCCCATCCACGGACTCGATGTGCCGCAGCAGGACATCGCCCTCGGGCAGGCGGGTGTAGGAGGGCGGCTCCTCAGTCTGCTCGTCCAGCTTCCTGAAGAACTTCTCCTCGTCGAACTCCTCAAAGTCGAACAGTGGCTTGGCCTTGCGCTCGGGCTTGCGGATCTCGGTGATCTTCTTGGTCAGCGCCGTCCTCTTTCCGTGCCGATTGTAGAAGTAGGGGCCGCCATAGCCGGCGGCGCTGCGTCTGTCGCGTCGCTTGGCCACGTCGCGGGTCTGCGCCAGCACCTGGTGCAGCCAGGCCATGGCCTCGTGGGGACTCACTTGCTGACTGGCCTCCGCCTCGCGCTTGACCGGAGCCGCAGCTGTGGGCTGGCTAAACGGCTGCAGCAGCTGATCCAGCAGGGCATCCGTTTCCTGTTTGTCGATCACGAATCGGCGGTTGCGGTTGATGCTGCTCGCCAGGGAGCCCCTCGCGACAGCCGTCTCCTCGATCAGACGCTGCAGCAGTCGATCCGCGGAGCTGTAGCGATTGGTGCGGCGCGACTCCGTCGATGCCTCGCCACTGGTGTCGCCAGCCTCGATCTCGGTGAACTGGCAGTGCTCCAGATTGGCGGTGGGCAGCACCCAGAAGCCCACCGACATGCTCGGCGTGACCAGCTGCAGCGGCTTGCTGGCATCGTTGGCCTTGATCAGGGGCCGCAGCGTGGAGTTCAGGCTCATCCGCACATTGTTCAGCTGCACGCGACCATCCAGGCCGGAGAGGACATACTGCCAGATCTCGCTGCTGGTGAGGCGCGTCATGCTGCGCACTGTGATCGTCATGGGCTGATCCTCCGTGTTGACCACCATGAAGGCCAGGCCCCCGGACACGGCATTGGCGCAGTGCGTGTAGAGCTTGTTGCTGGGCGCGAACAGGTTCAGCGGCCTGGCCGGGAACACCCGCGAGCCCATGACCTTCTTGAACAGCGCCGTCACATACAGACTGAAGGTGGGTCGCCCAAAGTCCACCAGGGACATCCGCTTGAAGATCACATCGAAGCCGCTGCTGGCCGCATCGCCCAAGGTCTGGGCCCAGCGCAGCGCATCCGTTGTCTCGTCCCCACCTGCCGGCCGGGAGCGCTCCTCGGGCAGCGTCAGCCACAGGGGCACGCGCAGCTGCTGGAGCGCCCTCAGCGCCGGATCACTGTCGTAGATGTAGCTGCCCAGGCTGGACTGTGGCAGCATATTGGCAGGTCTAGGCAGGGAAAGGCAAAGGCAAAGCATTAGCATTGGGGGTGAGAGTGGGAGAGTGGGAATCTCTTTGGGGCAGCACTCACTGTGTCCAGCCAAAGGCTGCATTCAAATCCTTGGACATGTCCACGTATTTGCGCGTCTCCTCGGCACTGCTGCCCGCTGAGATGTCTGCGCCCATCACCCGCCAGTCGTCCACATACGGCTTGAAGGTGTCCGTCATCAGCTTGAGGGTGCGCAGCTCCTGCACATAGTCCTTGGCCCGGGAGGTGCCAAAGTCCGTGCCCAGCTGCCAGATGCAGTCCGTGATGCCCGCCATGTACGAGCTGTTGAGTATCTTCAGAGTGTGCATCGAGTCCCACTCGTCCGGGGCATACGGCACCGGGATGATCATCGTCCAGTTGACAGCACTTAAAGATGGACAAAAGATAGTTCCAATGGGGCTTGAACCATCGTCTCAGTGGCAGCCTTACCGAGTCCAGCGATTGAAGCCCTTCCAAATGATCTTTGTGGGATTGCGCAGGCGGGTGGGCGCATTGGTGGCAAAGTAGAAGTCGCCCACGAACTTGATGTGAGCATCGCCCAGCAGTGTGGCCATGCTGGTCACTGCCTTCCTGTTCTTCCCATCCAGGGCATCGTACAGATCCTCCGGCCGCACGGCAAAGCTCACAAACTTCTCGCTCACATCGTTGTAGGGACGATTCACGTGAAGCTGCACCATCGTGTCCGCCCAGCAGACGGCCAGCAGGCCACACAGCAGCAGCAGCAGCACAGCAGCTAAATGAAGACACCGCATTTTCATAGAGAGAGAGAGAGAGACCTTTTCCGGAGCTCGTTTGGCCCACAACTGGCCAGAGCTGCGCTCCGCCTCAAGCTAAATAACCTCGAGCGGCGACATTCGCGGGGAATAGTTTCGGATTCCGCAGCTGTGGCTCCCACCAATTCCACAGAAATCTGCCGTCCTCGGCAACAATTTTCCGCTGAGCTATGCCCTCAATGCGCCAAGATGACCTTTTTACCAACTTGGAGACAGTAATCCAAACCCGAAAGCCGTAGACAAAACCAAACACGTCGCAAAAGTGGGCCGTGGTGTGCAAAATGAAAGAAACATTTTTATTAATGGATTCTAAAAACAGTTGACCCAATAAGGTTGTGCTCAGACCTCTCTAGTGGTCCTCGATCACGGTCAAAGATCGAGGGACTGAGCGACTGGCCTTAGCAATTGGCACACCATAAAATACACCAAGAAGGGGCTCAGGGTTAGACTACATTCAAGTTGAAGGATAAGGTCAGCTTTGGATAAAATCAAATTATAATTATGAAACTTAGTGCAGTTTTCTGTGCAATTTCCAATGGTTTTTCCTATCGGAAATGCGTTTTCTCTGTGCAGTGAACTGCAAAGTTGTAATGTGAATAATTAGGGGAATTCTGTCATGCTTTGTTTATTAATAGACTACGTATATCCCTATGTGGATCCATTATGTTTTACTCATCATATTCTGTAGCTTTCAACAGATCGTGGAAGCTGAAAGGCGTGAATGGGCTTGCGGTGCCCGCATAGAATTTGCTCATAAACTCCACACAGTCGACCATAATGGAAATTGTGAAGAACGCCCAAAGGGCAAAGACAACGAATATCGCAATGGAGGAGACATACCCAGCAGGAATCTTGAGTATTTTCGTCAGCAGCATACCCCACAGCACGAATGAGAGTTCTGCAAGGGAATAAAAGAGAGGAGACCCATGCAATCCGTGCTGGAAATACTCGTGTAGGGGGGTTAACTTACGGGAATGGGCCAGGGACAGGGCCCAGAGATGGAGGCAGGAAGCCCTGTGCGAGATGGTACTCAGAATGTATTCGATGGTGCGAATGTCCTGGTGGATTTTAATCATTTGTAAGCGATTTGTTGCTGACACATATGAATATATGAATATTGATACGCTATATGCATACATACATACATACATATGTATATACCAGTATATTGGAATTGATAAAAATGGCATTCCATTGATTGATGGCCACAATACGAAGGCATAAATACAGAACGTTATCAGTTCAATCGATCATGGCATACATCAAAATACGAGCTTATAATTATTGCATTTTAAAAATTCCCAATTACAACATAAATTAACCATCCACATAGTACTTACTGATCCAAAACGATGCCGAGGTGTACTTGATCGCTCAACAACTTAATTGAAGAATAAATAAAATAAAATATTGGCTGTTCTCTTCGTTGCTGTATATTTATTACAATTATTATTTATAACAATGAATATCAAATTATTGCTTTTGAAACTGTTCCTTTGAGAATACTAGGCACAACTCAGGTGAATACTGGGACCCCCGGGCATGGAAAACAAAAGGCGGAAAACGGATGGGGAACGGAGGGGCCGCAAACAAACATGGGATGTGGGAAGAGCACCACAATACTGACAATGTCCGAACGATAAACAAAACAAAAAAACATTAAACAAAACAAATTAAATAAGTTGGAAAAACGATGCTTGGCTCGGTAAATATTCATTCCAGTGGCTTCGAGACTTTCGCTTCAGTTTATTCCTCCTCCTCGCCATCCAGAATGGCCTTGAAGCTGAATGGCTGGAAGGCGTAGCCCAGGCCCTCGTAGAACTTGCTCATGAACTCCACCCAGTGCAGACGTAGGGTGTGCAGGAAGGCGGACAGACCCTCCATCAGCACGAGAATGGCCAGGGTGAACAGGCACCAGGCACCGAAAATAATGAACAGCCCGATGGCGCCGCCAACGCCGGACATCTTCAGGCCCAGCGACAACACCATGTTCCACAGCACCTCGGAGAGCTCTGTAAAATGATTAGATGGGCATTAGATTGGTGCAACATTGTATATGGGGAGTTTCTGATGACTCACGAGCATGGGCCAGGGACAGAGCCCACAGACGCAGATAGGAGGCCGTGTGCGAGATGGTACTGAGCACATATTCGATGGTATGGATGGCCTGATGGATGTAGATCTCGCTCATGGGCTCATCCTCGAGGCTGTGGCCACCGCCGCCGCTCTCCTCGCCGCCAGAGAAACCCGTGGGTAGAGGAGTCTCGCCCTCGGCCAGCTCTATGTTGCCAGTCAACTGGCCATTGTGTTTGGCCTAAATAAATGCAGAGAAGAGAGACGAAACAGTAAGTAAGGACACTAATTGGGGTGGGGGGACAGACAGACAGACTCTGCACTCACGTGGGCATTGTTCTTGCGGGTGAATTTAATGTAGAGCGGCTTGCCGAGCAGCATCCATGGGATGCAAACGAGGCCAATGATGACGAATGTCTTCTGCAGCTCCGGCTGCCAGGTAAACATAAACTCGTAGCAGCCGCTCGAGGGCTGTGTGTTCTTGAACAGCATCATGTTGATGAACATAATCAGCACGGAGGGGGCGCAACCGGGTGTATGCGGCTGGAAGTCGGTCTGGGCGTTGTAGGTGACCCACTTGAAGAACCTGCCCCAGGTGAAACGGAACTTGTATTAGTGTGTGGGGCTATGGAGACGTCGAACATTTTGTACTCACATCATGAACACCATGTAGCCGAAGAGCAGCAGCAGGAAGAGAATCTGGGGCACGAACTCCAGGAAGATGGAGGCGTAGCGCTTGAAGTGTGTGAAATTCACCACGGACATGCAGACGCCGAACACCATGTGCAGCACACCGAAGATGATCGACAGCTTCATCTTGAAGCTGTTGAGGAAGATGATCTTGTTGTCCGCCAGCTGCCAGACGGGATCCAAGCCAAACGGATAGACGCCCACAGCGGATGTGTTGGGCGGCAGCTGCAGGCTCGGATTGGTCAGAACCGTCGATGTGTTGTAGTTGCTAACCCATCGCGAGCCGAACAGATTCATCGACTTGGAGAACACGTCGTTGTACACGATGCCCGTGTAGATGGCGAACAGACCCATGAGCAGGATGATGTAGCGACCGCCAAAGAAGATGTTCCAGATCTCGCCGCCGTTGCGGATGCGGGCCAGCTTGCGCTCCCAGAGCACCATCCAGCCGCCGAAGAGCAACAGGATCAGGCCGTGGCCCAGATCGCCGAACATCACGGCGAACAGGAAGGGGAATGTAATGCACGTGTACAGGGCCGGGTTGCACTCGCGATACGAGGCCACGCCATAGGAGTCGATCAGGTTCTGGAAGCCGCGCGTGAACTTGTTCGTTCGGTTGAACGTCGGCGGCTGCTCGTTGGTGTCGATCACATTGAGGAACGAGGGAATGGTGCTGCCGACGGCCGCAGAGCCGTCGGAGAGGGCCTTCTGCACGACTGGCAGATCCTTGGTGGGCACCCAGCACTCGCCGATGAGGCACTTCTTGGTCACGTCCATGTTGAACAAGTTCAGCGTGTGGTAGATGGCCTTCATCTTCTTGACCATGATCGACCACGAGGGCAGATTCTTGGAGACTGTGGCCAGGACACGGCTGCGGTGATCCTCGGTCTGGCTGAGCACCAGCTTCAGATCCTCGAGGCGCGTGCGCACATTCTTCACCATCTCCTCGCGCTCGTTGTGCGAGCTGGGGCAAGGGTACAGCGAGGCGTGGAAGCCAGTGCACACCTTCTTGATGCGGTTCTTCAGCTGCTCTCCCTGGAAGAAGGCCACAAAGACCGTCTTGTAGATGGGGTGACCGGTGGCCGGATCGTTCAGAGGCTCATCCAGATCGGACCGCTTCAGGAACACATTGCCGCGCGAGATGCGCCACAGCATGCGCTCGAAGCCGAACACACGCTCCCGGTTGATGACACCGGCCACAAAGCCGAGGCGTCCACGATGCTGGGCCGCCGCAGGCTCCTCGCCGCCGGCACCGCGGTTGCTGGAGTCCAGATTGAGCACCTCCTGGTCGGAGAAGAAGCCCTGGGTGTTCTCGAGGACCTTGCGCAGCTCGGTCAGCTCCAGGTAGTTGGACTTCATGTTGACCTCGTTCTGGGCCAGCTCGATCATCTCCGACTCGGTCTTCTCCAGATGCGCCTCCAGGTCGATAATCTCACGTGGGTTGGGTGCCCGCGGGATGTCGTCCTGGATGTCGGGCAGCTGGATGCCGTCCTTCTTGATCTCCGTCTCGATGTAGCGGATCTTGCGCTCCAGCTCATCGCAGCGCCTCACCTCAGTCACGAACTTGCGCTGGAAGGCGTTCACATTGATGTTCAACTGTGGTGCAGCGAGTAAAAGAGAGATCCTCGATTAATGCACGGGTAGAAGGGAGGGGGGTTAGTCGGAACTTACGTCACGGAACTGCACACAGCCAGTTTCTCCCAGCTCGGAGACGGAGGTGTACGCGGCCTCTGGTTGTATAAACATCTGGCAAAGTGCCATTTCCTCACTACGGAACATGTCCCCCATCTTGGCGACTTCTTACGTTCCCTGCAGACAGAAGAGAGAGAGGCATAGGGAGAGAGGGATTAGTTAAACATTCCGCAGACATGCAATTAAAATTAGGCATACGAATAACAGAATCGAAGACGTCGTCGTATAGCAGCTGGCCATACAACAAATGTGGATCACAATTGGAAAGCATAGCCCCCACAGCCCCCACATACGCAATAAGCAAACTGGCAATATTTATGAACAAATTTTGTTGACTTGCTTCGCCGAAAGATTTTATTTTATTTGTTTTTCTTTGTTTTACGAAAAGGCAATTACTCTATTTCGAGCTCCATCTGGCGGTTGTCTGACTCTGATTCGCCACGAAATCAAACATGTTATATTCATTTCGCTTGTAAATCTGTTTTCCTCAAGCTCTAATGGAGTCTAAGTCAAAATTGCGACATCGAGTCACGTTCTAAATCAATTATAGCCCGAAAAGCACGTAACTTCAGGGACTGGCTATGACCAAGCCACACAACAAATAAAATAAATTGGGTAGGTAGTACGAAAATACGACTCATTTCAGCGGCAGGTAAACAGTCCAATAATATGTTCTTTAATTTGGGATTGTACCTACAGCTTCGGGAATCGATGCATTAATTACCCTTAGACATTGATTTTTCCTATGCCAGGTGTGGGATATATGGCGCATTTATTGCGTCTCTGCAAAGTTAATACAATTAGTTGATACACGTACATAACTTCTCCTTATCAATTGACTAGTATATGTCATATACACATATGTACCCAAGATGCTTCATTCTTTGCATTGCTAACGAATTTTCCCCGGTACTGAAACGGAAATAATTCCAATAATTTAGATAAGAAACCGCCCTTGGAGTGTCGATTGTCAAAATTCTGTAAGTCAACGCGAACAGTGTGGATAAGGATATGGAATTTATGGAATTTTTCCTTCAATATATATTACACATATGTATGTACATATGTATGTATGTACATACATACATTTATATACACGTTCCAGTTCTTAGAATCGACCGATTTATGAGCAATAACTTAGATTGTGAGACTAACTTATAAAATTCTTTGTTTATTGATGACTAGCCTCGCTGACCGCGCCACATATGTACATACAGACATACATATATAGTACATACAGTAAAACTAATTCGATCTATGTACTATTTAGAACTAAATTTGTATCAAGTTCTGAAGCCAAAGTTTAAATAAAACGTCGTTCAGTTCTGGGAAGCATAAAGCCTAAAATTAAATTATGCCTATGCTAATTTGTTCAATAATATGCACTGCAAAATAAAATAGTAAAATCTCTTGAATGCCAGAGGTTGGTACTTAATATTTACCACAAAATCTGTGACGGACCTTGACCCCAAAATTGCATATGTTTATGCAGCTCTACAAGGTTATACACGTACTCGTGTATACAGTACATTTTTGGCATCGTTTATTTTGTGGCAATCTGCTGCTTCAGTTCATTTGAAGAGCCGCTGCAATATTGTTTACTGCCCAAGAAAACAATTCTTATCGCATTGTCGGCTCTAAATGCATTCCCCGCCCCCAGTCCCACAACACACCACCCACCACCCACTGCCGAGACAGCTGCGGGGCACAGTAAAAACCCGCAGAAAATATGCGGGAGAGTGTTGAACATGTTGCCCACTGATAGTAGTGGCCAAATTAATGATAATTATAATTGTCGCTTAATCAAGAGCTGCCACAGACTATATGTAAATAATACAGTCGAATAGAGTTCTCCCCCGAGATCGCTGAAACTCGAAAAATGCAAGTAATTAATGTTTTTGATTTGATTAGGTCGAAACAACAGTGACAGGGCTGGGAGCTGGGCAGGGGTCTGGTCCTGGCCCTGGGCAGGGTAACAGCTTTTGGCACAAAGTGTACACACAGACATTAAGGTTGGCTGTGACATCATCGGTCCAAGCAGTCAACGACACGGAGACGTCAGAGTCGCTGACGCTGACGCCGCACATTATCGAACATTAATGGGGGCCCACGGACCCAGACAGGAGAGAATTAGCTTTTTGCGGTAGATATAAACGTACGATGTATATACATATGTTATCCTATATATAGGGAAACGGTGCTCGAATCATTTGTAAATTTGCCATGGACATAATGTGCCGCATAGCATAATGTGCGATGGCTGCTTGGCCAGCCGCCAGCCGCCAGGTAAACTGGCCCATAGTGAAGAAGAGCCCAGTCCCTTGCATTAGAACCAAAAACCAGCCAAAACCAGCACCAGTATTCGGTGGTTTCCATCGATCAATCACGTGGCAGACTTCTGTGGCAGGCAGCAGTCTGACAGTAGCCGGTTCATATTCCCGCGCTAGCTGTGGATATCAAGTACCTAGGGGGGGGAGGAGGAATTTGACTCAGGCCTCTACTCTATCGCCTGTTGCTGCTGATGCTTGCTGTTTTGGTCGTTCCCATGCCGGCATACTCGTATCTTGAGAAGGGTCCAAGCAATTCCACTGCTAAGTTTGGCACATTTATCAGCCAAAGCAGCCACTTGACACTCCATACCAGTCGGATTGTATACGTAGAACAACGATAATTGTTTGTTTGATATGTTGTTTTTTTTTCGAACTTTTCGTACTGTCCAAGGCGCAATTCATTGTCGCCCGCTTGCTAAAAATAGCAATGATATGAAATTCCCATTTCCAATGGCTCTACTTAATTATTAATAATGCACATACGAATATGGGGGCTACTATGGATGGACTAGTTCATTTTTTATGACATTATTAATGACCGATTGGCGTGTGCCCACCACAGAAGCGGTGGTCATATAGACTCGTCGCAGGTGCCAATATGCCGCGGATACCAGTTCAATTTACAATGCTCTATAGAGCATTATAAAAAGTATTCCCCACAGCAAAGAATTCCAAGACCATTTGGTAATTTATAACTAATTTATAACCTTCATAAATTTAATGGAACGGAAAGCGGAATTTAACTTAACAGAATCTATAGAGATTTTATGTTGGGAATGGATCGTTTTCTGTTTCTAGAGATTTGCGTGGACACTCCCTTAGCTCGGACACGAACCCTACAGTAGCAACCATTGTTATTAATTCAGCGATAATGATATCATGCTACAAGTGCATATGTATGAGTGTACATAGTCGTAGCATATATCATCATGGTATTTCCACACACTGTCTGGGGATGTATAACGAAATTATGAAAGCCCCTGGATGCTTTTTTCTTTTCAAAACCAATTAATGAAGTGGCATTCGCTTTCAATTGAAACTCGCCTCGCAAAACGTGGTTGAATAAATTTGATGAGCGCACTCTCGTTAATAATACAAATAATTTCCAAATGCCGAACACACGCACAGCACGGCACAGCACGGCACAGCACAGCACAGTACGGACCAAGGCGCGGGCCCAGAGAGCACTACGAGTAACTGTAAACCAGTTCAACTTCAAAACAGCAACCGAATGCGACGTTGCTTTTTCCGTTAGCTTTTCGCTGGTCATTTTCGTAATGTTTGTGTGTGTGTGGCTGTGTGTGTGTGTGGGTGGGTAGGGTGGCATAAATATGTAGGTGTTCGAGTGCTTTTGTTGGTCTATGTTGTTGTTGTTGGTCCTGCATACACACGCAAGAGGTGGGGGGCGAGAGCCTTAATCACACTTTGGCGAGCTGACAACCCGTCAACCCCCGTCGCAGTGCACGCCCATGTCTCTGTGCTGGCACCGTTAATATCGCTACCACTAAAGTTTCGTTAAGTTTTCTATTCTGTTTTGTTTGTTTCTCTCTCTCTATCTATCTCTCTGTCTCTCTGGGTTTCTACTGCAGCTCTCTTGGTCTCGTTTGCGCTACGTTCTATTTGTTGTTAATTCGTATTTACTTTAACTTTTATTGAACAATATTGCTGTTCTCGATTTTATGACAAATTTTTTTTCCATTTTCCACTATGCTTTGTCATTGCTGGGGTGTTGCGGGCAATTACCAATTCGTACGTACAAACACACATATGAAGGCGATCGTACGGCTCAAGGCAGACCAGAACCCAGAAGCAAGACCAGGCCTGCCACACACTCATCTCATCGTTTATTAACGACAATTGTCGATACAGCAATTGAGTTTCTTCAAAGTGCCTCCAGAGCCCTCTGACCAGTGGACGGGCCTTTGCGTATGATAAGCAAAGGGTGTGTGTATTGGAAAAGGCTTTGGAGTCCCCCCCATTTAATTCGATTCCAAGTGCAGTGCTCCACCCATACGCTGATAAGCACGCTGACGTTACGCAATTATTGGAGATCTGCGACTCGAGTGGTGCCTTAGCGCCCAGACGCCGTGCCATATATTAAATGCTTGAAAATCCTAGGCTTTCTAGATTTCTCGACCAGTTCAGATTTTCCCATTCATAAACAGCTGCATGTACGGGGGCTAATCAGCTTGTTTGATTGATTGATCGGAGTGTTTGTGGAAACGAGATCATAAATCATAATTAAATGGAATTTATTGATCGGAATTATTGAGTTCTGAGCACTACTTGAGCGCTGTTTAAGTTCAAGGAAGTTTTCCGTTCTATTGAAGATTTTCCACCGAACACTGCAGAACGACAGCAGATCACATGATACGCGATTGCATAAAACTCAAAACTCGACTCTCCGTAACGCCCCTGGAGAGGTGAGCACGATCCACACACACACATACACATGCACAATAAAACTCATACTCGTGGAGGGTCGGGTCTGACGTTTGTGCGTAATGGAGAGATACTCGCGCCCAGAGACAGAGACAAAGCTACGCGGTAGCAGGTATCTCTGGCTCTGGGCAGGTGGGAGCGGCGCAGCGTTTACACAATGGGTCCCATGACAGGCGCCCACACCCGCCGCCTAGCAGCAGCTACTAGCGAATCACATGCTGGGGCTTCACAACAGGGAAAATGTAGGCAATTTTCATGATCTGTGGGCACGTGCTTGGGCTTGGACCTGGGCTCTTTTCTTCCTTTTGTACACCCAACGAAACACACACACGGAAACAAATAATGAGACTTTCTTTCCAAGTCAAGATCACCTTGAACTCGATCGCAAATAATATTGGTCTGGCCTGGCATGTCTGGTCTGGCCACTATATTGTTATTTGTGCTTTGTTTTTTGCTTTCTGGTTTTTTTTTTTATTCGCTTACCTTCACAGCTCCGAAAATGATTTTAATGCCAAAGACACCAGAGTCCCCAGAGTATGTGTGATAAATTTAGAACTTGTTTTTGCCCGTTGCGCCTGTGTTGGTTGCCGATCACGAATCCCGATCCACGTCTGGTCAGTGCCAGCGTTTTCTTGCTTTTAAATTTGGCATGGCATTCGGAGCAGCAAGTAAAGCAACTATAGCGGGCTCTCTTTTCCTCGCATGCCCACTGTGTATGATCAGCAGCGTTGTCTGTTATCAGAAATCGGAATACAAAAGTCAAAATGCTCGAAAGCTACATATGTACATACATGTACGTCCGCATAGTAGACATTATCAATTTAAATTAATAACGCTTCAAGAAGTAATTCCCGTGTCTAGATAAGAGACTTTGATATTGATAGTTCTTTGTTTTGGTTTTGTCAGCTTTATAAATCGCCCCCGTTAGGTGCCTTGACAACCAGCCACACAGTGCGATCAGTACAGTACAGTATATAATGCAGACGTTTAAAAACGAGCGGAACGCGTTAGTTCCTTTCTGAAACGCGCTATTGTGTGTTTTCTGGTGCTGCCAGCAACGGTCACACTTTGTCTTTGTTTTGGTTTTTTTCCTGCTTAAAACGCATTTAATTTTGTAAAAGAATGTCTTACGCCGGGTATAGCCAGCTGCCCAGTGGCAGCGATCACGAGCAGCGTCAGCAGCAGCTGGCAGCCAGCACCTACGATGTCCTGCAGCGAACGGGCGACAGTATTCAGCGCTCCAACCAGATTGCAATAGAAACTGAGAACATGGGTGCGGAGGTCAGTTCAAAACAATATGTTGCCAATAATTTGGATAATGTTCAATGTTACCGCTGCAGGTGCTCGGTGAGCTGGGAGAGCAGCGCGAGTCATTGCTGCGCACCACACGCCGCCTGGAAGATGCCGACCAGGATCTGTCCAAGTCTCGAGTCATCATTCGCAAGCTCGGCCGTGAGGTGCTGTACAACAAGATTATACTGGTACTTATAATCCTATTGGAGTTGGGCATACTCATTGGCCTGCTGGTGCTGAAGTTTGCCCACCTGTGAGAGCCAAAAAGGGAAAATAGATCCCATTTTATATTCCAAAGTTACATAGATGATACCCAACGATGAATGGAAGGGGGGGCATTTGATTACGTTTATTTGAATTGTTCTACCCTGTAACAGCAACGTTAAGCCCATGCCTTAGACATCTAGTACAGTAAGTTACATTTTGTATTATATGATAATAAACACAGATACGTATAATATAGTTTGGAAGTTCCCCCAGTTACCCGCCCACAACTCCCATTCCCCATTTTCCAGTCCCATCTCAGTTCAACATCCGTCACTTTAGCAGGAACAATGATATTTCGAGTATATATGTATGATATAATAACCGCGACGACTATTTGGCATAAAAGCAACATTAGTTACACTCAGAGGGCGACAAATTTGCATGCGAGTAGTCTAAAACACCCAGAACAGCTAGAATGTTTGCATAATACTTGATCGATCTATGAAATAGGGCTACGATACACATAAGTAGGAGTACGGGCACCGTATATGGATCTAGATCTAGATCTAGACACCTAAGCGCGGATGATTTGTTCGAGGGATATTCGGGTTCTTAAAGCGGTTACTGTAGATCGTTTTTTGCTCTTCTTTGGGCCGTTTTGACTGCGGCTCAGTGTTTGAGTCACTTTCAGTTGTCCTTCGGCAGCACAATGGACCAGCCGAAGACGCGCCGATCGAAGCCGCACGAGAACAAGTCACAATTGAGCAGCGGCTCCTCTGCCCAGGCCACCGACGAGACCATGCGTCGATGCCCCTGGCGGCTGGTGCGTGGCAAACGGGCCACCCGCTGCCCATTCAAATCGAACAGGCGAATCTGACGGTTGTCGTGGGGTATTGCAATGATTCCACCGGTGGACACCGCCAGGCGGTTGACGGACGAATCGGTGCGAATGGTGGCCAGGGCCGAGCGCATGTTGCGCAGCTCCCAGACCTTGATGGTGCGATCGTCGGAGCCGGAGACCACCTTATCGTCCCGAGCAAACACGCTGGATGTGACCGTCTCAGTGTGTCCCTGGAAGACGGAGACTGCTGGTATGGGATCCCGGAAATCCCACAAACGGAACGTGGTATCGCGCGAGGCGGTCACCACCAGGCGCTGTGTGGGATGCGCCGAGACGTGAGTTAGCTCGTGATCGTGTCCCGTCAACGGCTGCAGTGGCTGACTCGTCTCCACGTCCCACAATATGGCTGTGCGGTCCCAGCTGCCGGTGATGACTTGATCCATGCTGGACAGCCAGTCGGCAGCCACCACGACGGAAAGGTGGCCACCCGGGCCGGCAAACTCGCAGAGTGGAGTGCGCAAGGTGTCAACGCGATCTCGATCCTCCACCTGCTCATCGCTATCGTCGAGTTCCTCCTCGGAGGAGTGGCCCTTTCTGTGGAAGGATCAAGACAATGAAGAGGATGATCACATGGCCATATTTGTCGATCGCTTACTTGGTCACCTCCCAATTGACGGCCGCTTGCCAAATGTGAGCTGTTCCATCGCCGCTTCCAGTCAGCACGAGATCTCGATTCTGATGGAATTTGATGGAGTTAACGGACCCGGCATGCCCCTGATACTGCAACAGGCAACGGGCGCTCTCAATACCCCAAATACAGGCTGTGTGATCGGCCGAGGCCGTACCAATGATGGGTTGACCCGTTTTGGCAGCCACCTGCCAGATGCCATCCTTGTGGCCACCAAACTCCCGTACCACCGAGCTGACCACCGTCTGCGCTTTGAAGCTGGACACAATGCGACTGGTCTGGGCTTTTATTTTGTTGCTCGCCTTGACCTTGCTGCCGCCAGTGGCACTGCTAAGCTTGGCCTTGAGGCTCTTGTGTGTGCTGGAGGCAGCCGCCAGAAAGCTGGCACCAACCTCATCAGCCTGCGCGCTTGTCGAGGGGCCGGCGGCACCGGCGGCGGTGACCGAAGAGCCACCAGTTGCGAGGGCGGGAATGACTGCGCCTGCTGCATAGCGCTCACGTTCGCGTTGCTCGTGCGAGGTCAGCGATTCTTTGTTGCTGGTGGCGTTCTCAAGTTTCTCTTGCACTGCAACAAAGACAGAGTTCCCCGTGGGCTATTGAGTGGGTTCAGTTTTCCAATGACAATTACTCACAGTTCAGATTCTCCAGGTAGAGCTGCTCGAACTCCTTTTCAATCTGCGAGAACAGATAATGGAGGCGAGCCCGGAACGGGGCATCCTCGGGTATGTTGGCCAGGTCTTCGGTGAGGCTCGTAAGTCGGGCCGCGCGTGCCTTTGTTGCTGTTGCTTTCATTTTGTTCGGGGGCGCGCAGTTGTGGGTGCACCCGTGTATTTGTTTTGTGTATCTACCAGATATTTTTCCTGCCTCCCGCAAGCCGAGCGCTGCCCTGTCACTGTCTGTCGCACAATCCAATTAGCAGTTTTGGTTTAGCTTTAGCATTAGCGTTATTGATCCATCTTCATGAGACCGTGCCGTGTCGTGTCGGATTTGTTTAGTGCGGAATTTGTTTCACTTAATTTTTGCAATGATAACGAAACAGCTGGAGGGTTGTGTATGTGTGTGTGTGTGACTATCGTTGCTCACCTTTAACTTTTTGATATGGCACGCACGACACGAAACAAGTGCTGCAAAATGATGTATTTATTAACCCGTTAGGCCCGATGGGTATTTAAAAACCCATCAAAGTGATGAAACATTTTAGCGCAGACAATATGAATGAAATTGTGTTAATTTTTTGTAAAGAGTAAGGCTAGGAGTGATTTAGAAGGAATCTAAAAATTTTATTATTTTCCGCTGTTTACTCCAAGTTGCTCACCTGTTTAAAAAGAAGGGGGCTATGTGGGTTAAGTTCGTTTACTCTCGCATGACACTAGACTGACTAACTGACTAAATGCAAAAAGCTAGATACGCTTATGGGAAAATAATGCAGTGAACGCGAGAGAAATATATGTGTCAGCTTGGCTTGCGAGAAATTAAATACACTTTTCAGATACAATTTTTCCGGCTTGCTAAATATGTGTGTTGGAAAACTTCAATATCTCTTGCTATCTCTCTCTAGCAAAGTCTAAATGTCAGCTGTATGGTTGTTGTTTAAATACAAATACGGTTCGATTCGGTTCGGTTCTCAATTAGGGGTTCAAACACGATTTCGACCAGACCACCATTTTAGTTGACACAACAGCTGTACAACAGTACCTTACCCCTTTTGCTTTCCTGGGCCAGATGCGAGCAGAGCAGCGCTGCGCCATACAATCAACCGGTTTTTCTCTGTCGCATCTCCGTCTCGAATTTTCGGTGTGTGTTTTGGCCCATATGCATTTCGTTGCACTGCCAGCTGATTTATAATTGGATCTCTGAGCCTCCCACTGTCGGTGCCAACGAACTCGAAACCAATTTCGACAGCGTCCACCTGTAACGAGCGTTTCCATTCCTCTACTTCCACTGCTGATAAGATGAAAAACGTTTTGGATGTCATGTCTCTGCAGCAGCACGTGGAGTCGAGCAAGGCCCAGGCCCAAGCACTTAAGCCCCTTGACTACCGGTGAGTCCAAAGCTGAATGTCCAACCAATCCATTATCAATTTCATGTCCTTCCCCATTGCTTGCAGCAAATTGAACATGCCAGGCATCGTGCCCCTCTACATATTCGAGTGTGCCACTAAGCTCAAGATGAAACCGCTGACTGCCGCGTGTGCCGCCATTGTCTACCATCGTTTCTTCAAAGAGGTCAAGCCCACTGATTATGATGAGTTCGTGAGTACAAAAATAGTGCTCAACAAGCTGATCCCTCTCACAGGTATCTTCCTTGCCCAGCTAATTGCCGCATCTTCGCTGTACCTGGCTGGCAAAATCAAGGATGACGATTCGGTGAAAATACGCGACGTCATCAACGTGGCATACTGCACGCTGAATCGTGGCAGTGCTCCGCTGGATCTGAACGACGAGTACTGGTCCATGCGCGATGCCATTGTCCAAGCAGAGCTGCTCATAACCCGCACCCTAGGGTTTGACTTGAACATAGATCTGGCTCACAAGGTAAACCAATGCCTTTGCAAAGATCCTTGTGCTCCAATTTCACTAGTTTTACTTTGCCTTCAGTACCTGCTCTACTATATGAAGACCCTACAAGACTGGGTGGGTGCCGATGTGTGGAACTCGGTGCCGATAGCCAAGGCGGCCGCCTCGTACCTACAAGACTTTCACCACAGCGCCAACATACTTAAATACAAGCCCACGCACGTCGCCATTGGCTGCCTCTCGCTGGCCATGCAGACGTACGGCATACAGGTGCCGCTCACCGATGAGGCGGAGGAGGGTTCCATGTGGTACAAGCCACTCGTAAAGGATTTCACCAGAGAGCAGCAGTGGGAGATTATCGAAAATGTAATTGAAGTGTACAAGAACGAAGCTCTCCTGAAGGCTGCATAATCTCGAATTGTAGGCAGAATTCAAACTCTGCTGTAATTGGCATTCCCATTTGAATTTATTTATTATTTGGTCACAAATCATCAAACCCTACACAGTTGCATGCACACCTCCATAGTAAATAGGAAAACCGTTAAAGCGAAATAAACTCCTTTGTATGTATATTTACCGTGTTGGCTAATATTGGTTAATTTCAATTTAAAACAATATAATAAATTTAAATATAAATAAAGCTTGGAATCATAAACTCGTGAGTCACGCTCCCACGCTCTAGCATGGCTTGGGTGCTCGGCAACCCTATACAACAGTGTTGGTAAGCGCCGTCATAGACAGACAACAACAATACAAAACAATGCCAAACAAAACAGAATTTTGTTAGCAAAGCAAAGATTTTTGTATAAAATTAAAAAACAGACACAATGCGAAAGACATGGGTGAAGCGTGAGAACATCTACTACAAGCCATTCTACCGGCAGAAATCCAAAATGCTGCTGCTACTCATCTTCCTGGTCGGAATATCGTTCATCGCCTATCAGGTACAGATACCACCCATACCATATTCCGGCATTCTGGTTGCCGTGCTGCCAGCGTAAATGTGTCCAAAATTTGTATAATGTAATAAACGAATAACAGGCCTTCTCGCTGAACCAGTTGCCCGCGGTGCCCTCGCCCTGGAACCTGCAGCAGCTGCGCCGCAAGCACAGGGAAATGATGCAGTCCCTGTCCCTGGGCAGCAAACAGCGCGACGTGGACCCCTTCGATGGCGGTGGGGCGACGGAAGCCAGATCTGCGTTCGTGGCCGGCCTGGACGGCTCTTCCGCTCCCGATGTGGAGCCCATCAAAATCATACGGTATGTCCGCTGCGTAAACAATGACCTGTTGCTCGACCATTTCTGATTATTGCCTGCCCATCCCCGCACAGAGGTACGCGCCTCTTCGACTATGACGCGTACAAGCCGAACTTTGAGGGGAAGTTCAAGTGTCTGGACGGCAGCAAGGCTATAGCGTTCGACCACTTGAACGACAACTACTGCGACTGCGAGGGCGACGGCAGCGACGAGCCCAGCACAAATGCCTGCGCCAACGGGCGCTTCTACTGCCGCTACCAGAAGCGCCACATAACGGGTCGCGGCCGGGACAAGTATGTGGTCAGTAGTCGGGTGAATGACCACGTATGTGATTGCTGCGACGGCAGCGACGAGTGGACGACACATGTCAAGTGCCGCAACGACTGTGCGTAGTTGCGGGGCGCGCTGCATAGCAGAGAGCTTTTGGACCGAAGAAACTTCCACCTCCACCTCCGCCAAGGACATACAAAAATCTCAAGGATGAAGCAGTCTGGGGGCGCATCACAAGCGATATTTTTTTACAAGTACAATAGAATTGTAATTTATTTTAAAGTAAGTAGATTGAATAAAAGAAACAAATTGAAGAGCAACCAACGGTCTGTTTATACAGGGGGTCTGCTCTGTATTCGTATTCATATTCGTGTATATTCTTATTCATTTTATTACCAGACTCTCGCATAGATCAGTAGAATTTACATACATGGGGGGGAGAAACTCTATTAATCGTTCAAGAAATATACTTTTACTTTCATTTACTTTTAGCACAGTTTGCTGGCATTTTTTTTTTTGTTTGATTTACGCAGCTTTTTCCATTTATAATGTTCATAATAGTTAGAACTACATATGTATATACTACATACACATTGTGCAACTGCAACTTCGACTGCAGGTGTGTATGAGTGTCTGTACTTTTTCTTTGTATGTATAGTATCTTGTATGTAAAGTATAGTCTTGTGTATATTCTTGCCTAAAATTTTGTGTGTGTGTGTGTTTGGTGTGGTTTTTTAGCCGTACAATTTACACTGACAAACTCTAAAGCAATTTTGAACTGCAAATTCTACCAAGGTACGAAATTTTGTGTTGTGTATGTACTGTGGGGGGGTGGTGGTGTTGTGTATGGGGGTACTGGTATACTCTCCCTCTCTATGCACTATGTATATAATTTTAACTTGTGAGCCACAAGTGTGTGGGGCCCCTTCTTGTTGTCTCTTGGCTAAGCGAAAGCGTTTAGATCCATTTATACATGTGGTATAAGTATAAGGAACGCGTGCCACATGGCTATGGCTTGACAAATTTCATTTTATTCGCATTGTACTTCCTACCTGCGCAGCACAACCAAAATATACACTACTACTAGGTATATGTATACAATACAATACAATACAATATAAATATCAATACGATTGCTTGCTCTAAATCATACCATTTGATTTAATTTGATGATCAATTGTATATTGCTCCAGGAATGGATCCAGATCTGGGGGCTAGCCGCACAAGGTTCGTCGTCCGACATTTGTAAAGTACAACATCATTCTACATCTTTATCTTCGTTGCAACTTAAGATTTATGTGTTCACTAAACGCTAAGTAATACTTAATCAGAGGGTTTGCTTGTTGTTGTTGTTGTGGGGTTGTGTGTGTAGTGGGTTCTAGACTGAATATAGCGTATGGGAGATATTGAATACATAAATTCCTTGGGTGTAGGGGATAGGGGATTGGGGGGCTGGGAGTCACTTAAAAACGAAGATTGCTTGATTGCTACACTTACGATTTAGGCCTGGATGAAGTTAATTAAATGTGCGCAAATCACAAATCTTTCTCGATTATTCAATAAATAGCTTGGAGTGTTTGTATACATAAAGTGATAAAAAAATTCGATACATACATGTACTCACATATACTCGCATTATATATAGTATATATATATTTATAAGATTTAGGTGTATGTGTATATAGTATTGCACTGATGAGATTTTTGCTTCAGTTTTTTTAGGGGTGTGTGGGTGGGTTGGGGGAGGGGGCCAATTACGCAAATGAGATATGAGAATGAAAACAAAATTTGAATAAATAAATATACAACATAAAGTTAGATGACTTTGGAACTTATATAGACAGACGCTGTACGATGTACATAGAGATGCGAAGTACTAGAGTAGAGAAGTAGAGGGCTGGGGTGTGTGGGTGTGGGTGATGATTGGACCGACTTAAGGGTTAGGTTCTAAGAAACATTCTCTCATACAAGTATACAATATATATATATATAAAGTAAGTTAATTAATCATAAAGGAGAGGGGGGCGTACGGATCTAACGGCAAAGCGTATAATACAATTTTTGTAGTTTGCGTTTCGAGCGACACTGATGATGGTTATGGTTGTGGTGGTGATGATGGTGATGATGATGATGATGGTGATGTCTGTGTGAGTGTGTCTGCTGCTGGTGTGCCTGCTGCTGCTGTTGTTGTTGCTGTTGTTGTTCTTGTGACTGCTGTGGTTGTTGTCCTGGCGGCAGTAGTTGTTGTTGCATATGGCTGTGATGATGATTATTTACATTGGTCGCTGCTGCAGAAGCGGACGACGACGACGACGTCGTTGCGGCACTGAGGGCCACCGCCGATGATATCAGGGCCGCCGCCAAGCGAGACGGTGATGAGGACAGCGACAGGTCGGCGGCCAGCAGCTGCTGGTGGTGCCGTCGCAGCTGCTGCACCTGTTTGCGCTTCAGAGCAGCGGTCCCCTTCCGCATTGCATGCAAGCGACGCCTGTGATGATGTGGATGCAGTTGAAGCTGTCACTTTGCCTCCTCGCTGGCATCCAGAATATTGTTGCTGCCATTGTTTGGTCGCCACCGTTGCCACTGCTGCTGCTGCGGCTGCTGCCGCCGCCGCCACCGCCACCGCAGACTGATCGGTGACTCCCTGCTGCTGCTGTTGCTGCAGTTGCTGCTGGTTGAGGGCATGGACGTGTTGGCAGAAAGCCTGAAGCACCTCGAAATGGGTCATCAGGTTCGCCGGCTGGTTGTCGTAATGCAAGTGCCTCGTGATCGGCGCACTCAAGCGCCTCAGCATCTCCGTGAAGAGCTTCTCCTCCTTCCGTATCCAGGGTCTGCGGTCATCCTGCACCTGGTACGGTGTGAGGTGGACGTGTATGTTCATGCCTGGACAAGAATCAATGCCGCTCGGTTAATAATGAATGGTATAATAATGGTATACCCCGAGCGCTGCTTACCCATGCGTGTGAGTGTCTCCAGGAGACTGCGTGACGTGATCCATGTGTTCTTCTGGCCCCCGTGGCCACCGTCTAGCCAGTACATGTCCGTAATGCGAGAGAGCAGTCGGCACATGCTGCTGTCATCGGGTGTGAGGGTCTTCAGATAATGGAACTCGTAGATGAACTGCAAATAAAGCGAACACAGAAGAGGACACCGTGGTCAGTGAGGATCAAGGAGCTTCCCACTGCTGCGGGGGACAGAGCCCAGTATGTTAACGACTTAACGAACCAAACGCGACTCACTTGATTGAGCACGACGCAGCCCTTGCTGAAGCCAATTAGCACCAGCTTGGACTTGTCCAGATTGAGGTTCTCCCGCCACCACAACGGATTGCCATCATTCGTCAGCGTCGCTGTCTGCCGTGCGGCTTGCTGTCCCTGTCCCTGCCCCATGGCACATTCGCTGCTGCTGCTGTTGTTGCTGTTGTTTAAATTGTTGTAGTGCTCCACGTTGTTGGCGGCTGGCAGAGCCACTGGTGCCGCTATCTTGATGGGCGACGACTCTTGCTGTGGCTGCTGCTGCTGGTTGTTCGACTCCTGATGATTGTTCAGGCCGACATCGTTGCTGCCAATGCTGCCGTTGTTACCACCCCCATTGTTTGTGGCGGGGTCCGCCGCCTCATCCGCCTCGTCAGGTAGCATGGGGAAGACCACCTCCCCGTCGGCATCCACTGTGACATTTTCCTGTACCTGCAGTATGTCAATGTCCATGTCCTGGCTGTTGTCGTTGACCGCCGCCAAGGGCGAGCTGCTCTCCGAGGGGACTGTGGTGGCATTGGACAGAGTGAGGGCAGCGGCTGCAGCTGCAGCTTGCACAGCAGCCGCGGCCGCTGCCGCCTGGGCAGCCTGATCGAGTATCTCGTTCTCTGGTATGGAGATCAGACGTTGCGACAGATTCTGCAGCAGTCTGTGAATGATATATGATTGGCTCATCAGTTGTCAGTAGTTCATCCGTCCATCAGGCAAGCCTCAACTTACTTTTCCAAGTGTTGCAGCGCATGGTTCATGGGCGTATGGTCCGGGACTCCAGCATTGTTGCCACGCACAAAGTTGTCAAAGCAGCTAAATGTCTTGAATTCCATGCTGAAACAACGAAATTGTCATTAGATACAATTATACCAATTTATGATGGCCAAAGAAGTACTCACCGAACTGGCCGTATGACAATGATGTGGGAACGCGGAAACGCCTCGCGCAACAGGATCGCCGAATTCTCCAGGTTGTACTTCATGTAGCCGCGACTGTCCCTGTTCGTTTCCATGCTCTCCGGAAAGTCCTGAACGTCGCCACCAAAGTAGACAATGGCCGTGGAGTCCTCGACATGCTGCGACTGCTGCCGCACAATTGGCGGACAGTAGACGATGTCATTGGCGCGATTCTGGAAGCCGGCCACGGAGAAGATGCGGAACGGACCGGCCGAAGTGCTTGGCGTGCATAAACGCTCCCCGCTGCCGCCGCCAAGCATGCCCTCGAAGTTACGTATCCGCTCTTGAAGTTGCAGAAATTGATCAATGGTGAGCTGCGGGGTAGCCCATATATATATTGGGGGATTAGGCGATGACAAACTGATATAGGTTCTTCCTAGGTTCTACAGACAACACTCTTACACACAGACAACACACACCACACACACACACGAGCGAGCCTTTCCCGCCTAGTAGTAATCATTCTCGTAAATATCACGCGGATCGCCACAGCAGCCCACGAAACGCAGACGCGTGTCCTCGACACACAGCTTGGCGTCCTCCTTCATCTCCTTTAGCTTGACGTGCACCTCCTCGCGCATCAGGTTGCGACACATGGCCACCAGGCCCATGCCGAGCAGCATGTAAATGAAGTTGATGGCCAGCTTCGAGTGCTGATCGGCTATGGACTGCAGCTCGGACAGCTCGTTTGGATCGGCGGCAATGTCCTCCTGCAGCTTCTGGGTGGCCACATCCACATCGGCGGCGGTGGTCAGCGATGCACCAGGCACAAAGTCGCCAAAGCCAATTTTGCACAGCGATGTCATGCAAAAGTAGAAGCTATTGAGGAAGCTCCACTTCTCCCAGTTGGCAAACATAATGGTCCCCGTCAGCACATAGAAGATGATCACCCACAGGCAGGCGGTGGAGGGGACAATTATCTTCTTGCGCAGCGTCAGGGTGCCCAGGCTGCCGTTCTCCAGGGCGTCCAGTCGCGAGTCAAAGTTTCGCTCCTGCGTACAGTCGTGCATGGAGCGGTACATAAACTTGAAGGAGCGCGCCAGGACGCGGCCCATATTGAGGAAGTACAGGATGTACAGCGGTATGCCGAAGGTGGCGTAGATGACGGTGAAACCCTTGCCCCAGGGTGTGCGTGGCACCATATTCCCATAGCCGATCATTGTGATCACCGACAGGCAGAACATCAGTGCAGCCGGAAAGCTCCAGATCTGCTCGGGACTGCGGCCCACGTAGCCGCTCTTGATGATGCCCGCTATCTGGGCCTGGTACTCCCGCAGCACAGCGTTCGTCTCGTTCACCCAGAGCCGCTTGTCGATCAGGTTGTGCTCCTCGGTTATGTACCACAGCAGCTGCGAGCAGTTCTGCCGCAGCTCCAGCACCTGGGCCGTCGTCTGGTCCACGTACTTCCGCTCGATGTTCATGAAAGCGAACGCACCGCATATGGCGTAGAAAACGATCAGGGCGCCCACGCCCACCTGCGTGCACATGAAGGTGACGAAGTTGCGGCAACATCGCTTCACGCGCTTCCGCGGCTGGTTGCTCGGCGTTGAGGAGACGCTCGATGCGCCGCCAATTGGCGCTTGGGGGGAGCTTCTTCTTTGAAATTTGCTGGGCATTTCTATTCGGTTTTTGGTTTTAACTAATTTGATTTCGGTCTCTCCCTCTCTCTCTCTCTCCTTCTCTCTATATCTGTATCTCTGGCTGGGCCGATCGTCAATCCAATTCCATGATTATATAATGCAGGAGATCTTGGCAACTGGATGATGGGCCATCGATCTTATCTTATGAACTGGCGGAACGTTTATTGGTAGGCTTCCCTCATCGGCAATTAGTTTGGCAGTGCTCTTCTCGATCTGCGATCTATTTGCTGCCGATTTGTGTTTTATATGGAGCGTTGGAACTGTTGAAATCGGCACGAAGGCTAAAAATAAATCCACGCGTTTTCACACAGCATTTGCCTCAGACACTACGGATGCTTTTTGGGTTTCCCGAGCCGAGCCGCCTCAACTGTTAGACGCGGGCGCCAAAATTCAACTGAGCGACGGGGCTCCAAGAAAACTATTTGGAGAGAATATTGTATCTCTCGGATACAGAGGGAGAGCGAGCGATTGGAGGGTTCTATTTGGATGGACGAAGTAATCAAAATACCCCAACGAGACAGGTGCAGGGAGGATGGAAATCAGCATAAACGAATGGAATGGAAGATGGAAAATGAAAATGCCGGGCAGAGTCGCGGAAGACTTGGCTAAAAACTGATGGCAATTTGATTAATGATTCTTTTTTTTATTTTTTAGTATTTTTATGGGCTTATAAATTATGTCGAGGGGACGCAGCATCGCATCGGGTCGGAGGGGGGAAGATGAAAAAAACGAGCAGCAAGCAAAACAAAATACAAGTAAATATAAACAAAGAATTAAAAAAACAAAAGGAATAATATTAACACACGCACACACACACGCATAGAGAAACGGTAAAAGAGGAAGAAGATCAAATGAATACGCAAAAACGGGGGGTGAAATGCGTACCGAAGAGATAGATTTTTTTCAACACCAATACACACATACAGCTGCACTCTGTCCAACACTCGCATTCGCGCACACACACACACACAGACGACGCATACAAAATTTCACAAATTTCTGCCAAAATTTTCAGGCTTTTCCCGCACTTTATTTACCAGCGCACAGGCATTGCACTTATAATTTACTTACGCTGTTTATTGCTAATACCTATTGTTAATAACTTTTCTGCACTTCCCGCGTATTTTTTTTTTTGCTATTTTCTGTAGTGTGACCGCGGATTTAACGATTAAATACACCATCTGACCCTCGGAATATATACCAAAATACCGAAATATACCTTTGCATTTTTATAATATACCGTAAATATACTGACGGGACACTTTCATATTTCTCGATTTTGATATTCGTTTCAATATTACTAGCTAGTTAGCCCTTTCAGCCCTAAACAAACAATTTTATACGATTCCTCAATCAATTTTGTACAATATTGTGTGGTTTTCAGAACTCCGTTTTATTGGATGGTTAACATAATAATAGGGTTCAAACAAAAACGGCCAAAGCATAACACGTAAGTGTGAACTCTGGTCACATTCCGTCATTGTTGCTGGTTTACCAAGTTGCTGCATGTGCATGGACATTTGTATACCCTATTTCTTTTAATTGATGTTAATGTTTTGTTCCAAACTGATATGAACTATTAATATTGCATTTTTCTTAGATTGAGATGTTTTTTACCTATTAATGCATATGTTTTGTGATTTATAAATAAATTTATCCCGGTTTTGTTACCTATTATTGGTACCCGTAAGTTACAAAATTTCGATGATATCTTAAAAAAAAGACTTACTAGTTTATCCATTAATTTTAGCATGAAATTACAAACAATATCTCAAGTCCATAATAACCATTTTCCCAAGGTATGCAGATTGTTGCTCATTCCGTGCCAAAGTTGCACAGCAATGCTGCCTCTTCATTTCCACATGTTGCTGAATTTTTTCCCATACAAATCAAATGTATCTTATGGGAACGCGTATGGAATGAAGATTCATTGTTGCGTCATTCCATACGCGTTCCCGTAAGATACATGTTTCTCACACCACGAAAAGTCACCACGAAAACACTCTCTTCACCTCTGAAAAGAGAGCGAATTTTGAAAAACCACCACGATTTGAGAGCGAAACATGTCAGTATTTTTTGTGCGCTAAATGGAGTTTTGGCGGTCATTTTGAAAAGTATATTAATATACCGTATATATACTGAAGAACACGACAATATGCGTTGATATTCCTCGATTTAGAAATTCCGTTTAATATTAATAGCTAATAAGCCCTCTCAGCCCTAAATAAATAATTTTATCAAATTCCTCAATAGTTTGTTGCCAGCCACATGCTGCAAGTACTTTAGCAACATGTTAAGTTGCTAGCAGCATGCTGCTAGGACTTTGATGCTGCCAGCAACATGTTTTAAATTTATTAATTGCAACAGCGACATCTGACGGTGATACCGAATGTTGACAAACTTGACCGCCGGGAGCGCCACGGTAAAAGCAAGAACAAGGTTTAAATTATTCTTTTTTATATCGATGGGGCAAGTCTATAGTTTAGCGGCTGTTACTATTTTGACAGTTAGTCGCTCTGTTTAAAAGTTTTCACATATTTATACATTATTCAATGCATTTTTATCGCGCAATATCAAATAGAACATTCGTAAGACACATTTCGTGTCATTGTTAGAAAATCGATTAGCTGATAAGTGAAAGACTGCGAATCATTGTGAGGGGCCGGGAAGCATGTCAACAGGGGGATGGACGTTCCACAAATTTGATGGATGGCTCAATTATGCACCGTGTGCCCGGCCCCGTGTGTTGATCCAACAATTATGCAAGGCAGGCGACTTGACGACTGCTGATAAGCCCGGCTGGAAGAACCTTCAACGTGGCAGTCACTTGACCGGACGATCAGTTCGTCAGCTGCGTCGCAACTGTGCGGAGCCAGCACCGGAAATTTGCCCCAACAAACAAAAAGGATAGCAACAATTAGTGAAAATGTCAAAGTGGTGGAGTTTCGACTCCAAACAGGAGACCGACAGCATCTTCCGCAGCGAGGTGATGTCCTTGTGCCAGATGTTTCTGCAGCCGGAGGCAGCCTACGACACGATTGCCGAGCTCGGCGAGGTGGGCTGTGCCCAGTTTCGTGATGTAAGTCGGGAAAATGATGAAGTGTCCTTTATGGTTACTGATCTTATTCCCTATTCCTGAACAGATGAACAAGGGCGTGATCGCCCAGCAGCGGAAATTCATCGGGGAGGTGCGTCGCTGCGATGAGCTGGAGCGGAAGATCCGCTATGTGACCGCCGAGCTGGACAAGGACGGGCACAAGGTGCTCGACCTGATGGACGATTTCCCGCCCGCGCCAAAGCCCCGCGACATAATCGAGCTGGAGGCGCACCTGGAGAAGACGGAGACGGAGATAATTGAGCTGGCCGCCAACGACATCAGCCTGCAGACCAACTACCTGGAGCTGACGGAGATGATTCAAGTGCTGGAACGGACAGACCAGTTCTTCTCGAACCAGGAGTCGCACAACTTTGACCAGAACAAGCGCGGCACCCACCGGGATCCGGAGCAGACCAATGGACACTTGGGTTTCGTGGCCGGCGTCATCAATCGGGAGAGGGAGTACGCCTTCGAGCGCATGCTCTGGCGCATCTCCCGCGGCAACGTTTTCGTGCGCCGCGCAGAGGTGGACGTGCCCCTGAAGGACCCTCGCACGGGCAGTGTCCTGCACAAGAGCGTCTTCGTGGTGTTCTTCCAGGGCGACCAGCTGCAGGCCCGCATTCGCAAGGTGTGCACCGGCTTCCACGCCCACATGTATCCCTGCCCCAGCTCGCACGCGGAGCGCATGGAGATGGTGAAAAGTGTGCGCACGCGCCTGGACGACCTGAAGGCCATCATCAGCCAGACGGAGGACCACCGCAACTGCGTGCTGAACGCGGTGGGCAAGCAGCTGCCCAAGTGGTCGGCGATGGTCAAGAAAATGAAGGCCATCTACCACACCCTGAACCAGTTCAATGTGGATCTGGGCAGCAAGTGCCTGATTGGCGAGGCCTGGGTGCCCAAGCGGGAGCTGGAGCTGGTGGAGACGGCCCTCGCCGCAGGATCAGCCATCGTGGGCAGCACCGTTCCCTCGTTTATCAACGTGCTGGACACCAAGAAGGAGCCGCCCACCTACTACAGGCTAAACAAGTTCACGCGCGGCTTCCAGAACCTGATCGACGCCTACGGCATAAGCAGCTACCGGGAGGCGAACCCCGGCCTGTACACCTGCATCACCTTCCCGTTCCTGTTCGCGGTGATGTTCGGCGACATGGGCCACGGCACCATTCTGTTCCTTCTGGGCCTGTGGATGGTCCTGGACGAGACACGCCTCATGAAGAAGCGGGGCGGAGAGATCTGGAACATCTTCTTTGCGGGACGCTACATTATCCTGCTGATGGGGCTGTTCGCCATGTACACGGGCTTCCACTACAACGACATATTCTCCAAGTCGATAAATGTGTTCGGCTCCCACTGGGTGAACGTCTACAATCGAACCACCGTGCTGACCAATCCGACGCTGCAGTTGAACCCTTCGGTGGCCACGCGCGGCGTCTACCCCATGGGCCTGGATCCCGTCTGGCAGTCGGCATCGAACAAGATCATCTTCCTCAACACGTACAAGATGAAGCTATCCATCATCTTTGGTGTGCTGCACATGACCTTCGGCGTGTGCATGTCGGTGGAGAACTTTGTGTTCTTCAAGAAGTATGCCTATATCTTCCTGCAGTTCGTGCCGCAGGTGCTCTTCCTGCTGCTGATGTTTGGCTACATGTGCTTCATGATGTTCTACAAGTGGATCAAATACAGCCCGACCACCGATGTCCTGGCCGACACACCGGGCTGTGCCCCCTCCGTGCTGATCATGTTCATCGATATGGTGCTGTTCAAGACCGAAACGGCTTCGCCGGGCTGCGATGTTAACATGTTCCCCATTCAGAAAGAGATTGAAATGATTTTCTTCGCGCTGGCAATCGTTTGCATTCCATGGATCCTTTGTGGCAAGCCCCTCTACATCAAGTTCCATCGCCGCAACAGGGTGAGTGCGATTGGCAGAAGAGTTTAATAGGAAGAGGTTAATCAACTCTATTCTTTAGCCCGCTGAACCTGTGGTAGAGGTCGATGAAATCGTGGAGAAGATCGAGGTCACCGGGAAGGAGGTTATCATCACGGAAGTGGCCGAGGCCCACGAGTCTGGTGGCCATAACGAGGAGGATGACGAGCCCATGAGCGAGATCTGGATACACCAGGCCATCCACACCATCGAGTACATCCTGAGTACCATCTCGCACACAGCCTCCTATCTGCGTCTCTGGGCTCTGTCCCTGGCCCATGCGCGTAAGTCACATATCCTGCATACATTTATCCGAGTTGGCTTACGATATAATATTCCTTGCAGAGCTCTCGGAGGTGCTGTGGACTATGGTTTTGTCGATGGGTCTGCAATTTCCGGGCTACATCGGAGCCATTGCGCTGTTCTTTATCTTCGCCGTCTGGGAGTTCTTCACCATCGCCATCATGGTGATGATGGAGGGTCTGTCCGCCTTCCTGCACACCCTGCGTCTGCACTGGGTGGAGTTCATGAGCAAGTTCTATGCGGGAGCAGGCTATCCATTCACGCCCTTCAGCTTCAAAGAACTCTTGACCGTGGTCGATGATGACTGAAGCGGGACGGTCTACATTCGATATGTAACTCTAATCTAAGTGGGTGACCAGAGCCCAACAATAAACGAAGCATTACAGAATTCTCTGGTTATTTCTTTATTGCTCTAAAGAGGGTTTTAAAATTAAAAGCAAACACTTTAAAATCTATTGCGATATTTATTTGTTTTAAATGGTTTGGTTCAATCAGTTGCTCAGCATATTGAGCTTCTGTATTTATTTTTATTTCCCTTTCATGGCCTAAGGACAGCCCTCACGTTGTCGGTTAAGTAATTTCCATGACCAAGTATTCGTTACCCTCACATTTACCTTTACCATTTTCAGAGTCAGCCAAATCCTGTAATTGCTGTAATACAAAACGCCTTTTGTGCGGCATTTATGGCGAATGCCAGTGGCTTAAGCTGCAATCAATTGAATGAATTAACTTACCAAAAAGCATCAAATTACTTACTTCTTTCAATCAAATCAAAGCAATTGCAATCCATTGAACCGTGTGTCGACTGAAATATGAAATGGAAAAGTTGTCCGACAACCAACAGCCCACCCACCACCCCCCACCCCAGACATCACCCTGCCGAATCCAGGGCGAACCTAACGATTTGAATTGTGCTTCCAAGTAAGGACAGGACGTGGTCATAAGGGGCCAAAACATGAAACGAGTATTATTGATATAGGTAATAATAATAATCATAAATTTTTATTTGGTTTTACTTGTTGGTTGTTTTGACATTTAAATGCTGCTAGTGAATTATATATTTTGATTTTAGTTTGAATAAATTGAAATATATATATATTCATATTTTCCTGTTTAAATATATATATATATATGTATATTGGTTTATATATGTATATCTTTATGGATTGATTTATTTAAACTGGTAGACGACGAAAAAGTGTTGATAATATTTGCCACTGTACGCATTTACCATTGTGGCTGTTTATTTGCATATGGATTAATCGAATTTCTAAGTGTAGAGCGGAAAAAAATAGTTGCAACTCTTTGTTGTTGTTGTCGTTGTCCGTTGCGGTTCCCTGTGATGCATGATGGTGGTGGAACAGGACTGGGCGACCAGGTCCTGGACTCATCCACAGAGCAACCCTCTGGTCCAGACCCAGCTCTTCAGCACACTCCAACTCCAACCGCCGGAGCTTTGCCCTCAATTAGCCGATTACAATGATGTATAAAAATACTTTGTGTTCGATATATGTATGCTTACGGGTATGTAGAGGGGATAAAGATTTAAAAAAAAAATCCAGCTACACTCCTCTCCTCTAAGCATTCTCTAGAGTCTAGAATGTAATTTTTTTCATTTGGTTTCTGCTGGTTTCTTCTTATTTTTTTTTTGTGATTTTTGTTGGTTTTTGTTTTTTTATATAATTTCATATTTATTACATTTTTGGTACATAAATCTGTGTGTAGTAGTGATTTGCCTTAACATCTGTGCTGTTTTTGTGGGTGATTCTGTTTCTGTTTTTTTGTGTGTGTTTCTCTGTAGTTTATTGGCTTAAAGTGTCGCAACTAAATCAACGTAAAACTAAATAAAATTATCATCTTGCGCATACATATACATATATATACTCGTATTTACTCACAAATATATATAGTACACACACACACATGCATACGAGTACAACGAAACAGAGCACGGAACTTAAAATTAGGAAATCAAGTATGTAAAATGTAAGGGCTAAAGTTAAGGGTAAAAGTAAATTTTAGGTGTAAGGGGTTAACTAGAAATAATTTTATACATTTTGTGCTTTGGACCGAAAGATAACAATTTTGAATAAATCTATAACAAAAATCTTTTTCCTAAATAAATGTGCACCGAGAGGTGGCAGCAACCTTAGCCAAAATGTTGCCTGCCTCTCCCTTGCGATATTTTAATTCTTTTTTTTTTTTGTTTTGTTTTGCTTTTGCATTATTTTTTGTTGTTGATTTCTTTATGTAAAGTTTTGTGCCGAAAATATCACATTGAATTTTATATGTTATTTTGTTTTATTATAGCTTGTTTCTTGCCTATTTATTTTGTGTCGAAACATAATTTTGCCTATCACAAAATGTTTAAAATTAATTACTTTTGCCGTCTCTGCGGGGACGTTTGGTTAATGGTGGTATCCAAGAAGCCAGGAAATCGTTTAATATAAATTGAAAATTACAACGAAAACTTTCCAATTTTGTACCAATTGAGCAGACAGTTAAAGAATTCTAAAACATAATTTTTATAGTGTTTTTTTTTCATATTTTTTTTGTTGTTTAGTTTTTTTGGATTTGTGATATGAATTTTTGTTTTACTCATTTAGCTTCCATTTAATCAACTAATTTCCTTTCTCATTTATATATTCTTGTGTACTTTAACTAAATAAACATTTGACCATAAATATAAACAAAGCTTAACAACAAAAAAGTGAGGTGGTTCAAGTGGTTCAACCTAAGCCTATAGAACTTAAACTTAACGGACACGACAAAATCAAAAATTTGAGGGGAACACAACAGAAAATAATAAAATAAAAAAAAAAACAGAGGATAACTTTGGAGAACCTATTTGCTAGACAATCGGAAAAGATTGAAATAATATGTATGTATGTATGTATACGGGGTAGGTGTAGGTTTATAAGTGCTAACGATTACATAGATATTAAAATTAAGCAATCAACAATAAAACTGAAATGCATTTGAGGTATATGAAAATTTCTTTGTAGTTGGTTGAGTAGCCCCATCGCATACTCCGCAGAACATATTGGTAAAATTACATTTAATCGTATTTAGTAAGATAAACTAAGCTCTAATGTGACCTTTATATGAGTAGTAGTAGTTGTGGGTGACTGTCGTAGTTGGGTATCTGCTGGCACTCTCCAACAAAAGTTACACCAACTGAATCAACATCAACCTAGTGTTTTCGCTGCTTCGACTTCGACTTCGCTTCATTTGTAATCATCATTTTAATATTTAGTTACTACTTGTATTTAGGAAACAACATTTAGAAACCTTAAAGTTGGTTTGTTGTAGCATTAGAAAAATTGTTACATCCATTCTACTTGAACTGTTTGTGTTCTATCCCCACGTAGTTTGGGCAACTCCCTCCCTTAGTTAGCAACTGAAACCTTTCCTGGTTGATGTAGTGCCTGATTTTGTTTAGTTATACACATTTATATAGCCTGGTATTTGTATCTATGTATATATAAGTATATATATATATATATAAGTTGATGGGATCATGTTAGGGGGACAATCTTTCAAAAGTTAATCAATAGCTATTGTTAGTGTTAGCATTATCATTATCATTATAATGTTTATGCGTTGCGCGGCTGTTGGCCTGCCAAAGGATTAAGTTTTAGCATCTTCGGTTCTACTAGTTTGGGTTATTGCTTGGGTAGCTCGGATGGGGTCTGGGGCCATATACAGACGACTAAATGCAAGAAGATCCTCTAACGAATTGAAAGAATTCTCGGAAAAATGACATCCTATATACTTTGTAGGAGCAGCCGAATCTATACGAATCTTTCGCTCTGTTTGAATCTGTATCTATAGATGCTGTTGTAGTAATCCTGTTGCTGCTGTTGTTGCTGCTGCTGATGTTGCCGTTGTCGTTCCTGGGGGTGATGGTGGCGCTGTTGGTGCTGTTGGTAGTTGTTAGTTTGGCCCGGATGGTGGCCCCGGCCACGCCCTTAAATGGACGAATTCAGCTTGAGCAGGCGATCCGGATGCTTGACGCGCAGGTGCGAACGCAACGTGTCGATCCGACTGTAAGTGGCCGGGCAGTACGGGCACATGGACCGCTGGGCGGTGTGAGAATGGAAGTGATGCCAGCGATTGGTCACCTCCTTGCCGCACGAGCGGCAGCGCCACATCGTTCCGGGATCGCGGGACGGGGTGAACATGTTGTGATAGGACATGGTGTGATGTGAATTGTGGCCGCCAGCACCGCCGGCGCCGGTGGGTGTCGAGGCGCCTCCCAAAGCGGCAGCCGCAGCTTGGGCCGCGTTGTATCCGTGCGCGGGCGGCGTGCCGGCGGGATTGCTGTGGCCATTGCCGGCGGCGCGTATGTAGTGCAGCGGATGGTACTCGCTCTTGAGGGCCGCCGACAGGTGCATGCCGAAGACGGCCGGCGGCGGCGAGGCCGACGAGGAGGTCGAGAGCGTTGTCGAGAGGTGGTTCCGTGCGCTGGTGCCTGTGGTCGAGAACGAGAAAGAGAAGAACAGACACACAACAGCCCGTCGAGCGGGACGAAAATCAGCCCAGAGAAATAGATTTCGGTTTTTTTTTTGTTGATATTTTTTTTTTGGTTTCAATTTTTGGTTGTACGTATAATAGACAGAGATAGGAGAGTGTGAGAGTGAGTGTGTAAAAGAGAGAGAGAGAGAGATAGAGCGAGAGAGACAGACTGGTAGGTAGACAGAGAGGGACATATGGCATATAACAGAGATAAAAAGATTTCCCTTTTGTGAGCAAAAAAAAAGTAATATACTTAGGCGGCAAAATAAAAAAATATCAAACTAAATAAAATACTAAAAAAAATAAACTCAAACAAATGGGTATAACTACGATCAAGCAACTTAAGTCAACGGAAAAATATACAATTATATATGTGGTAACAGATGGTGGCTAACAGAACACAAATTACGGGGAAACTCATGAACCTTTCGCTTCGGATCTTAGGTCCTATCGGTTGTATTGGAGCAGTTCAGAGTCACCTCATCATATTCCAGCGTGCAAGTGAAATAATCTCTTCGTTTTTATATATAATTCATAATTTACCTCATTTAATTAAGGCTTCCTTTTAATATTAAGCATTTATATTAATTGTCTGTATGCATGGACAAACAGTGCGCTGAAAAAGTAGGCAACAGTTGTTGGGAACAGGGTTCTTTGATTTTATGGGTTTATTTGATCAAACACAAATTATTGTCTCTATTATCTCTAGATTTGTCCAACTGTTGGATAGTTTTTATACGCACTGTTTTTTGGTTTTTTTTGTTGTTTTTTTGCTAATTAACTTATAAAAATGCCTCCGTTTGTTCCTGAGGAATCCTTTTTAGTTGGTTTTCATATTCAGTTATTTTTAAATTGTATACAAATGAAATTAGTCACAATCGGCGCATACATAGAGGTGTTTTGATATATTTATGATTTATTCTGTTTATATGTAAAATTATATGTATATTTGTAGCACAAAGGGTAACAAACAATTCTTGTACGAGTAGAACAAATTCGGTAAGGTCGTTACTGTTCTTTGTGGTCTTCTCTTTCGCACATTTATTTCATTTATTTTAACTCCTATTTTATTTTTTTTTTTTGGGTGTAACTCGTTTGTGCGAAGAATCGTTTGGCTTAAACTTAACCAAATTTTGGGCTGAAACTCAAAGTAAAATATGCATACATAATAAATCTACATATAGTATATATATTAAGTTGATAAAAGTAAGATATTCGTAAAAGTTAAAAAAGAGGTTAACAAATTCAAATTAAAAAAAAAATTAAAAAAAAAAACAGGAAATTGGGCCGAGGTTTGAAAATTTTCTGTGTATGTGTGTGTGTGTGTGCGTTTTTCGCGCTTGTGTATTTGTGTGTGTGTGTGTAGATATATGTGCATGTGAGTGTCTATTGGCATATATATGTATATTCTTAGACTCTAGGTTCGACTTTTCATGGGCACCCCTAACATATTTGGAAGCACAATTCAAAGCGCACAGCACAAACAGGATTCGGAGTCAGAGGATCAAAAATAATAAAGAAAAAGTGATCACCATTTCGTTTTGTTTCCATAAAATTCAATTTATTTGATTTAGTTTTGAATTTGTTTCATTTCATTTCATTTATGTTATGTTTTATTCTTCTCGTGTGTTCTGTCTGTCTGTCTGTTGGGTGTGTCAGTGTCAGTGTGTGAGTGTGTGTGTGTGTATTACATGTATGTATGTATGTAGTTGTGATTGGTTCATCTGACTGTTCTTCAGTTAAATATTGTATGTTTTTTTTTATTATTATGTTTTATTCTGGGTTTAGTAATTCAATTTCAATTTCTTTCATTGAAAGGCTGCCATAATGGATAGAATGTTTATTAAAAATCGTTTTAAAAAATATTGTAATATATATTTATGTATAAATTGTAACAAATGCTGCAAGCATTCTCTGGACTTGCTTCAATTTGCTTAACGTTAATTAATCTGATATCATTTTTTTGTTTTTTTTTTTTTGCGTTTTCGCTTTGTTTTTATATTTTGTTGTTGCTACTGCTGCTGCGGCTGCTGTTCTTGTTGTATATAAATAAAACTAAAAATAGTTTGTATTGCATTTATTAATACAAAAATTAGATTAAACTAGGTTTTACATTGAAACTAGCACGTCATTAAAATTAAGGGTTTTCGAACAACTCTTCATCGACTGCAAAATGCTATTAAAATTGTTTAAACGAAATCAAAGTCAAGTTCTAAATCGAAATCAAAAGAAAATCAAAGAAAGAGAGGATTCAAAATGTTTCAGGGGGGTCTCCGAAATAAATATGCTAGTGTGTGATTTAATTTGATGTGTGTGGGGGTGTAGGTGGCTGTGTTCTCTGTGTGATTGATAATTTGTTAAGCTTTATGACATTTATTGTAAATAGACACAGAAACTGTAGCGAAAAGTTCTCTTTAACTAGCTGCCATTCTGCCTTCTGGTCTGGTTCCTCTTCTAATCAGATGTATATTTATTTATAATCATATTCATGGTGATATGCTAACATTTATTTAGTGTTCAAGCGGCGTTTACACCATGCACTTATGCATCCTCCCCCATACTCTACATATGCATGGAGTAAGCACCGCTTACCGCTGTATATATACAATTATATCTCTTCTTTTTGTTGTTGTTTTGTTTTATTTTAAATGGGTTTTTTTTCATAAGTCAAATGGTTTGCTTTTGCGTGTGGTTTCTATTCTCTCTTATATATTTCTTGCACCTTAAACGAAAACTAGTCATATTGCACATACGATACGATTCAGAGATAGCTGCCTGGATGTCTCCCACTGCTGTCTCCTACTACTAATATTACACGCTTCCTTCCTTCCTTCCATCTAACCTTTCTTGGGGTATACTTTATCGTTCCTTCGTCGTCGTCTCATTCCGTCTCCGCGCATTTAAAGTATATTTGGATTTAGCACCATTTTGCATACCACACAAATTATAGATTATATTTACTTAACGAACGTTTTTTAAAAAAACTTCTGCATCAATTCTCCAGCTTAATTAACATAATTTCAATTTGTAAAATGTGTGTGTGAGTGTGTGTGTGTGTTTTTGTGGGTGTGCGTATGTTTAGTTTTACTATAGTTATCACATCATATATAGATAAATTTCTTAAATTTTTGTTGTTTAACATAACAGCGTTAAAAATAAACATTAAACAAACATTAAGTCGGGGGCAGTATTTGATGTAGCATTATTAATAATATACATAATTACTAAACATTTCATGTTAAGAAGTAGAACAAATAAATATTATGAATATGTGTGTATAATATATATATATATGTATATATATATAAACTATATATATTTAATATATTTATGCATTAATTCTTTAGGCAATTAGATGTTTGTTTGTTTGTATGCATGTGTGTGTTTGTTTGTGTGTGGGTGTGTGTGTGGGGGTGTGTGTGTGTGTGTGCGCGCACCAATATCGGGGATTTGGCAATCAATGTACAACAACAAATTACAAAAAAAAAACACGTGAATTTAAATATACATTAACTAGCAGAAATCATGGGAGAATCATCAATCATATTTACACGGTAAGATGAGTTTGTCAAAAACCTAACCTAACTCGTAGTTCTGTATGTCTGTGTATATCGTATAGACTGGATAACAAACTCGGCCGGCCACATGCACGAAAGCTTAAGCTGGATCTGGACCATCATCATCATCATCATAATCATCGCTAACTACTACTCGTATAATACAACAGATTGGATCGATCAGCTGTCGCCCAGTTTGAGACTCATTCGCACACACTCTCAGTGGGGTTATTGGGTGGCTTGTTATAAATAAATTAACATTAGTTTTAGCATTTATAATCAATGAATTAGTTTAGTTTAAAACTGCTTGTCTAAGATTAGGGCTCTATTGCTCTAATTCATGTCTTCAAAGTCCAACTAACACGGATCAAACGCACAGATTTGTACATCGTAGTAGATAAATCTTTGCAGATAAGTTTCATTTAAATATCGATTAAATTCCATTTCCACTTCCGTTTCCATTTCATTCTATTTTACAGTTCTCTTTATATGTGTGTATGTGTGTGTGTGTATTGGCTAAGATCGTATATTTCTATATATAAAAACAGTTAGATGGTTAGCAGCACAAAAATCTCTTGTACGAGTATGTAAAATGTCTTCAATGGTTCGTCTCCACTCCGATGGCTCAGAGTACGTATCGGAGTGATTTCCAGGTGGGTGGGTTAGTGGGCTGAGAGTCTAATATGGGGGTGGCTATTGTATGTCTATGTGTGTGTGGAGGGTGGGTGCACATATCAGTGTTAAATGCAACAACAAACAGGTGCGAAGAGAGGTGCAGCCAAAGGAGTTGGCCCTAAAACACCAAGAAAAATAATTTTGGCACAAGAGTCTGACAGGTCCAACAATTACAGTTAGTAATCCGTAAATTTCTAATTCCATATATACGTATGAGTAGATCTTGAAATACATTTAGATTAAGTTTAGTTTAATATTTGAGTGCTTCGAATAAAAATGTTTATTTTTCTTTCTTTCTTTTGTTCATCTCTAATAGCTGTTCTCAACCCCTCCCTCCCTGCTGCCTTGGCTACCTTGGAAACCCTTTTGCTTGCCCCACGAACAAGACGTTACAATTACAATTGGTTTATGCATAAATATTCTTACGATACTCGTACTCGTACCCGTACTCTTGTGTACAATACGAGTACATACAACATTTGGGGTGTTTTTTTTGTTTTGTTTCTTTCTTTAGGTGTTGTGTGTGTTTTGTGGGTGACTGCAACATCCGTGTCTAGTTGAAACCATTACAATGTGTCGCCTCCTACACAGATCAGCTTTAGATTCCTTTCCTTTCCTCTGCTTTCCATTCCTTTCCTTTACTGTTCATTCCTTTGCGTTTCGCTTACATAATTGACAAATAAATTTGGCTTACCATTCAACAATTTGCATGGTCAACATTCATTCAGATTTCTGTTCGATTTTTCTTATGTATTTTGAGTATCAATTGGTTGCTGTTTCTGTTGCTGTTGCTGTGCTCACGGGGCCGGCTGCCTTTTGTTGTAGTTCCTAGTATTGTTAGCATAACTCTGATTATTATTATTATTATTATTAGCATTATCGTTACTATTAGTAGTAGTTGTAGTAGCTTCCGTTTGATTGGCATTTGTTGCGTTGTTGCTGTTACTGTTGCTTTTGCTGCTGCTGCTGCTATTGCACAATGTCTCAATCGCCTCATGAGGATCTGCCCCGCCAGCCGTTTGGCAGGGTGCAAACTGCTTCATCTGGGCCATATACTGATTGAAATTCTGCCGCATGCAGTTGGTGGCCATACCACGCTGCTCCTCATCCACCTCATTGTCGTCGCTTTCCTCGATGATGATCGTCTGCGGCTGTGGCTGCTCCTCGAGATGTTGTTGCTGTTGCTGTGGATGCTGCTGCTGCCTCATGTTGCCATTGCTTAGAGTTGTTTGTGATGTTTGTTGCAGCTGATGATGTTGCAGTTGCTGTTGCTGTTGCTGGAAGTAGTAGTCGCGTGCATAAAAGTTAAAGGGCTGAGCTTTGCGCTGATGTTGCTCATAGTTGCTGTTTGTGGCAAAGTGCGGCGGCGGCTGTTGCTTCGTGGACGTGTCATCGAGGCGCCAGGCGCCATAGTTCCAGCCATGGTACTGACTATATCATTCACTTGTCGCGTTATGCTGCTGCTGCTGCTGGTGCTGCGGCTGCAATTGTTGGTGCAACATGTGCTGCTGCGCCAGGGCATGGGCATGTTGCTGCAGTTGCTGATGCGGCGATTGTTGCTGTTGCTGCTGTTGGGATTGTGACTGCGATTGCTGTTGCTGCTGCTGTTGTTGCTGCTGCTGCTGCTGTTGCGCTGCATTGAAGGCGGCGGCGGCCGCCGCTGCCATGGCAGCCTGAGAGGCGACGGCCAGATGACAGGCGGTGGGCGTGGAAGGTGCCCCCACCGAGGAGCCCGACAGCAGATTGTCGAACTTGCGCGTGTCCGGGTTGTACATAGGATGCTTGAACTTGCAGTGGGTGCGCAGGTTGTCGCTGCGCGTGTAGGTGGCCCGGCACAGCGGGCACTCGAAGCGGCCGGGGAAGTGGACGTGGTAGTGGTTGCGTATGTGCGTGACGACCTTGCCGCAAAGCTTGCAACGATGCAGGTTGCAGCCGCCCGAGAGTCGCTCGAAGGTGAGCCGCATGTGCCAGGCCTTCGAGCCTTTTTTTGTTTGCGGTATTTTTGTTCAGAGGTTGTGGAATTTGGTTTTGATTTGATTTGTCATTTGGCATATTGCATTTCAGTTTTCAGTATTTATATTATTATTATTTTTATTTATTTTTTGGTTTGTTCGTTCAAACGCGCAAAGAAAAAAAGAAGAAGAAAAACAATGTTGTTGTTGGTGATTCACAGAAACAGAAAAATCATTTTTATAATAATTCTTAAACTGTATAATTAGATGGTTTCATAGTCTGTGGTGTGTGTGTGTGGTGTGTGTTTGTGTGTGTGGTATTTCTGGTATTAGATTCGTATTTTTTATAATTTTTTTTTGTTTTTTTTTTTTGTTTTGCCATGGAAGGAATGATTAAACTTAAACAAAGTGTTATTAAATCAATTTGCATATCCCTGAGACAGGAGACGATGGCTGATGGGGGAGATGTGTTTGGGAGTGGATTGATTTAAAAAAATTATGCCAAGAACTTTTAATTCGTGGGTGAGAAGCCATTCTCTTGGAGGGGGGGTTATTCAATCAAAGAATTCATAAATATTTCGCAATCAAATTTGTTACACCCAAAAAATATCGATATATAGGGAAATTTTTGATTTAAATTTGTTTTTCCTTTTGGTTTTTTTTTGTTTGTTTTTCGGTGAATTTTGAGAACATGAGAAATGTTGACAGCACTCGAACGGTGGGAGGAAGAAAATTAAGTATGTATATATAGAATAATGATATAAATCAAATGACATATCGCCTCCCAAATGGTGGGGGACTTCTCTGCTAGTTTTGCTTAAAATGTATTCACATATTTGGTGGAAAATTATTTACAATAATCGGTACGGGTTACGGGTTCAACGGGGGGGACGACGGATTTTTATATATTTTGAAGAACCCAAACCAAATTATATATATGTGTATGCAATGATTTGTGTTGGACACATAACTAGAATCTATAAATAAATAACTTTCTATGTATGTTGTTTTAAAAGTATTTTATGATTATGAGTGGGTTTCGATTCGATTTGGTTTCTATTTAGATTCTTTGTTAATTTCTTTGTCCAGAGAGCCCAAGAACCGTATTAGTTTCTCTTTTCGAAGAGGATTCCGGGGTGATGTTTGGTGTTGTCGTGTGGAATGTACATAAGTCAGAGAGATAGACAGAGAGAGAGGGACAGAGAAAATGACTAGGGACAGGGACGGTTGGGGCCAACAAATCGTGGATGAGATATTGCAAAATAATGAGACAAACAAATAATCAAATATATGTAAGTAAAAGTGACTGATTCTGGATGAACACAAAATCTAGCGCAGCAACATCGATAAGAACGGACATCGAACATCGAGAATAAATCGACAGTCGCTTATCACTTATCGTTTATCGAACACATTTCATTCAACACCCCTCCTGCCTGATAGAACGAAAACAAATATTGAACATCGCACAGAACGGAGCGAGATAGACTGTAAAACATAGAGCAAGATCGAGAGACAGACAGAGTTTTTATAGTGTGTGTGAGAGAGAAGGAAATATATAGCTAGAGCGAGATAGAGAGAGAGAAAGAGACCGAGAGAGATCGAGTGAGTGAGTGAGTGAGTAAGAGGCAAGTGTTTCCATTTAAAAGTATAAAACATTAAATAAAATTTTCAATCGTTTGGCCAATTCCTGTTTTTTTTTCTTTTTCATTCTTTTTGTTTAAATTTGTTGCTTTTTCGTTTTTAAAAATAAATAATTTAAAGTAAATACGTAACTTAGATTACGTAACGTATGACTGTATGTATGACTAAATTATAGGGCGGGGATTTGTGCTTAAGAAGATCTTAGAAATTTCAACTTACCGTTAAGACAGTGCGCTTGATGTTTAAATTGTATTATTATTTTTTTTTTAATTTTAATGTTTTCTGTTTTATATTCAATTGGGGTTTTGTTGTTGTGGGTTTCATTTGTTTGGACAATTAATTTTGTATTATTTTTCGTTTCAATTTTGGGTGTAGTTTAGTTTTAGTACCTAAGGATGGGTAGGGTCTGGGGCAAACAACAATTTTCTTTGTTGCTTTCTTTTTGCTTTTGTTTTTTTTTGTTTATTTGAATGAAAAGAACTGGAATTTGATTTGAAAGAGATTTATTAAGTAAAGTTAAAGATGTTAAAGATTGATTTATCCTTGTCATATATATATTATTCATATATATGTATTCGTATTTGTATATATGTATGTTTAGAAGTGTTCAATAATTGGATTCATTGCTTGATTGGCTTAGCTATAGCTAATGCTTTAAGTACATATTGCTCCGATTTGTTGTTTGATTTTATTCTTTAGCAAAGCACTGAACTCCTTTTGAGTAGTATTCGATAAATAATGATATTTAATCTGTTTTGCAACTCTAATCAACATCGGTGGGTGTTTTGCCAAAGATACGAATACGGATACCAATACGGAACCAGAGAGCGCCCCATTTCAAGTGCCCCGATGTGACCCGATGCATCGTTTGGCGGGCTCTGGCCAAAACGGCTTGGAATCGGGCGCTGTCCGATTTTTGGGCTAATTAATTTTCACAACAATTTGATCAGCATAAATTGTGATAGATAGATTGAAAGAGAAGCGATGTGATTCTCCAAAAATAGTTCTGCCTGTTAGCTATTGCTTTTTGTATTCAAGTCTCGTCGTTGCTTGCGATGCATTTCATTTCTTTTAGTTAATTAAAAATAGTAATTGTTATAATTAATTCGTTTACCGCGTTTTTATTTGGACGTTATGGTCTATGGACTAGAAGAAAGATATTAGCTAAAATATGGCACAAAATGACACGAACAAAACATTAGTCAACATTCACTACAGCACATGTTAAGAGTCGGAACTAAAGAGCTAAAATAATAACTGACTTGGAAATCGATTGGAATTCTACATATAATACTTGTCAAAGTTTCCCTCCATTGAGTACTGGTCTCGGTATACATAACTTCATATATTTCGATATCGTGATGTGATATCTTTATCTTTTTTTTTTGGTTTCTATCTTTTTTTGTTGTTTTGTTTTGTTTACTGATCTAAAAAAGCGTCTAAAGGTTCATTCGATTTAACAATAGATAATTCAAAGTCTTGAAATCAACTACGATTAGCATAGATTAATAAGATGTACATCCTCACTCTAGTCTCTAGACTGTAGACTTTAGACTGTAGACTCTAGAGTTATATATTTATATTCGTATATTACGTATTCGGTTCTTGATTTGATTATTTCGATAGTGCTGAAAACCTTTTTGTTTTTGATTTGTTTCACTCTTCTTCCGCCCTAGAGATTCGTCTAATGAGAGAGGGGATAGAGACCGGGGGCCTAGAGAAGTGATCACATATGTACATAGTGGCTGAAGAAGCGATCCTTGATGTCCGCATGCTTGATCTTGCAATGGGCCTTCATGTTGTCCCTGCGCGTGAACTTCTGCCCGCAGACGGGGCACTCGTGGCTCTGGGGTCGATGGATGTTGGCGTGATGCCACCGATTCGACACGATCTTGTTGCAGCTCACGCACCGATAGAGGGTGGGCAGCGTACCCGACAGCTGCACGAACAGCGTGGAGTAGTCGATGTTGTGATCCCTCCGATTGGCCGCTGCGGCGGCGGCTGCGGCTGCTGCCGCCGAGGAGCTCGATCCGCTCGAGCTGGAGCTGGGCTGGGGCGACAGTGGGGCTGCGGATACTGAGGCTGGTGCGGATGACGATGCGGATGTGGAGGCTGGCTGATAGTGCGGCGAGGCCTGGGTATGGCTGGGCGGCGGTGGCAGCGGCAACGGTGGCGGATGGGCGTGTTGTCCATGGTAGCCGTGACTGGACAGATCCAGCTGCTGTCCCGTTCCATTGCTCGTTCCGTAACCGCCCTGATCGCGGTACCCGCTGCTGTGGCTGCTGCTGCTGGTGGCGGGCGGCGAATAGGCCGCCTCAGCGGGACAGTCCACCAGGGAGCGATGCAGCGGCTGGTGGGGATGTGAATGAGGATGGGCATAGTGGGCCAGATGGTGCTGCTGGCGGCTGCAGCGGATGGCGCGCATGTTCAGCTCCTTGCACTTGTACTCGCAATTGTAGTTGTTGTCCACGTAAATCTCTGAGCCGGACCCAGAGCCAGAACCGGAACCGGAGCCGGAGCCAGTGCAGGGTCCCTCTTCGTCTGGCGGTGGCGGGGCATAGACCACCGCACGCCTATATTTCGGCGGCGTGGCATGGTAAGCAGCTGCAGCTGCTGCTGCCACTGCCACGGCGGAGACTTGATCCTCCGCCTCCTCCGGTTCGATCTGCTCCTGCTCTTCATCAAGGTCCATGTCTCGGTCGACATCCACCTCGTCGGCAGCCTCCTCCTGCTCCTGCTGCTGCTGTTGGTGCTGCTGCTGATCCGGCTCCCTGGCCCGATCGTGATCGAGCTGGAGCTGTCGCGGATTGTTAAAACACTTAACGCGACCTGCAAACATTTGCTTGTTTCATATTAGGCGTCATCACTGTGGGGGTGGGAGTGGGATCGGTGGACGGTGGAGGATCTGGGGGGGCTATCGCGATTCCCTTGCATTCCATGCGCACAGTGGGGCTAAGGTCAATTTGTCTGTGTGTGTGTGTGTCTAGGGTGTTCAACTAAGGTTCAACTAAGTAGCCAGAATAGGAGGAAGTACGCAAGAAACTCGGGTATATAAGATTTGTATGTATGAATGTATCTATGTTTGTGTGCGTGTGTGTGGCTAACTATATAAATATATACTATCCATATATATATTATATATAGGCAGTATGTCTGTGTGTGTGTGGGTTATGCAAAACAAATGGAACAACAGACAGCTACAAGAGTTGGTTCTTTTTGTTGGGTTTTTGTTTTGTTTTGTTTTTCGATATCGGAACAAACGATTTGCGTGTACGGTTGTATTGGGCAGTGTACGGGGCAGAACATAACGGTAAGAACGGAAAGAAAAAAACTCAATTCAAGTGAAACGGCATTGACAATGACAGGTGGTTGGGTTGGGTTTGGTTTGGTTTGGTTTGGTGTGGCATTGAACTTGAGAGGCTGAGGCTGCGGCTGTGGAAATCATAATTTACAAGATCGCTCGGTGGCAGGGTGGTGGCTAGTGGCTAGTGGGCAGGTGGAAGGCAAGGAGGAAACAAATCAAGAGTCTTAATCTAATATTGTGGTGTGTGATTTGGTTTTGGTTTTTGGCAATCTATTGTAAACTGGAAAAAGAATAAACTCAAGTTAAATCAAGGCTGGTCTTAAAGCTAGGGGGCGGCATCGATATTCGTTTGTGGTTCTGCAGGACATTATAGCTCTAAAGAATAACAATTCAGCTAAATTAATTGTACTTTTTGCATCAAAGCCAATCAATCAATCAATCAACAGTGAAACGGTTTTTGGGGAATAAATCATAAATGTAAACTAAATGTAAATCAAGGTAAAATCAACTTTTGTATTCGTGTCATTTTGTGGCATCAACAATTTTGTTTTTTGTTTTTGTTTGGTTTGGTTTTTTTTTTTTGGTGGTCTTATCATATAAGTCTGGCATTTGGTTTTCGATACTTTTATAATACAAGTTCTCATCATACATAATGATATATTATTTATTTCATTGATGTGTGGTGGGGTGGGTGGGAACTTTCGTTTTAGTACTTCAATGTTGCAACAGATTTTTAGCTATACTTTGGCACATATAAATATATATTTATACATTTATATTTATATATATTTTCTTTTTCTTTGTCTTTTTATTATATTTAATTACATATTTGTTTATATGAGCAAATTCCAGTTCTCTTTTTTTTTTTTTTTTTTTCTTTTGTGGTTTTTAAAGGTGGTGTTTGTGAAGGGGGGGGACGCTTGGTGCGGGGGGGTTCTTTTAGCTGTAAGGTAATTTCAATTTTGTTTTAAATTTCGGTTTAATTTTCTGTGATTTTTTTTTTTTTTTGTTATTTCAATGTGCCAATGTGCGTGTGTTTCTCTCTCCTTTACACTTTACCGTTACGTTCGACTGCTGCTCTCTCGCTGGCGTTCTTGTGCGATCTTTGGGGGCACAACACAGACACAGACACACACACACACACACACAGACAGAGATGCGATCAAACAAGCACAAAACACTCTCAAACACAGACACAGTTAAACATAGACGAGAGAGAGAGAGAGAGTGACAGAGAGGGAGAGATAGAGAGAGTAGGCAAAAGAAAGAATATTGGAATACACTTAGTTAGCTTGGAAAATACCAATTGGCACAAACAGACAGTCAGAGTTACAGTTATCTCGTTACAAACAGTGTGACAAAAAAAAAAAAAACATTTTCAACTGATCTTCACATCGAATCATAAATGCAACAAATGTTAGTAGAAATATTCAAAAGGAAGAGAAAGTACATTGTCTGTATCTGTGTGTGTGTGTGTGTGCTCAAGTGTCTTCGGTGTGTGTGTGTGTTGGTGTGTATAGAGGTAACAAAATATAAACTAAAAATAAAAGAACGACATCGATTTGGAAGCTTTTTTTTGTTCTAGGCGTATTCATAATATTTTGCTGTGTTGACCAACACTGAAATGCTATCGATAAGGTTTGCTTGCTTTTGGTTTCGTTTTCATTTCTTAGACAATAAGTTGCAACATTAAAGACGAAAAGAGATTCGGAAAAATTTTGTAGGGATTTGGATAAATGTTTTGGTTAAATATGTATGTTCTATGTTTTGTTTTCGATTTACTTTCTTTTTGCTGTTGGTTTTTTGTAAGAGTTTCAAAATGAAGCGTGAAAAGAATTCGGATAAATGATCGATAACTGAATGGAACGTGGAACAGAAAGCGCGGCAACTTCTACGTGAAATTAAATTGAATTTGAAATTTTGGTTTTATGTTTTTTATATTGTTTGATTATTCGTTATTATTTATAGGTGTTTGTTTAATTTTTTTTCTGTGGGTTTTTGCTTGATGTTGTTGTGGTTGTGGTGTGCGCCAATTGGATCTATTAAACTGAACTGAAATGTTTCATTTGGATTGGATCGGTTGGGGTTTTGGGGTAGGTTGGATGGCATAACGGAGGCATTTTTCGACTAAAAACTAATTGGGGGAAAACTTCCGATTAAAGTACGGAAAATGCTGGAACTGACTTAGGACTAAAATATGATAGCAGCGGCGGCGGAATGAAGATGGCAAATCAGTTGATAAGTTAAAAATTATACGTATAAAATTAAAATAAATCGATACATAAACGATAATTGTATGTGTGGGTGTGTGTGTGTGTGTGGTAGATATATGGTGTATGGGTGTGTGTTGTGTGTGTGTGTGTGTGGGCGTCTATGTCTAGGTCTAGGCGTCTTAAAACATGCAACATGCGGCAAACATGCAGCAAAAACTAAATCGTAATTACGATCAAGTCTCTGCTCATCGTAAAAGCTATTTATACAATATATATATAAGTAATATAGATATCAATATCAAATATATATAGAAATACCATACGATACGACAAACAACGAAATAATATATTAAGAATATATAATATATATGGATGTACGAGTATAGAGAGATATTCTGGTAGGAGAGGTGTTGATCTGTTGCTCTAGCTAGCACTTTGGGTCGTACTCCTTTCTAGGATTCTATTCATTCAGAACATAGTAATACGAATAGGCTACGTTTAAGGCAAAAGGATAAGTATCAAATAAATGTTTTACTATGGGGGAGGGATAAATACATACAGTGTAGGGGGGTTTCTGTACTTACAAAGCATAACAAAAAGAAGTTGAATTCAAACGGATAAATACTTGTCTCAGGGTATGGGATAAACAGGGAGAGGGAGAGAGAGAGAGAGAGATACATGCATGCAGGTAACATTCTGGGGAACTACATGTATAGAGTGTCGAGGATAGGCCTTAGTTGGGTTAAGCTGAGCATAGAAGGCTCTTGGATAGATACATATAAACCCTCTCCTCTCCATTATATACATACATGTACTTCCTTTTACATGGGCTTGGGGGGTGTGGTCTCTTTTTGGGGGTTGGGGGGTATTACTCTACTTAATTAAATTAGAATAGTTTGCTCAGTTTTTTTGGTTAGAAGATAGTTATGGGGGTAGAGTGGATGGAGGAACGGAAATTAAGCTACGAAATTTTCTACAATTTTTTTATTACAGTTTGTCTTCCGCTTTCCTTTTTTTTTTTAGTTTTTGTTTTGTTTTTCTCGCATTGCTTTTGAGTCTAACGTTTCAACAAAACGGAAAATATATATGCATGTGTATGTATATGTTGTCAACCAAAAGCTAATTACAAATTTCATACGCAATATACGCAATAGATATATGTATACATATAAATATATATATACTATATATATAGAGGGAAGATATATATACTTTTTGGTTTCGATTTCGAGTGCGTTAGGGTTTAAAAGCTCAGAGAGAAGAAGATCTTGTGTGGGTTTTTTTTTTTGGTTTTTTTGTAGTTGTAATTGTGCTAGCTTGGTTCTGGCTATATGGCAATGGTCTTTGATCTTTGGGTCAGTACTCACCGTCAATGTTGTCCGTCTGATCGAGCTGCATCTGTTTGGCGTCGTTGTGATCTTCGCGCCCGTCCGCGGCCTGCAGAGCGTGCTGCGACAGCAGCGTTGACATATCCTCCGCGTGCAGCTTCAGAGCCCCGCTCTGCATGCAACACACAAACAGAGGCAAGGATAGACAGAGGAGAGACAGAGAGAGAGATCAGAAATAGAGAGAGAGAGAGAAAGAGGGGGAGAATTGTAATAAAGTTCTGATTTTTATTTGACCCAATTGCAAAATGCTGCCAAAGCTTTCGATGCTTCCAAATAATTTCAATGCTTAGCCTAGATTTACGTTACGCAAAAACAGAGTCTAGTCTACGGCCTAAGGCTAATCCTGAGCGGTGTGTGGGTGGTGGGTGGTGGCCCCATCCGGCCTGTGGCTAAGGGCCATCCTTGCCCACATTGATGGTGATGATGTCGGGCGCTGTCGACAGCTGCTGCTGCTGCAGCTCCTGGAGCTCCCGCTCGTAGCACAGCCGATGCGACTTGCACTTGTTGTGATGGTTCACGATCTCCAGCCGAAAGTTGGAGTTGCCCTCCACGAAGCTGGTGCGAATGTCGGCCAGCTCGGGGCTCCATTTGCGGCAGTGCTTGCAGAACATGGTGTTGGCCCGCTCGTCGTACTGCAGCCACTCGAACTGGTACAGCCAGTTGGAGCGGAAGCGTCCGCTCTTGCGGGAGCTTCCTGTCGACACCGACGCCGCCGCCCCCGCCACTACGCCCGAAAGGGATGGCGGCAGTAAGTGTTTCCTCTGCTGGTGGTGCTGTTGATGCTTCTGCTGCAGCTTCTGGTGCTGATCCTGCTTTTGTTGCTGCTGCTGCTGCTGAAGCAGCCGCTGCACGGTGGAGTCGAGGCTCTCCTGCTGGTAGTGCTGCTGCAGGCTCTTCAGCTGCGCCTCCACAGCCTGGTGGAGGAGCATCTGGTGCACGGAGGACTTGCTGCCTAAATACGCCTCGCTCTTTTTCACCTACATGTACGCCGGGGGAAATCAGCTTGAGAAAATTGTTCTGATAGAAGGAAGGATTTTCTGTTCTTTTGCGGCGTCTTTTTCTTTTCATTTTTTTTTCGCTTGAGATTAGTTTTCATTTTTTAGACGGTAGCATTGTTGAGATTTTTTCTTTTCTTTGTTGGCCCGATATTCCGTTTCGAATTTTGGAAAATGCAAAAAACGTTTCTTTTTTTCTTTTTATTTCTCTACGACAAAAACAACCAATCCAATCCTTCGTTCTGTTCTGACTCTGCTTTTCTTTTCTTTGCTTTCGCGACTTTTTTCGTTTTCTTTTTGATTTTTCTTAAACAAAATATACACAAATTTGGGCAGCAGCAGCAGCGCTTTGGCTTTGGCTGCTTTGGGCAGCATTTTGCAATTGGCTTGGCTTACAGTTAGATGGTCAAAAAAGCTTTACAAGAATGTTCTGTACTGTATCATTAGCTGGGAACCATCGAACCACCGAATCGGTTCAAAAAAAGAAAAAACCTTAACAAACTAATGCAGCAAAACAAAACAAAACAAAACAACGATCATTGAATTACGATCAATCAGAGCGCAAGAGGTTCTTAGACTGATTGATGGACTGCCCCCAGATTGGGGCACTTACCGGCAAGTAGTCGGGCGGCAGGCCCACATGATGCTCCCGATGCTGCTGCTGCTGCTGGGCGTCCATCAGCTCCTGTTTGATGCTCAGCGACTGGCTGAGACCGCTCAGGGCACTGGCCGCGCCCACATTGCCCCCACCGCCGCCCAAGTGGCCGCCGGTGGTCATTGAGAGCGGCGAATCGTGACGGCCGCCCGCATCCTCCGACTCTGATGTGCTGCCGCCTGTCTTGGGCACGGGGCTCGACTTGAAGTTGCCCTGGAAAAAAGAAAAAGAAATCCATCAGCAAAATGGCGAGAAGCTTCTATGTATAGCCAACCAGTTCCCTCTTTTCTTTCTTCTATTCATGCCCAGCATACTCTCTCTGACAGGGTATAGCTATGATAACAACAATTTGCACGTGTGCCCACAAAGGAGAGAGCGGCACGTGCCGAGACCACAAAAATTTTCACTAGCTGATAACAGCGACAGAAATAGCAGGCCCACCACACACACACACACGCAAGCAATATTATTTGATCGTAGATCACTGGCCACAGCTGATAGCAGCACAGCCAGAGAGCACACCCTATGGATGGGTAGACCCACACACACATACACACACATAAACACACACGCCAGGGGGAGGGCACAGTCATGTGAGGCGCGAGGTAGCGTAGCGTATCGTAAATGCCACAGATACCCGAAAATGTGGATAGTGTTTGTTGTTTGTTTGCCTGCCTGCAGCCAACCCCCCGCCGCCAACGCCACAGCCTGATAAGCAAAGTTTGGCAAAGCCAACGGCAATAAGTGACGGAGGCCAGCGTGGTGGGGTGGTTCGAAACATGGAATACCCATGGAATATTATATTATATTATTATTATGCTGCTAATCGTATTCGCATTCAATATGGCAATCGATCTCGGAATCGTTGCTTCTTTGAGTGGCATTTTTATAGAAATATTTCTACTAAGAAATCCCTTTGTAATCGGATTATACATATGACAGCCACCAGATATGAGTAGAGCAATAATACAATACAAAATAATATATTAAGTTCGGAATTCGTGAAACGAATGAAAGACGTATCGGACAAACTTCTTTGAGCACCTGACTTTTGATTATGCCCCGTAGATAAACAGCATTAAATATTGGCCGTTTTATTATGGTAATTATTAAAAAAAAGAAGGAATAAAAATCGCTATATTCGAAAAATTGATTTAAAATAAGACAAATATAATTTTATTTATTGTAAATTAACTTAAATCATTTAAAAAAGGGAAATCGTATAAAAAAAGGCCGCAAAAATCAATTGTAAAATTCAGGAAAGTGCAACAATTTAATTGAAAGAATTTGTATAAAAAATACCAAAGCAGAAATAACATTTTAATAACTTCATTGTCCTGTCACTAATAAAATATTTGACGCCTGATTTGATGTGAGATAATTTCAAATTAAATTTAATTGTCAGACAATTAAAATTCCCGAACAGAAAAAAAGCATAAACTTTAAATTGCGGAAATTCTGAACGCCGGAACTCGCAATTGTTTAGTTTGAAGCGCAGAAAAAAGAGTCAAACAATTTAATTACGAGTCCAGTAATTATGCGAGGAGGATTATGTGGCTGGCTGTAAGCGATATTAGCTTGATGCTATCATAGTTCTCTGCTGGATATATGTAGCTATGTATCTACTCCCCGAAAGGAACGCTAAGAGCATACGAATCGACTGATTGCTCACCTGAGAGTCCTGCGGGTAATGCCTGTCCTGGGCATGGGCCGCGATCGCATGGTGGCTCGAGGACAGCGAGTTATCACAGTTGGATGATGAGTTCTTACGTCTGCGCTTACTACTACTCAGCTGGTCCACCGGCGTCGTGGAGAGCTCCCTCTCGCGGTCCCTGCTGCTGTCCCGCTCCCGTTCCCGTTCTCGTTCTCGCTCCCGATTGTTGTTGTTGCTGCTGCTATTGTTGTTGTTGTTGTTATTGTTGCTGGTGTTGCTGATGTTGCTGTTGTTGTTGTCCTTGGTGCTGTAGTCGAGCTGCAGCAACTCATCACGACTGTCGGCCCGCTCGAGAGTGCCCCGCTCGCTGCCACGATCGCTGCACGCATCACCACGACTGTTGAGTGCATCGGCGCTGGCACTGCGATTGGCGGCAGCGGCTGCCACAGCAGCAGCCACCGCGGCCGCCGCTGCCGCACTGGCGCTGCCCACGCTGGGAGATCGTTCGCCGGCGCTGGGCGTCGTCAGGCCCAAAGCCGCGGCGGCTGCATTAACGCTGCTGCTGCGCTGCGACAGCTCGTCGCGCAGGTCGCGTTCACATCGGGAGCGCAGGGAGTCACGTGAGTCTCGCACCCCATCACCCACCCCTAGGCCACCGCCATAGCTGGAGGAGGGTCCGCGGCCGGTGGGGGAGCTGGCGGCGGAGTCGCGCAGCTTGTCGCAGTCGGATCGATAGTTCAGATTGTTGTTATCTGTGAGACCGCGCACCTGAAGCGATGCAAAAGGTAGATATTGTAATATTAATTTTTTATTCAGGCCATTGCAATGCGGCAGGAAGTACAGTCATCGCGGCGAGCATTAAGTGGATAATTTGTATTAACGGTAGAGCAAGTCTTGCCATCCAATTAAATTCTCCATTAAATGTGGCATTTCCTTTCGTTTGTTTTGAACCCACCTGCAGGCTCTCGGCCGTCTTGAGAAACATGGGCAGCGAGCTCTGGCCCACATTGACCTCGCCCTTGTACATGAAGTCGAGCAGAGATCGCATCTCTGAGTATCTGACATCTTTCAAGTAGATGATGGGATGTGGATGTTGATTCTGTAGGAAGATCGTCTCGAAATATGGACTGCAGGCGGACAGTATGGTCTGATGGGCCTGCAAAAAACAGAGAGAGAGAGCAAATACTTTCGTTATTGATCATCATCCGAGGGTTAATTGTGCAGAATTTGCAGGCTACCTTGACTGTTTCGCCCTCGCAGGCGAGCGTGACATCGCAGAGCGCCTCACGCTGCAGCAGGGATGTGAGGACGCCGGTCAGATTTGTGGGATGATTGTTCCAGCGTAAGCAGAATTGCTGGTCCATCGCTCCTTGGTCAGTGTTGTACCTGCAAGTGTTGATAAATGTTTCGGTATGAGTATGGAAATTCCAACAGATACGAGTATACAAGTGCGATTGCTGATAGGTGCTAAACACACAGTTCGGTCTGGTTTCAACCGGCATCGATTAATTAGTGACTTAATTAAGTTATTTATCAGTTAATATTGTAGAAGAGGGAGCATTGATTGTGGTAGCAACTATTAGGTAACGGAAACGGAAGCAATTTACTTCTTAAACTGTTATCGTGTTATCACTATCAATCGCCCAGACTGCCCCTCCGAGATGCCGATTTCGATTGTGTGGGTGTGTAACAAGAAATGCCAATGATAATTTGTCATTAAGCACAATTGTTCATTACAATTGCTGGATGCTGTTCTCAATTATTTATTGCATTTCCGTTTGCCGATAACACGGACCGCACGTACCACCACCCCACCCACCCAACACAGCCCAGCCCGCACACTGCACACTTGTGTGGGGCCAGACTTGCGTGTGGCAGTGTGTGCGTATGGCAGTGTGTGTGGTGTGTGTGGAGTGTTAATTGCCATTTGTTGCCGCCATGTTTTGCTGCTGGCTAACTGTTAATTACTCAGCCAAATAGACAAGCAATCCATGCAAATTTAGTTGTAACCCAAAACTGAGGAGCAGTGCGGCGCGGGGCGTGGAGCGGGCGGTCGGGTGGTCAAGCATAATTAATGGCCGTTCGGTCTTATCTACGGGATATTTATTGAGCCCTACGCTCCGCTCCGCTGCACGGGAAGAAAGTCGAAGCTCATAGTCGAAAATGCATTTCCCATGTGGCGAGAATATAAAACAAATTCATTGCAGAACTGTTTAAGCTGCCCTCGCGCCTACGTGCTTTACACGGTACACCCAAAATAGAACGAACGCTTTCTGTGTGCGGTGGTGCTTGTTGTTGTTTCTCTTTTACAATTCCCTGGAATCTATCCCTAATCTTAACGGTCTGCGGGCAAAGTTCCAATGGGAAACGTCAGCTCGTTGGCGGGGGGTGTTGTGCTGGCAGCAGCTGAAGGGAACCAACCTGATTTGATAAGAAGCACTTTTGCTTTTCTTTACAATCCGTCCATCGGCAGAGAGTAAACAATGCAATCATAACAAGAGCACGAAAGCGAAAGAGAGAGAGAGAGAGAGAGCTTTGGCGTGGGAGAGCTTTTGCCGGCGTCGCAGAGCGATTAGATCGAGTGAGTGAGCGAGTGCGAGCATAACAATAATAATAATTACAGCTACAGCTACAACTACAACTACAGCTACAGCTATAGCGGGTGTGCTTTTGCGTGTGCGTGCGTCTGTGTACGTGTGTGTGGGGGGCCTCTGCGCTGTCGTAAGCATTTTTTATTGGCACGCTGCCCCCACCCCGCCGTAGCTCATGCCCTCCACCCAGCCACAGCCACCGATTACGTTCTTTGTTTGTGTGTTGTGTTTAGAAGCAACGAAAAAAAAAACGCACACACACACAAAAACATTAGCTACATCAGCAAACTAAACTTTCATTTTCATTCGCACAAATCTCTTGCATATAGTATTTATTATTTGTGCACTCGCTAATCGCCGGGCAATTGGGTATGACTGCATTCGTATAGATTTCTGTAACTTCAACCATATTTCTGGGTAAATTATAATATTTTAGATTCTTATAGGCTGCCGAATATTCTACATTTTCTGTAAATAATTATATATATAATTATGTTATATTATATACCTAAATTCATTTCAATCACATGATCATTATCTACGCCAAAATTAAAAAATAGCGGATACCCCATTGTCGAAATATACTACCTACAATAAATAATATACCTACAGAAATATACCTACAATAAATTCGACCGTTCTTGGGGCTCTCTCCCTTCCACTTTGCTGTTCTGCTCTTGTAAATGTTTTCAGATTGTGTGTGGAAACAAATTGCGAATCATTTTCATTTGGTAGTACAATTCGTTTGCCAAATATTTTTGCATATATCTATACATCCATATATGTATGTATGTACATGTATACACTCGTACGAGTATGTATGTAAATCTATTCAGGAATTTCGCAAGTCAAATTGTGTTGTGCATTTAATTTTGAAATTATTCTGCATAGATTTTCCACTATGTTTTCCAGGGCCCCACCTATCCATACATTAACCATACACGTGCCGTTTATCGGTCCATTTGGATTGGTAAACGATTTGTTTGCGTTTAATTGCTGCCTAAGTTTGAGGTTCCCTCTCATTAGCACATATAATAATGAATCTTGTGTGAAATGCTGTAAAGATAGATCTCGCAGGCAGCGAGCAGGTAAACTGTAGCATAAATTCTTAGATTATAGATAGTCGTGGCGTATTTTTTTCTATTTGGGCAACGTTTGATAACAAATAATATACGATGACATCATAAATTGGTTGTAAATTTCAGTAAAAATAGGTCTGGGAAATACGAAAGCTACATATCTACATATCTGGATGATTAAACAAATTGACAAGCAATGACTCACGAAGTTAGCAATAAATATAAAACATGATTTTTATCGTAGAGTTCCCCCTTTGGACAGGATGTTCGTGATAATGAAAAAGGGATGGCATAAATTATATAATTTTTATATAATTCGTTCCTTTATAGTTATTACTTATCATACGCTTTATGATTAAAATTATAGCCGCATGATCGTTAACCGAACCGACCCATAAAGACAAATAAATATTCCCTAAATACATCACATACTCGCACTACGTGTACAGACCCGAGCCCCAGTTCTGGCTGTCATTCTTTCCCCCCCCGCCCTATCTGAACTTTTTTGCTTTAATTACTTTACTTTTGGCATACAAAAAAAAGGGGGGAAATAAGTAACAAAAAAGATCGCAAGTTGGCCAACGCCGGCGCCAACAGCGACAGAAAAAAAAAACAAGAAGCCAAGCATTTTTTAGATACTTTTTTCCCCCCTCTCTCTCTACCTATCTCTCTTTCGCTCACTCTGTGTGCTTGCAGTCGCTGTCAGCAACAACGACAGCGTCAACGTCAACGTCGCATGCGATTGCAGTTTTTATTTTCACTTGCGCTTTCAATGCAAATTTGCAATAAAAGCAAACAAATGTTTGTTGTTGCTGCTGTTGCTGCTGCTGCTGATGCTTTTGTTTAATTAATGAGAACTTTTACTTTCGTTTTGTACAACGGTAGCGCCTGACGCTGGCGTCGCTGCGTGCGTCGCTGCAGGCGTCGCTGCTGCTTACGTAAATTGTTTAAAAATATTTACGCGCTTATCAGCCAGAGGGAAAGAGAATGAGAGAGAGGGAGAGGAGCCTGGGTGGGTGTTGCAGGTTGAGGGGAGGCGATCAGCAAATTGCGCAATATGTTAAATGCCGCTCAACCGTTGTCTCTCTGCCACTGTCCGGGACGTGTCTCGGCGCTGCTGTAACGCCGCGAATCAATATCAAGCTGCAGATCCAGCGGCAGATAAAGATAAAGATAAAGATAAGGCATGAGGCAGGGGGAAATAAAAAGAAAAACATTTTGTCACGCGTCAACAGCATACTTAGATAATCAACGCTAACTGCCAGTCATACAACAGCCACACCACAGATACACACATAAAGTTACACACACAGATACACCCTGAGAGCGAGAGCAGCCCACGGGGCGTATCAGTAATGGCCTTCAACTTTCAGTTAGTGGCGCCTTATCGTCCGAGGCAGCGATGCCGCAGCGCTGTCAGCGCCACTCAGCTGTTATGTTCCGCTGTAAGAGCGTGTCCATTCCGTTCCATCCTCCCCCCCACCGCTGTACTCGTAGTTTTTCAATTTACACGTTCTAAATAGTTTGAGCAAAGCCGCAAAAGTATGACGGTGTGCGTGTGTGCGTGTGTGTTTGTATCTGTAACTGAGAGATACACGAGCACTTGAGAGTGCTGGCCTGGGCAGCGGGGCAGCGAGGTGGAGGGGGGTGGAAGAGTGTACTGGTGCTGGGGGCATCACGGGGAACAGCGATAATAATTATAAATACAAAGTAGTTTGTTGACGTTTTGAGGTTCGTTGGTTCGTTCGTTCGGTTTCCAATTCTCGCTCCGCCGCCGCTGCTGCTGCTGTTTATCTTTTGAGTTAGAACTTTACATGTTGGCGTAGGTTGTCTCCGGTCTCCGCACCGCGCTGTAAATTTACCGTTTGCCGTCGGGGTTCAACGAACGCTGAATGAGGCGGGCAGCGCCCACATGGTCATTACGACGCGCTGCTGGTATCTGTCGGATACAATTTTGGGCCTCAGAGCAGATCGAAAATTGCTTTCGTTTTGCGGCTGCCCTTCAGGGTGCGAAGGGGTGGTGGGGGTGGGGGACATAAATCAATGCTGGAAATCGCACAAAGATGCGTTTATACCGATAACCAAATGAATAATTTGAATTTATTAATTTATTCATGCACACAGACACAGACTGAACACACTTACACGTGCATATGTATATGCAGAAGGCAAACGAGATCAAGATTAGCGCCCCGATTCGCGGTTCACCTTGACTCAATGGTCAAATGTGCAAAATGCCTCAGAGTCAACGTTGAACAAAACAACTTCATAGATACTACTGCGACTGCCAGCGCCATCGTGAATCAGCCGAAAGCAAAGCAAAGCAGCATTTGCAAAAGGTTTGGCCAGCCTCAAAAGCAGCTTGTAAAAGATGAAGGTCAAGCGTTACAGATACAGATACACACACACACACACAAACACACACACATAGATAGAGATACTGCTGCTTGAACTGATCATGATTTGATTGATTAAGCCCGGCCTGTAAATAGAGGCCAAAAACTCCATTTAGCCTTTGGCTTGGGGGCTTGGGGCTTGGCCAGACCGCGAAAAATAAATAAATTCGTATGTTGAGCAAGGTCAAATGTAGGAGGTGGTTGCTGCTGCTGCTGCTGCTGGGCAGAAAGAGCCAATGGCCCACAGCCGCAAGTGGGTCACGATGCCAGATACTAATACGAGTACGAGCATGTGGGGGCGGTTTGGGTGTGTGCGATAT